GCACGGTGGGCAGCAGCGTGGCGCTCCAGCTGAGGCCCCACAAGAAGATGCTCCCCTTCGCCGCCCGCTCCGCCAAGGCACCACTGCGGGGCACCTCCTGCTGCGTGAGGAGGCCGTCCTTGAACATGCGGTGCAGCACGTCGCGTGCTCTGGCGTAGGTGGCCACCGACTGCTCCGCCAGTGTGCGCTCCTCGAGATAGTGGTGCTGCAGGAGCAGCTTCATGATGCGCACCCCGAGCACTCCGTAGCCGGCGTACACCACCCGCTCGCACGCCGCCTCCTGCAGAAGGTGAACGACGGTGACGTTGTCGAGCGCGTAGAGGCCGCGCTGTCTGTGCGATTGGACCACCAAGGCCCGAGTAGCCGGCGGTGTCGAATGGAAAGTAAGGGAGGAGGAGGAGAGGGCCGCCGTCGAGGTCATCGAGCTGGCCGCACCGCAGCTCAGCAGCACGATCGGCTGACATAGCTGCTGAAGGCACCGCTGCACCAACTCCGCAGAGCGCGTGTTCTCCGCGACCTCCACCGGCCGCCCAGCCCGGTCCCGCCGCACACCCGCCGACGTCGGCAGCGCCGCGGCCAACTCCGCCCACGACGCGGCGCCAGCGTCGCCGTGCGCCGCCCTTGGTGCCACGCGCCGTCGCAGCGCACGGATGAGGGTCAGGGCAAGGCCGCCGTCCGCGTAGCGCTCCGCCACCGCCTGCTCCAGCGCATCGTTCATGAGAAAGAAGAGCGCGCTCTCCACGCCGACGCGGTAGGGTGTGGTGGGGCTCCACAGATCGTCGTCGCCGCTGCTGCCTGCACGTGTGGGAGGGACACCGTCGCCGACGGCCACCACCACCGGCACCAACCAGCCGTCCGCCACGAGCTGCGTGACGGCGTAGTCGAGGGCGTCGCGGCCGATGCTGGGTGTGCGACTCAAGGCGACCTGCACCGCCGAGACCGGCGGCACGGCGCCCAGCTGATACACCGCCAGCAGCACACACTTCGCCGCCTCGCCGTACTGCTGACGGACGCAGTGCAGGAGCAGCGGGAAGAACACGCGCAGCAGCAGCGCCGTGCCGCGACGCACGCCGTAGAGCTGCGTGGACGGGTCCGCGTACACCAGTCGGTGCAGCACCAGCCGCGTCACGACCTCCTTCAGCGCCACCTCGTGAATCAACGCACTCGCGGAGGACAACTCGCCAAGGTCGACGTGGAGGCTCGTGCCGATTTGATGGGTGGCCGGCACGGCGGTGGTCCTTTCGCCGGTCGCCGACGCCCGGTTCGCTGCGGCGGCCGCCACGCCGCGGACATCCTCGTCGCGTTGCACCGTCTCGCTGAGGTCCGTCAGCGTCATCGGCCCGGACTGCGTCAGGGCGCGGCAGACGGCCCCGGCGAGTGGGCCGAGTTGGTGGGCGACGGTCGACACGAGAAGTTCGTCGTGGGCAGCGATGGGCTTCGCAGAGAGGTCCTCGCAGATCTCCGACGGCTGCGTGGCCGCCGCGCCTACGCAGAAGAGAGGCATACGTGCAGTGGACACAGGAACAAGTAAAGTAGAACGCCAACCGGTATTCGACGAGCGCTCTCGAGCTGTTTCTTTGATCAAGTGAAGGCCAAAACCCGCAGGTCGAATGCACTCCCCGCTGGCGGGGAAAGTACTCTGGAGCAGCGTATAAAAGAAGTGGAGTGGGAGGAGAAGGCGATGAATGAACAGAGCAGGTGTGGAATGCAGAATTCAGAGGACATGAAAGACGATGCACCGGCCCACGCTTCGCCCACTGCGCCTCTCCTGCGGCGCCGCGCGAGCACTCGGGCGAAGCGCAACGCCTCGCTGACGTTGCCCAGCCCCTTGACTCCACCGTGCTCGAGTGTGTACGCCCCTTCTGGAGAATGCCGGTAACGGCAGGTAAGTTTTCATGCGTTGAACCATCACCGTTGCTGACCGCCAACGCGCAGACTAGCCTGCCCTCTCCTCCCACCCTCATTGACCGGAGTGCGGCTTCCTTTCGCCTTGGCCAACAGAAGCAAGTGACGCGTCCTCTGCAAGAAGAGGCACACGAAAACGGAGCTGGAAAGAAAACAATGTAGTCGATAAGAGATGCGAAGCCGCTCATAGCAAAAATCTTCCAGCTCCGGGACGGGCAGAGGAGACAAAAGGCCGGCGACATGTCGGTACGTCGTGCGGGAGCACGTCCACCCTGCAATCGTCCAGCCGGACAGCCAAGGCGGAAAGAAGGCAGAAGGAGTGCTAGTTGGTTTACGCAACTCACGAGACCACCGACGCACCGTCTCCGACCCCTCAACCCTTCCCCCCGTTATCGTGGCTCCGCACAGGTCGACGAGAAACGATTTGAAGCGGTTTTCATCGCGCTTCATTTCCGTGCAATTTATAGTTAAAGACCGAGAAGCGAGAGACAGCCCACCACTGTGCGCGCACACAAATCCGCACCTGCCCTTTCCTACAAGCGCAGGACGCCACTTAACCACCTCGGCGTGCGTCGACGTGTCTCGGCGTGTGTTTGCGGGCGCGTGCGTGTGTTGAAAACACCATGCAAAGGAAGGGAACAATCAAAGGAAAAGGGAAAATGCGATACTGTAAAAAGCAACACAGAAGAAAATTTAAACTCGATAGCACTGAGCGGTGCGCGTGCACCTCAACGCGCATCCGCCAACCGCCACCGTTCCCGTCCGAGCGCACCGGTCGAACGGGTACGCCGCACGTTGTCGCGGTGAGCTCCTCACGCAATCCCTCCCCCTCCCCCTCCCTTTACCCGTCCACTGACGGTCCCTTCACCTCGAAAGCAAACCAGGTGTTATTACCATTTTCAAAATGTGAGTAAATTGGACGGAGGCACCGATCCTTCGAAGCGGCGCAGCAGACACGTGAAACTCCCAGAAAGAAAGCAGAAGACGAAGCCGCACACACCAAAGGCCTTGTGCGTGCGCCATCGTCCAGCGTCGGCTGTCCTGCACCGCTGCCACCGAGGACCTCCTTCACAAATTTCGCCCCGGCGTTTCTCCTCTTATGACGCGGAAAATAAGAATTGCACCCTGCTCCCTCGCGGAGACGTGCGCAGCGCCACCCACTTCTCTTCCTTCTTCTACGAAAGAGGAGCGGTGTGGCGTCGGGGCGGGTGTCGCTCAGCACAGGTGCCGTCCCTCAACCTCTTTCTTCCTCGCTGAGCTGCGATTGGCCATCTGCACCTGTATATGTGTATCAGTGTATGTATAAATGTGAAAACAAAACGAAAACAACTGCGTCCACCAACACGCGCCTGTGCAGTGCCTAGTGCGCCTTGGACGGGTTCATCAGCTTGAAGAAGTACTCCGTCATGGTGTAGGCGAAGATCAGCTTTGGTGCCGACGCGACGATCTTCGGTGTGAGGCCCTTGAAGAAGGATGTCACGCCCTCCTCCCTCAGCATCGCCGTCGCCGTGAACACCGCGTTGCGGCGCTCGCCTTCTGTCTGGAACTGCACGCGTGTCTTCACGACATCCATCGGGTTCGACACGGCAATGGAGAGGCAGGCGCCCACCGTCGAGGCGCACATGTTCTGGAAGAGCGTCGCGCTGCGGTAGTCAGAGAGGCCGAAGACGTAGCCCTTCGTGAAGGCGGTGCCACCGAAGAGGCAGAAGGAGCCCGGGGCGTTGCGGCACATCGTGACCGCCGTGCCCGCGTACATGCCGCGCACGCCCTCCTGACGCAGCAGGGGGAGCAGGCCCTTGCGCATGGCGCGCTCGTTGGTCTGACTCAGCACCTTCAGGCGGTCCAGCGGAAGCAGAAAGACCTCGCCCAGCCCGATCAAGCAGCCCGCCATGGCGTCTTCCATCACCTTATTCGCCTTGCCGAACCACCGCGTGAAGCTCTGGCGGTAGTTGGCGCTCAGGAAGTCCCGCACGTAGGGCTGGCCGGCGAACTTGTACACCCGCTGGAACACCTTGTAGACGACGGCGTACAGGGAGCCGGGGTAGAGGTACATGACCTTGCGCAGGAGGCCGTCGTGGGCGTGCTGCTTGAAGATAATTTGGTTCAAGTTTGCCGCCGTCCCGCCGATCGAGCCGCGCGAGATGGAGCCCTTATTCGCCATGAGCCGCTTCGCCGTCGTGTCAAACGGGTGGAAAAAGGCGATTTCGAGAATACCCGCCCCGGTGGCGGCGCCGGCGTGGCTGCGGATGAAGCGGTCGGAGAAGCTGCGCTCCGTCGCGGGGGCCGTGGTGGCGGCGGACATCGTGCAGCACGGTGGCGGTTAACAGCGATGTGTGTGTATATATTTATAATACTTACAAGCGAGTATGCGCGGTACGGAGCGGTGAAGCAGCGAGGTGAGCTCTATCGAAGCTTTGTGTCGCAGCGCAGAAGAAAAGAGTTGTGGGGTCTTCAGAAACGGAGGAAGAGTGTGGTGGAATTCGCGGTGTTCGATGGAGCTGTGGATCTGAGCTCTCAGCTCCTCGCGCGTCTTCCACGACAGACGCGCGACCTGCGAGGCTGAGGCTGCTGCAGCCGCGTAAGGAGGTCCTCGCGAAGCACATCACATGCGGTTTTAAGGCACGGAGAAGACGTGGCTGCTGTTGCTGCAGTTGGGACTCCCTCCCCTACACCTTCCGGAAGAGCCCAACGACAGCCCTTTCTTCGCTCCAGGGGAGCCGCCCTCTCGAAGATAAAAGAACGCGACGGATCTCGTACGGGTGCTGATTACTGTCATCTTCCTTGATCGAGTAAATGAAACTTAGCCGTTAGGCTTTAAACGTGCCTTTAGCAGACATTAACTTTATTCGCCTATATCGTACACACCGATCAGAAACATCCGTTGCGGCGGCGCCTCCCATGGCACGCACGCGCGGCCGACGCACACATCGAGGTCGCTTCAGCCATCACGGTTTGGCTCCTCTGTTGCCGTCCGTGATGCGCTTTCGGGGTCCCAAAAGCACTCATACGAGAGCGGCGGCACCCACGCAGCCGCACCGCTCCTCCTCTTCACCTACCACCACTCCCGTTTATGTATCGCCATCATCGCCATCCGATTACGCCGCGCCCTCGCTGTCGGCCGCCTTGGCGTTCGACTCTCCACTAAGCCCCTTCTTCTTCGCTGCCTTTGCGCGCGACTTGAGCGACTCCACCGTGTTCATCGAGTGCTGCTGCTGCTGCAGCTGGTGCATCACGCTGTGGTACCGCTTCTCCCGCTGCGCATCGTCCACGGCCGTTCGTTTCTCCTGCGCCCGCCGCTGCACCGTCGCCTCCGCCGTCAGGTGGCGCATCAGCCGCTTCTTGTCTTCGCGGATGTCGCGCTTCATGATGCGCACCTCGTTCTTCACCGCGTTCTCCTCGCGCTCCGCCAGCAGCGGGTCGAACTGCCGGATCGGACGGGGACGGAAGGTGCGCATAGCGAGGGGCGTGCGGTGGTGTTGCACCGCCGCGGCGATGTCACGCACCTTCACCGCGAGCGCCTCGTGCGCCAGGCGAACTGCACGGGACGGCTGCCACGGCTCGGAGCTGCCAGCAGCAGAAAGGCTGTGCGGCTGGAGGAGCAGCGCATCGAGGCGTAAGAAGGGCGTTGCGCACATGACGGGGAAGGCCGGGGTGGTGCGGTAGAGTTCGCAGAGCTCATCGTAAATGTGGTAGGCGCACAGCAGCAGGCGCTGCGGGTCGTGGGTGGTGTGCATGAGGCCGATTTGGTATGCGGCACGACCGCCCTCCGCCTCCCCTGCTGCTGCCGAACTGTCAGAAGAAGGGCAAGAGGTGCGCAGCAGCGCCGCGTCTGGGCGATCCATCAGGGGGATTGGCAGCCGCGAGCCTTGATAGCGCATCGGCTCCAGCACCGCACGGGGCAGCTGCAGCGACAACACGTTCAGCACCGCCACCACGACCTCCGCGCAGTACCGCCCTCCGCCCGCCTTCAGACAGTGCAGGAGGAGCGTGGTGAGCACCAGGTAGCCGTGCACGGCCTCCAGCGAGTCCAGCTTCATCTGCATCAGCGCCGAACAGAGGAAGAGGAGAAACGGCGTCATCACCTCGTGGCGGTAATCGGAGGTTGGGAAGATCTTCGTTATGGCGTACAGGTACACAAGCAACGCACGGCGGATGCCGCCGCGGCGCGTGCCTCGCAGAAAGCTGCGCTCCGCCTCGACAAGAATCAGCCGGAACGCCTTCGTCGCGTCGACAACGTGACTCGACGCGTAGTGGTGCAGCTGTACGAGCAACGAGTGCAGATGCTGCTGCTGCTGCTGCTTCGAACCGCTTGTGCCTTCCCCAGCGGAGCTGGTGGCTGTGGCGGGCGCAGCAGTGGCCAGCTTCTCCAGCTCCTCCAGCAGGTGGTCCAGCCTCTGTGACCCGCTCACACGATCAGCAGACACGGCAGCCGCGGTCTCCTCAGCGGCCTCCGCACCCTCCAACGCGCCTTCGCTTTCAGCGTCCTCGCCGTCGAGGTCGTCGGCCTCGCTGTCGCCCTCAAACGACGACGGAATATCCACGTTGTCCTCCCCGCTCGCGTGCGCCTCGCCGTCGTCCATCTGGAAGGCCACGTCGCCGCCCTGCTCCACCCACTCCCCGCGTGTGAGCTGCGTCTGATCGCGCTCCTGCAGATGCAACGACGGCACCTGCTGGCGGTCCTCGCGCAGGAGGGCCTGCTGGGCGTCGCGGGCCGCTTCCTCCTCCTCCGTTAAGGTGCGAGCGACGGCGTGGGCACGGCGGGTGTCCGCCTGGAAGGACTGCATCACCGCATCGAAGTCGTCGGTAACGGCGCTCTTCGGCGGTGCAGCCCGGGTCGCGGTGTCTGTCGCGGTTTGAGGGGAGAAGCCCGGTGTGAGGAAGCGAGCGGCCGCTGCCGTCGTGCTCGTCACCTCCGCTTCTTCTCGCTCCTCGATCGATCGAGCAGCCCCGTTGCGTATCTGCGCGAGCAACGCGCGATCCGCCGCGTCGAGGACGGCGTGCGTGGGAGGCGCCGGTGCCGTCGGGTCTGCGAGAGCCGCCGCCGCCGCCGACGCTTGTGCCGCACCGCCAGCGCGTCTGTCGGGGGCCCGGGCGGCGTCCGCGAGGGGGCGCACGTCGAAGGCGCCGGAGGACTTCAAGGTGAGGCACTTCGCCTCGTGTCCGCGGCGGTACGACGCCAGCAGCGCCCGCACCTCCGCCGTGCCGGACTGCGCAAACGCCTCCTGCTCCTCCTCCGTCTTGTTGCGCCGCGGTAAGAGGTGCAGCAGGTCGTTGATCTCCGCATCGAGCTGCAGCGTTGCCGCGTCACGCTCCGCCCGCTCCCGCTGCAGCTGGGCGCGCTGCCCTTTGCTGTTGGAGATCATTTCACGAAACTTCTCTGCACGCGTCATCTTCGACGGCGGTGCGGCGCTGTTCTCGTCGAGGCCGTCCAGCCCCGTCGCCTCGCCCTCCCGCACACGGCGGACGCCCATCAAAGAGGAGGGGGCAGCAGACGCAGCAGCGCCACCGCCACCACCAGAGAGATTAAAACGGTCGATGCGCCGTGTAGTTCGAGTGGACTTGAGAGACTTATCCATCCCCATCGTGGCACTCCGCGTTGAGGCGAACGGCGAAGCCGCGTTGCCGCCGTGCGAGGCGCGGGACCGCGCAAACGGGTTCGGCGTCTCCCGCACCTCCTCCTCTGCGGGCGTGTATCGGCTACCGCTGCGCACGCCACCACCACCACCGCCTACAGCCCCGCGGGACAGCAGTCCATCTCCCACGCTGCGGCTCGCGTTGGCGGCGCCGTTGCCGCCGACATCGCCCTGCTGCCGCACCTGTTCTTCCTCTCGTCGACGCTCGAAGTGGCTCTGCTTTTGGGTGAATTTGTTCGTGGCGGACTTGGCGAGGGCGTTGGACTGCTGCCGCTGGTGCCGCTGCACGAGCTTGGCGTTGTGCGCCGCGCGAGAGCCCGCCATGCCTAACGGAGCGGGATCAGAAAACCCTTGATTAAAAAAAAAGTTTAAAGCAAAGAAACCACGTTGAACCTCTGCGATTTCCACAGCGAAAATGTGTGAAGCCGAGTGGAACGAAACAGTAGAAGCTGAGACACACGCTTTACAAGCGGGAGGAGAAGTAGGGGATGAAGGATACAAAGTCCCATCGATTAAGTGCGAAATGCGAATCATCAAGACAGGCAGAAAGCCCAACGCAGCAAAGGCGAAGAATGCTCTTTTCAAGGAAACCTCAGCGGGCACGCGTACGTCGTTCAGTAAGACATCTACACGCCGTCGTCTTCCCAAAAAGAGAGCTTGGGGTCATAAGGCCGGTCGAACCGCATTCGCCCGACCTGCACCTACGCCCCATGGTGCATACTTGTTATAGCTGATGAGTTGCTGTTGATGAAATACACGGTAAAGCCACACGTACGGTCGCCTCTGCAAACCGCGTTGTGCGGACACTACGTAGACCAGCCAGATCACGAACAGCATCTGAAGACGGATCAACTGGCATAATTATTAATTCCTCTAGGGCAGCTGCAGCGCCTCACCGAGAACTTCACATAAACGGAGAGCGCAGGTCGGTCCGTCAGACACGGGCACATCGATGCAGAGACACGGTGCCGCCTGCTTCTTCCTCTTCCTAACTACTTTAATTCACCGTCGTGGCTGTACGTCATCGCCACCGCCTCCGCACACCGCTTCAGCCGCTGCACGTCGGGGCCGCACGCGAGCAAGTCCGCCCGCACCACCGGATTCGCCGTCGCCGGCGCGTGTACGCACTCCGACGGCTCAGCGGCACTCTGCGCCTTCAACGCCGCAGCCGTGGCAGCCGCGAAGGCCTCGTGACGCTCGGAGTAGCACCTCACCACCGCCGCCACCTCCGCCTCGCAGTGCAGCTCGCGCGACGGGACCAGATAGCGGTACCGCGTGTCCTCGATGTTCTGCAGTGCCGTGTGAAGGTGCGCTTCGGTCTTCAGCAGCTTTGCGCGGTCATCCTGCACTGCAGGCGTCAACGCGGCCACCTCGTCGTCCTTCAACGGCCGCATGTCCACCGTCGGCAGCCCCTTCTTCTTCTTCGGCTTCACCGTCGGCTCCACTGCAGGGGGCGGCGGCGGAACATCAGTCTCGTCTGCCTGTGTCGCGCCCACAACACTGTTGACGGCTGCAGTGACGGTGGCGGTCTCCGCTGAGCCGGACGGCGGCCCTCCTGAGGACGCGCTCCCCGCCGCCGGCACTCGCACGAGCGGCGACACCTGCGGCCCGCTGGACCACCACGTCCACGGGTTGTACCAATGAAAGGGGTGCGCCGCCGCGTCGTCGGTGGGTCGGTGGATGACGAGTAAGTCGGTCATGTTGCCGTCGCGGTAGGCCTGCATCGCAGCGGAGCCTTTCCTGCCGAAGACCTTCTCCTCCGAGGCGGCCCCGAGGTTCACGAGCAGCACACCGAGCTTGGTGCGGCGCTCGTCGTCTTGAGGAGACATCCCGCTGCCGCCGCTGCCGTTTTCTGCACCGCTACTTGTCAAGGGCTCATTCGCTGCGCTGTCGCTGCGGTTGCTGTCGGGGAGCGGGTCGTCCGCCGCCCTCGCCGTCGGCGCAGCGGGGCCGACCATCTTGAATGCCTCCTTGCTTGATTGACTCCGCCGTCTTTGAGAGAAATCGCTCGCGGGCAGCGCAGCGTCGGGAAAGCGAAGGTGAGAAATGCGCTGGCACTGCTGCTGAACGCCACGTCCTTTGCAGTTACACACAGAGAGAGAACGCGAGGAGAGGAGCGGGGGGTACGAGACGAGGAGGTGCGGAAGTGAAAGTAAAGGCGGATGGCGCCGCATCGCGCACACGCACCGCTGCAACAAGGGCACGAAGAGCACAAATAACGCAGGGTGTCTGAATGCGCTGTGATACAAGGCGGCGTTGCGAGAGAGAGGGAGGGAGCAGCGACGCGCACGCAGAAGACACCCACGTCACATCAAGCAGTTCATTCTGCTGTGAGTCAAAGCAAAAAAAAAAATCGGAAGTAAGGATGGACGGACGCAACGAGAAGGTGCGGATCAACAGCAACGACAGCGGTATTGGCAGGTGAAAGTGAAGGAGGTCTGCGCGAGGCGCGGAAGCTCGTCATCCGGGGCGCGCACCACACACCTTACAACGTGAAAACACAGCGACTATGCGGATTCAGCGCCTGCAGCTCCGTCCTCGAAGCAGTCACGCCCGAATGGCCAACATACAGTTCGCGCAGTGCGGCCGTCTGCAGTAGAGGTGTCACGTCGGTCACATCGCGACAGCGTCGAATGTCCAGCGACTGCAGCGCGCATTGGTGCCGCGACCACCACCGCCTCTCCACGATGGAGGCGGTGGACGAAGGAGACAGCGCAGGCGGCGCGGCGAAGGCCTCCATGCTGGGGTTTGCAACGTGGGTGCCGTACAGCGTTAAGTGCGTGAGCGAGGGGATCGTCGCACAGCAGCGCACGTCGGTCACGTAAGGGCAAAAGGAGAGCGACAGCGAGGTGAGGGCGTACGCGCGTTGCCGTGCCGCGCCGCCTTCACCGGAGTCGTCGTCTACACACGCCCGCAGGCCGTCCCGCTCCATCTTCAGCACCATGGGCGTGGCGTCGTTGCCTTCACCTTCGCCTTCTACGCGGCAGCACTCGTGTAGCAGATTGACGAAGGCGAGCAGCGCTGCGCTGTCGACGGCCGTGGCGGTCAGGTCGAGCGACGTTAAGGCGCAGAACAGCGCACACGGCGCAACGCCGCGCACCTCGGCGCAGTAGGCGAAGGAGAGATGCGTGAGTGTCGCAGCAGCGCCAACGTCGAGCACAAACTCGTCCTCACGGCTGAGTCCCGCACCGTCCGCCGCCTCACACTCTGTCGTCGCCGCACGACGTGCAGTTGCATCGGAGAGAAAACGAAGGGATGGGGGGTTGAAGTGGGGGCGGCTCGGTCGCTGCTGCGATCCGCCACGCCGCCACGCACGCAGGAGGGAAGCCTCGTCCGGCATCGGCGCCATCGCTGCCTCGCTGTCACGCCGCAGCGCTGTGCGGCCCGCTTCCTCGTCCGCCCACGTCGCCGCCGCCGGGCCCGCCGCCGCGGGGATCCACAACTGCGTGCGCAGCAGCACCGCTGGCGAGGCGAAGAAGCACACAAAACCGCGGTCGAACACCGCCGCGTGACTCACGTCCAGCCGGCGGAGGCGTGGTAGATGTGCCAGGCACCCGATGTACCGCAGCGAAGTGCACTGATACAGTCGCAGCTGTTCTATCTGCGACGGCACGACATCCGCGGAAGAGGAGGAAGGCGAGCCGGCAAACGCGGTGTCCGGCGAGGCCGCCCCGTGGAGCTGCTGCGCGATGACTGTGTCCACCAAACTCGGGAACACAAAACGCATCAGGCCGGCGTCGTTCAGCGGGGTGCGACTCACATCCAACGTGCGCAGCGTCGATGCGAAGGCCAACGGGGCGATGGACCACAGCCGCGAGCAATGTGCCAGAGATAGAAACGAGAGAGTGCGACTGCGCTGCAAGCCGTCCACGCGCTCCACCCCGGCACCGTCCGCCACCACGCTCGTTAAGTGCGGCAGCAGCCCAAGAGGGCCGAGGTCGTGCACGCCATGGCAGCCGGCAAAGCTGACTTCACGCAGTCCCGCAGCAGCAGCAGCAGCAGCAGACCTCGGTTCCGCAGGCCCACCGCCACCGCTATCACCCGTCATCTCACGTGCGCCGGTCACACCGGCCAGCGCCGCTACCGTCTCGTCGTTAACGCTCGTGTTGTCGAGCAGCAGGACAGTGAGGGATCGAAGGCAGCCGCTGACGTCGCACGGTGCCGCGGCGAGTTGCGCCACCGCCGCGCCATGAATGAAAGCAGCCTGTGAAAGGTTCAGCCGACAGAGCGGGGCGGCAACTTCTGCGCCGTGCACCGCGGCCGCAACGGCAGTGGGGGCGCTGACGACTGCGTCGCCGTAATGGTCGCTTGCCGGCGGCAGCGGTAGTCGCAGCAGCCCGTCGTCGTGCCGCAACGTGCGGACGTTGTCAGCCTCCACGCAGCGCAATCGCGGGAGGTGCCACAGCGGGTAAAGGGAGGTGACGTGTGCGCACCGCGTCAGCACCACCACCTCCAAAGCGTCGCAGCCTACCAAGTCCTCCAGCTGACAAACACCGCTCGCCTGCAAGTTTAACCAACGGAGCCGCGGAAGGGCGGTGACCGCGCGAACCCGCGCGAGGGAGTGACACGCCACCAGACGCAGCTCCTCCAGCCACACAAGCGGAGACGTCCGTCGCACGTTCGGCGCTGCGTCGGTGTCCCACCTGCCAAACACCAGCGCACTCAGCTCCGCTTCGGTGATGTTGGTGCTGCTGAGGTCCACCACACGGAGAAACACGCAGCGACGACTCAGCGAGGCGAAGGCGCGTGCAGGCACGTCCGTCACACCGAACAGCATCAGCTCCTCCAGCGGCTGCGTCATCTCTTCGCCGTCGGCATCCCATGCATTTTCGCTGCTCCCTACGCCGTCTTTCCAGCTCGCTTTACTGCAGTTGAGCGACAAGAAACGCAGGTGGGGAAGAGAGTGGAGGGCGACTGCCAGCGGATGTGGCGGACCGTCCGCGTGCCCCAACACGGGCCCCGCATCGGTGTCCCGTAGATAGGGCAGATCGAGCGCCACGAGGGAGTCGTGCCACGCGGCTGCGGCTGAGGCGCCGCCGGTGTGCAACAACGCCTGCATGGCGCTGGTGGTGGACTCGAGGTGCAAGCCGCGCAGCGGGAGGGTGCGGGGCAGGGCCTCCTCGATGCGCAAGGCGGTGACACGCTGTGCAAGCTCGGCGGGGGTCACCAGCGTGTGAGGCACGTACGCCGTCGACCACCCCGTGAGCGACACCCCGCGCAGGTCGACGGTGTGTCGCACAGGGAAGCGTTTCTCTCGGCCGTCATTGCCGTGCAGCGGCCGTTGCAGGTCGTCCAGCCAGTCAACCCACTGCTTGGTGGCTTCCACGCAGTGTGCGTACAGCGGGAGACGCAGCGCCTCGTGTGAGCAGGGGTCGGCAGTTGCAGTAGCAGCGATGACTGGCCGGCGCAGCCACCACCCACACGGCGGCGGAAGGACGGTCGTCGCAGCGTCCAAGACGGCGCTCATCGCAGAGAGCCGAAAGGCGTTGTGACTCTCCTTCCAGATCGCTTTAGCGGAATCGGAGCTCATCGTTGAAGGAACCCCCGTTGTGGTCGCTGAGGCCCGCGCAGGGCCCTTCGTCGCCTGAGCAGGAGGTGACTCCGCTGTTCCTTTGGACGAAGGATGAGCGATGGTCGCCGGACGTGTTGGAGCGGCTTCCACCGAGGAGTGGGAGGCGGCATGCGTGAGCTGAGCCTCCTCCTGCAGCGCAGCCGTCTCCCAGTCCTCCTCCACGTCCGATGGCGGCGCCTCGGCATGTAAAACGGTGTCCTCCTCTCGCGGTGAGGGCGACGACTCGCCCTCGTTGTCTGACTCCACGAAAGGGCATTGAGGCCCTCCTGCATAAGCCCCCTCCTCTCTCACCGCCGCTGCGACAGCGGCGGTGCGATCACATGCCATCGCAGCTGCGCTGATCGCCGCTGCGGCCCGCTGCGACGCGCTGAGTGTTACGGCAGCCGGCACGTGGCTGAAGAGCCCCCGCACCCACTGCACGTCGCCGCCACCGCTGCCTCCAACGTCTTGTGGATTTAATTGCGGCAGCGGCGTCGTGATGAGGCGAGCGTGGCCGAGTTGCACCCCAATCGGCAGCTTCAGCACCTTCTCCCGGTACGTCTCGAGGGAGTAGAGCGGGGCCGACGGGTTCACCACGGGGGTGCGGCGGGGCGCCCGCCGCGCCAGACCAAACGCCCCTGCACGCGACGGAGACGCCGCGCCGAGAGCACCCGCGGCTGTCAGCGGGGGGACGAGGGAGCACACGTGACGCCGCGCTGACGAGGCAAAAGGGGAGCCGTCAAAGACCGCAGCGGGGGACAGCGGGCACGGCCGGGTGATGCCGGCTGCACCGCGGGCGGGCGGGTCCTCCAGTGCCGTCGGGTTGGCGACGCGCAGGCGGCCGACCGACACAAACAGCGCCGGCGACGGCGCACCATCCACTTCATCGTCGTCGTCGCCTGCCGACGGCTTCGATGGAGGTCCGCTGTGATAGGACACCGCGGTGGTGGTGACGTGCTCGAGGTCGCCAAAACATTCCGTGCGCCACATCTCGCAGTAAAGCCGCGTCAGCGGGTGCGCGAAGGCGAGGGCGAGCGGGGGCCGCTCGGTGAACCACTCTTCTCTGATGAGGACATCGCGTACAACGCACAGCCAATCCGCGGTGCGGCGGGAGTGTGGAGGGGAGGGAGTAAGAGATGCATCGAGAGCGGATGCCATGAAACACGAATATAATAATAATAATAATAATGATGAGTAAATAGCTGAATAAATAGGAGCAGCTCCGTTGAAAGCCCGTCGCAGCAGCGCAGGCCGAGAGCGATTATTTGTTTTCTTTTTTCTAATGTTACGGAGTAGCAACGATGTGGGCGGAACTGTTCGTGTCGCTGCAGCGCCTCTTGATGAATCTTCGATGAGCAGCGACGGACACTTCCTCGTTGAGTGAGGAAAGAGAGAAAATGGCAGAGGACGAGAGAGGCCTAAGGGAAGCGACGTACTTAAAATGCGGAGATACCAAGGATACGTACGCGACAGGAGAGTGCAGTGACGCCTGTAGCGCTTCGGGCTGAAGGAGGCAGTGCCCCTGCCCTACCGAAGGTCGTAGATCGAGGCCATCGAATTGCACGTCCTTCTCTTGTTTGTGGGCGTGGGGGGAGGGGATGTTTTGTCTGGGTCTGGCTAGGTGGCGCTACTCGCATATATAAGTATTTTATTATATTTATACCAACGAAACGGCTGCGCTTCGTTTTGCTGACATTCGCTAAAGGGATTGAGTGCGTGTTGTGGAGGGATGTATCGTTCCCCTGCACCGATGCTGCACGTGTCGCCTGAAGTCCTGCATCGCAGGCGGCACGGAGAACCACAAAAGCTGCGTCAGGTGGGTTTATTCTCTTTACCTCTTCCCACCCTGACCCCCCCTTTTGTCTTTCCTCAACGCAGGGCGCCGCGGTGCATCGAACGGCTCCGCGCGACCAACTTACGCGTCGTCATCATGTTGAGGGTCAGCGGACCGCGGCAGTGCACCTTGGAAGTGGAGATGGCGAAGTCCACCCCGCAGCCCAGCGGGACGCCGCTGGCAAGACGGGTGGACGCGTTCACGAGGGTCACCGCCGTGTCCACTTGCCTGCAGTACGTTGCACACACCTCGGCGTCGGTGGCCACGACGCAGTCACTCTGCTTCGACCCGTACGCCTCGGTGAAGAAGAGGGCCTGAGCGAGCGAATCGACCGTCTTGACGCACAGCATGCGGGTGCCATCGCGCACGCCGTACTGCGAGAGTCCTTGATACTCCTCCTCACTCGCCAGCTGTCGCACCGCGTCCGGCACGCGCTCCTGCGCCGCGGCATCGCCCAGCAGCGCCGCCCCTCCCACCGCGAGCGCCATCAGCAGCTCCGTGTAGCGCGGGAAGTCGCGGTGCACGATGACCGTTGTAACGGCGTTCGCCGCGCCCAGCTTTTGAAATTTGGAGTTCAAAATCACCTCCAGCGCCACTTCAAACGAGGCACTTTGATCGACGTAGACGCTGCTGAACTGGCCGGTTGCGCGCATCAGTGGAATGGTGGAGTGGCGCGAGGCAAACTGGTAAAGCTTCGGTGGGCCGCACACCACCGCCAGGTCCACGTACTCCGAAAGCTGCAGCCACTCGCTCGTACTGCGGTGCTCGGCGTCGTAGCCTTCGACAGACACCACCGCATTGGCCGGGAGACCGGCCGCGGTCAGCGCGCGACGCACCACCGTCATCAACGCAATGTTCGTGTAGTAGAGCGACACCCCGCCGTCCACGAGAACGGTGTTGCCAGCGAAGAGCCCCATCGCTACTGCGTCGAGAGAAATACGCGGGCGAAAGCGGGAAAGGATGCCGACCATCCCCAGCGGCACCGGCAGCTCGAACACCTCCAGCTGATCCGTCAGGCGAGTGCAGCGGCCGTAGCGGGTGTACGGGGCCTGCGGCGCCAGCCCGTCCTTCACGTATTGCGGAGACGTGCCGCTCTGGTGGTGGTGGTGGCCGCTGCGACGGCCGTCGTCACCGTCTTCTGCCACATCGGCCGAGTCCTGCGCGGAGTGGCCGCGTTGGCTCTCCATCGCCTCCCCGCTGCCGCGCTCGGCGTAGGGGTGCAACCAGCACGACGGCGGCACGGCAATCGGGTCGGGCTGGCAGAGCAGATAATCGATGGTGGTGTGCAGCTTGTCAAGGCGCAGTGGGGAGATGAGTAGGTGGTGGTCCGGGGTGAAGAGCAGGTGTCCCCCGCCGCCGCCTACCTCTGTGTGAGAGGCGGAGTGGCTCGTCATGTCGTGAGCATGAGGGGAGTTGTAGAAGAGAGCTGCATGACCCTCGTTCAGCTGCGTGTGGTTGCCGTGATGAGTGGGAGTACTCTCAGCTGCTGCTGCTGCTGCTATTGCGCTAGAGGGGTGGTCGTCGCTTGCACAGCGACTGGTCTCTGCTGCGGTAGTGGTGGGGGCGGCATTTGTACCCTGCATCGGACTTCCGCCACCGCGGATGGTGCAGCCCGTCTCTCCCGATCTTTCCGTATCACCCACACCGGCGGAGGTGTCGGCAGAACGAAGGGAGCTGCGCACGGTGGTGCTCGCCACGTACTCAAGAGACGAACGGGGGCGTGACGGGGCCGCTGCCGCGCCAGACCACGTGCTCTTCCCAGGACTGTGCGCAGTCGACATCGGCCCTCCAAAGGCGGCCTCTGAACGTCCAAAGGACGAGGGCATCGAACGCCCAGCCGCCGGGGAGGGGACGACGACGGCGGTGGCGGCGGCAGCACTCGGTATGGTCGGCGGGATGGTGACCGACGGCGTCCCGCGCTGCTGCTGCTGCTGACCGAAGACCTCACAGTCGCGGCGATTGGCACGGGTGATGACGTCGCTGTTGCGGCGAAGTTCGTCGTGCAGCGCCATCAAGAAGGCGCGGCGCTGAGCGAAGGAGGACGTCGCCACGAGCGTGCGCGACTCCGCGGCGGCCTGCACGTCGTGCAATATGTTCTGCACCGCGCAGCGGCAGACGGTGCGTCGCATTGTTTCTCTTTCTTTTTAGTAATATGGGATTTCTTTTCCCCTCGTGCGTGCGTTTTCCTCCGTCAACTTCTCAATGAGGCGGCCGCTAAACCGAAGTAACAAAGAGAGAAGCTCTCCGTGTGCGTCTGTGTGTCAGCGCTCGCTACACGTCCCCTGATCACCCACAGCACGAAAGAATGCTCCCAACGACGAGCGCACGGAGTGTATTTAGCGTGGGTGACAGCTTACGTTGGCGCAGGTTTGAGAACTAAATGCCGCTCCTTCGTCGTTGTTTTCTTCTGAGATGTTTTTTCTTTCTTTAATCGGCTAAATCAAGCGTGTGCTGATGTGTGAACTCGTGTGTGTGTGCGCGCTTCCTCCCTTTACACCAGCAGGATGAAATGAGGATGACTGCCGATGAGGCAGGAACAGTCCGTTTATACGATATATATATATATATAGAGAGAGAGAGAGAAGTATGCACACGGAGTTGCAGTAAGAACTTCGAATTAATAATAATAAAAGTGAATGAAGTATTTTTGATAGCGTTCGCAAAATCTAGAAAGTCGCTCGTCGACTCCGTACGGTGCAGAGTCGCAGCGAGCGCAACGCAGCGCGATTCTTTTCTCTTTCCTTTTTGGGCTTTTTGAGGGTTTCGTGCCTATCCGTGTCGCCGCTGGCTCCATCGTCGCAGACAGCGGAGGTCGGCAACGGAGAAGATGGAGAGGCGGAAATGGTGGAGGAAATGGGAGGAAAGATCACGCAGAGAAGAAGGCGGCGGCGGCGCTGAAAGCGACATCTTCTGTAAACATTATTCGGGAAGCAGGGAAACTAGAGAGTAGTACGCCCGTGCACATCGCTGTTCTCTCAACACTCAAAGAGGACTTTCCGTTTTCATCAACATAGGTAGATCCTTTTCTTGCTCTTTGTTTGTAAGAGAACGACACCTGCGGCGGTGGCGACGACTGGGAAGTCGTCAGCGGGCGAGCAGGAAGATCCTCTGCCTTACCCACCGTCATCACATCAGCGGATTACCTCAGCCAGTCCACTCTCCTAGCAGTGATACGCAAAGCCCAGAAAAAAGACATCAGCAAACTTGTGCAGGACGCACCGACCACACGTCGATGCGCTTCTCATAAAACGACGCCGTCGCCACCACTGCAGTCTTGTCGCTGCTCGTCAGAGGCTGCAGCACGGCGATGTCGTACACCAAAGTCATATCGGTCACTGCGGGGCGGCACGCAGTCACTGCCCGCTGCTCCGCCCCCGCTTCCTCGTCCGGCATGAAGTGGTCTAGCGGTGCGTCGCCGAAGACTTCGGTGGAGGCAGCGCGCACGTCGTACGGCAGCAGCGCGGCGCCGCGTTGCATCAGCGGCAGCACCAACACGTTGGACGTGTTCACCCACCCACAGGACGCGACCGTGGTGCGATCGGCAGCGGCGTTTTCGACCATCAGCGCGAGATTCCTATTGCGGCAGTCCGCGAGGAGTGAAGAGGAAGAGGGCGCTTCCGCCGGCCAGAGGGGACAGAGACAACGCGACGTACGCCACACCCCGCCGCCCAGCCCGCCACGCCGTGCCACTGGGGCACGCATGTTGCGCACATCGACCAGCGCAATCGACTCGTCGTACGAGCCGACAAGAAGGTACGGCGTGGGGAGGGCCGTCGCTGCGCCGTTGCCGCCTGTGTCCAACACCGGTGTGATGGAGACCACACCCGCGTCGAAGCGCATGCGGCTCGTTGCCCGCCGGCAGTTGCACCGCATGTCGTACAGCTTGCACAAACCATCATCGCCACCAGAGGCTAGCAAAGCCGCACTCGTTGGCCCTTTCTCCTCCCTCTCCCACTCGGAAGGGCCGTCTTCCTCATCATCGTGGGCGTCATTGCCGCTGCAGGGTTGAAAAGGAGGAGCAGCGGAGGCAGCCAGCCACCGCCCGTCCGTCGGCAGCACCGCCGTGCACCACGCATCAAACTCGTGCCCCTCCAGCTCGTGCGTCACGCGGCGCTCCTCGATGGAGTACAGCACGACAGCGCCGGTGTGCGCAGAGCACAGGAGATGCGCCGCTGCCGTGGAAGTGGCTCCCTCAGCGTAGAGCGGCGTGCAGCTCGTGATCATCTCCGCGTGAATGTGAGTCAAAGGGTCGAGCGCAGAGGCGAGGGTAAGGGGGTCAAACAGTCGGACGCTGCCGTCGGTGCAGGCCGCCGCTAAATAGCATTGAAGTGCGTCCGTCGACGAGCGATTCGGCTGGAGGAAGCTCGAGGGCACGGAGACGAGGTCGAACACACCTGGCATCGACGGCACCCCACCGATAGAGGAACTTAGCTGCTGCGTTAGGGCGGTGCTGTGAGTGCGGGCATCCGTCGTGCAGACGTACGTCGCGCACTCCCCAGTGTGGTGCGGGCCGCTGCTGTCCACGGATGCGGCTGCAGGTGACGCAGAGCTGGACTGCAATTCGTAGGAGGCGACGTGGAACACATACGCGGCTGTCCGGCTACCCGTTGGGTCTGTCGATTCGCGTGACACGGATGACGCCGTTGCGGCGTGCGCACGCAGCAGGCAGTTGCACGTCAGCGGGGTGTGCGTAGATGCCGTGTGCGCCACCTCGAAGCGCATCGTGTGTGTGCGTGTGTTGTTGGAGCGGCGAGTTCAGTGGCGGGCACGACTGCGCGTGCGAGAGCCCAACCAGAACGTATTATGGGGGAGACGAGCTCGCGCGTTTGGGCGGGTGTCGTCGTTAGCACCGCGTACGGAAGTTTTCTTTGTTCTTCTACTCTTCTATTTTCGATCCAGTTTACTGTTCACAAGAGAGAAACAACGCACGGACTGTTGCTGAAAACGGCGGCCGCGCAAGAACCTTTGCTCAACGCAGAGATGGGAAGTAAAAGTACGAAGGGAAGTTCGATCGGCTCTTCTTCGCTGCCAGCTCACAACACCTCCTCACACCTGTGTCACCACGAACGCACGACGAGCAGGCGCCGTTTCACAGCACCGCCGCGTGTAATACGACCAGGAATAAGAAAACAGATGAATGCATCCATTAACGCCTGCCGCTGCCTTGCCTCATCCGTCCTAACGCCGACCTAATGGAATGACAACGGAAGAGAAGCGATCAATTTTTTTTACTTTCGGAGAGTCTAAAGGGGAAAAAAGAAAAGAAACAACGACACAGATAAAAGTGTGTGAAAGGCGCGGTGGGCGTCGACGGCGCCGCAGCACGACAACGACACCGCAGCCTTTCGAAATGAACACGAGCGCCACCGCACACCGCTGTCTATCTAAATAGGATGTGCGGTGTGTTCTGCCTGTGTGGTCTCTAGCCTAGCCGTCGTGCGGGCTGCCCAATGAAGGCGCCACAAGCTGGAGTTGATATTTTTGTTTTTTAAGTAGTGCTCGTCTCAAATCGATAACGGCGCATTTACTGTTCGTTGGTCGCCTCACCGAGGAACTCACGCTTGCGGGAGCCGGGCTTGCCAGGTCCGGCGTACGAAAGCGCACGCATCTTCTGCAGCACCTGCAGTGACGGCATCGTGGCTGCCGCGGCGTTCGCCGTGCCGCCCTCGCCCTCCCTCGGCCCCGACTCCGCCAACAACGACTGAGAGGCGCATCGACTCACCGGCGCAGACGCCGTTGCATTCACGGGGAAAGCCCCGCTGTTGCTGCCGGCACTCCCTGCGGCCGTCATCGAGGTCCTCAAACACGATCGCAGCGGAGCCGCGCGTGTCGGGACAGCCCCGCCCGCGTTGGCGTGCAGAAACGCGCTCTCCTCCGCCGAGGGTGCTGGCGGACGGCTGCTCCGGCGGACGACGGCGGCGGCAGTACGGGTAGTGGCCTCTTGCACCTCCCCGCACCGCGCCGCCCGCGCCTCCCGCTGTCGCCGCTCCACGCTGGCGAGCTGCGCCTCCGCCTCCTGCAGCTCCGCCTGCTGCGTCCGTCGTGCCTGCGACTGCTGCTGCTGCAGTTGGTGCAGTTGGCGCCGCAAGGCGTGCTCCTCCTCCGCCCATTCCAGGCTATCTCGCTGCAGCTTCGCTTCTAGATCTTCGCGGCTCTGGAGGCGCTCCTCGGCGTCTTGGATGTCGCGCACGAAGAAGTGTAGCTTCTCGTACTCGTCGAGGGCAGCGACGTACTCCGCCTCGACCCTGTCCTTCTCGGCCAGCGCGGCGTCACACTGCGCGCCGAGCTCCTTCGCCTGGGCTTCCACCCTCTCGAGGGACGCTAGAAGGTCGTGCTTCTCCGAGGCGACGATGTCCTCGTACTTGCGGATCTCCGCCTTCAGCGTCCTCCGCTGCTGCTTGACGGCGTCGATGTCCTCCTGCATGCGGCGCGCCTCCTCTTCAGCGTCGCTCACGCGCTTCGCCCACTGCGCCACCAGCTCCACAGACATCTCGCTCTGTATCGGTCTATCGATCTATCTGTGTGTGTGTGTGTGTAGCGAAGAGTCCGTCGACTACGGTGGCTGCGACTGCGTATCTATGTGTGTACTCCGTCAGAATCAGTAAGTGAGAAGAGCCTCGGCCACAAAGGCGATGTTTGGAGTTTCTCCTCTATCGAACGTGAAGAGGTGCAGGTGCGAAAGGCTCAGAGAGTATCAGCAGCCCTTTTTTGTTTTTTGCGGACTCTTCGTGTTGGTGCGTGGGTAATAAAAGCTGTAAAAGGGAAAAAGGAATGGAGGTGTTACGCAGGCCACGTAGCGGCGCTCTCGATGACCACGATATGCGGTGAAGGGCGGAGGAGAGTGGAAGGAAACCAAGACAGCAGAAAGTGACCGCACGTAAAAGACAAAGCGCAAAGGCGCCTTCTGCATTTGAAAAGGAGCGTTGTGCGTCTTCTGTCGTTGCGGTTCGTGGAAGCTTCAAGAAGAGCGAAGGCTATTCCATTCTTCAACAACGACGTACGAGAGAAAAACGCAGCCGACAGTGAGGCACGAACGCGTCTCGCAGCGCTGACATCCGGAGACAATACATGTATATATAAGTTATTCTTGGTGTGTAGGGGGTTTTGGTCTTTGCTTGTTACGCCTCGCCTGCAGCCGCGCAGGAGAGGCTGCGACGCCCCCTCCGCGCATCCGTCGCCTTGAACGGCGAGCAGCGTGCAAAACTGAAGCAGCAGCAGCAGAGAAAGAAGAGGAGGAAGACGACTTCTTACCAAAGCAAAATACACACACATATATGTGTATATTATCATTATCTATTGAAGATGCGAGCGCGGTGGACGTGGTGCGAAAAACGCCTGCGCCGCGGCGCGTCGTCGCGCGTTCAGCGACACCTTCAGTCCGGCCACGTCGGCCTCCACACCCCGCACAAACGTCACGATGAAGCTCACCAGCGCCTCTCGCCCGTGGGACTCCACGTGCTCCGGCAGCACGAGAAACGACACGTCGTACGGATGCGCATCCTTGTCGGCTGCGGCAGTCGCCTTCGATCGCACCGGCTCACGTCGCAGCATCGACAGCGGCGCAGCGGCAGTGCCGTGCGTGCAGAAGAAGGAGATATACTGTTGAAGCAGCTGCCCTGTCAGCAGGTCGCCCGGCTGGTGCGCGGCGGCAAACCAAAGTGACACGCGAGTGCTGTTGTGGGCGGTTTCGATGAAGCACTCATCGCCCTGCGTCCACCGCAAGCGTAGTGGATTGCCGCGTAGACTGGATGTGGCCTGCGCGGAGGAGATGAGCGGAGGAGAGTTACCGCCGAGCAGCGCGTCATCGAGCTCCACCTCCGGCACCGCTTCGCCATCTGTACATGTGGAGGGGTAGTGCAGGATGCAGAGGGCAGCCCGTAGCGTGCTCTCGATGCAGCGAAAGAATGGCTCCTTTGCGGTAGACATAATAGCGGTAGTGGAACGGATCAAGAAGGGAAAGAAGTAGTAGCCGCGGTGAATACCACCGTGCATGTACTCGGCAGCTCGTGTGTGAGTGTGTGTGTGTTCTACACAACACAGTGAAGGACGGTGTACGTCGAAGAGGTGGGCAGCACGAAAGGGAGGGGGAAGGAGTCCAGTTTTCTCACCTGATAGAAGGCGTAGAGAGAGGGATAAAAGAGATGCTTTACACGGCATAACAATCGCTGACACGGTACGTGGGGCCGCTTCCAAGAACAGGCATTCCAGCACGTAGCGTAGCACTACACCAACATGGCAGGTTCTGCGAACTCGACTTAAACTGGAAAACTCCGACGACGTCTCTGCGAGCAGCGTTCATTCCATTTCGAACGCATGGAAGAGGAGGCGACACAACAAAACTCAACTTGCAAGGAGATAAGGAGAGGTGTCTCAGGCGAATGCATTCCAGAAGAGACGGAGAAGGGATTCAACAACCGCAAACATCAGAAAAGGGGGATATCAGCACTCCAGTATGTAATGCTAACACGTCATTACGGTTACAGCAAACAACAAGACAAGAAGACAAGAGAGAGAAGAGAAGGGAAAACTACGTTGAGACGGTCAGCGGAGTGCCTCGTCCTTGTGTGTGTGTATGTGAGTGGCACTCCGCGCATGAAACGCAAACCCCCAAAGAAGAGAGTAGATGGTGGAGAAGAAAAAGCGCGTTGCGTCGTGGAGGTGGAAAACCTGCGTCCCTCTCGTTCGCCAATCTCCCTTCGTCAACGCGGCAGTCAAACCACAAAGCCGTGAGCTATGGACATCGGAAATACATACAGATGCGTACGCACATCAAGCAGCTGGAGACGGAGACGAATGCCAATAATAATAACGTAAAAGGAAAAAGAAAGGGAAAAAAGAACGCATGAAGGCCACAACAGCAAAGAGAGTGCCCGCCTGCGAAACAACAACGAAGGAGCACACACACGGAGACACAACTGTGCTGCCACTTCGGTTTTCTGATGCTGCTGTTCACGACCTCTGGGCCTTACGTTGGCGAAAATTATCTAAGAGCTTCTCCTGGTAGGCGGCGGCCGCCGCGCTGGAGAACTCGTACGGCACATCGCGCGCACTCGTCACCGGGCCACCGAAGTTGGCCACGGCGGCCGGAATGCCGCCCGCGGTCGGGGAGTTGTTCGCCGACCTGCGCGGAGGCGGCACCGGGGCCGAGGAAGACGCCGAGTCCACAGAAGCGGCGGCCGATATCGCTGCCCGGTCCTCACGACGGCGGGAGGTAGACGACGTCGTCTTCTCGTTTGGCGACGGGGTACGTGTGACGGTGGGTCGAGGAGGAGGATGACCATCACGCGTAGACGCCGGCCCAGGGAGGGGTCCGCTCTCCTGCTCCGGCCTCGCTGCGCCGCCATGGCTTCGAAATCGCTCGAGCTGCTGCAAGCGGTACGCGTCGCCCGTCGGTGCGTGCGTTGTCACCTCCACCTCGTGCTTCAGGTCTTGCCAGAGCTGCTGCGTCTGCCCGCTGAGACGGCGAGCACCGGTCTCCTGTGTGCGGCCGGCACTGTCCGACAGCTTCGTCCCATCCAAGTCCCTCTCGGTCGATCCCATGCTCGACACGCGTGAGCTCCCCGTGGCTCGCATCGAGCGGCGCATTTCCAACTCCTCCCGCGCCGCCTGCTTCGCGCGCAGTCGGGTCTCGGCAAGGGCGTTGGCCAACGTGGCGTTGCGCGGGTCGAGCTGCAGGGCCATCTCGTACGCCTCCGCCGCCGGGCCGTAGCGGCGCAGCTTGAAGTACGCATCTCCCTGGCGGGCGTACCCCTTGAACCACGAGGGCCGCAGCGCCACCGCCCGGTCCGCGTCGCACAGCGCACGTCCGTAGGCCTCCTCCGCACTGCCCCACTGTCGGACGGCTTGCAAGTAGGCGGCGGAGCGGTTGCTGTGCAGCGCCGCCAGTAGCTCCACCTGCGCAGAACACGTGGCACTGCCGCTGCTGCTGCTGTCACCACCGCCATCCACAGCGCCGCTCTGACCGAGAGCCTCGATGGCCGCTGAGTAGCGCTGAACAGCCTGCAGGAAGAGTCCGGCCTCGAAGGCGCGATTGCCCTCCTCTTTCAGCGTCTCCGCCGTCGAGGCCGGACGTGGCGGCATCGATGCGGGAGCAGCGGTGGGGGCGCGGTGCGGTGGGGTGTCGAAGGAAACGGTGCGTGCGGACTGCTTCAGCGGTGCAGCGCGGCGCTCCGTCGAGGGTGTGAAGGTGCTGTTGAGCCGCGTGTCGCCATCCGCGACCCTCAAGCTCGATTTGCCGTTCGAGTAGGAGTTGAAGAGGAGGTCGGCCTCGCCGCGAAGAGACGCCGACTGCGACAGTCCCTCAGCTGAGGACGTCAGGGAGGAGCTAACCTTGGATGCGGGGCCATGGCGATGGGCCATGGCGGCCGCCGCCGTTGCCTCTGTGGAAGAGGAGGAAGAGGCGTCCGTGCGAGAAGGCGTGCGTTGGGGTACGCCATCCGGGTCGGCAACGTCAGCCGCCGTCAGGCCCATTAGGCGCATAAAGGCTTCACGGTCCACCTCTGCAGACATCGGCGAAGCAGACGCAGCGACGGTGCTAGGCGAGTCAAACAAAGAAAGCAAGAGAAGAAAAAACTGTTATACAGGCCGCTCCTACGGAACACGCCGCTGCGGGTGCTGTTGTTATTCTTGCTGTACTGGGTGGCGCGCACTTGCTGCCGCACGGTGCTACCACACTTGCGACTCCGTAGCAATCGGAAGCCGTGTAAATCCCGGAAGCGCTGGACTGCGTTGCACGCTGTTGCCTCGTTGATGCCTCGTTGATGCTGTGTTGGGTGCGATGAATCTTACTTTCGTTTTCTTTCTAATGAGCGTGGAGGCACAGTGCACGAAGTACGTGTCGCGCCGCAGCGCGGAAATGTAAGTTAAGCCGCAGAGGAAGGTGGAAGAGGGAGAGAAGGACACCGCAAAAGATCATTATTAAGAGCCTCCACAGAAGAGCACAGAAGACCTTGTTTGGAGGAAATTTCTCGTGCTTCGTGTGTGGTGTCCATCCAACCCACGAGCGGCATCTGGGGGACTCACAAAGGGTGTAACGGGTCCTCTGTTGTTGCTGTTGTTCCATTTATGGCCTTATTACACGTACGCATCTCAACAGCGGAGCCCAACCGAATTAACTTCGCATCCGGCTCAGTGAAGGTGAACTGTGCGACGCCACTCCCACCAGAGGGAACACAAAGCGCCGACTCGCTTGCTGAGGCGGTCTGCCACACCTGCGCGCCTCTGTGGTCAAACGTTGACAGACGAATTCGTAGGTAAACTCAGCAAATGAAGCCCACACAAGGCACGCGCACACACACGTATCCAACTCGGAGCAGCCTACGCGGCGTCCACTACAACAGCAGAAGGAGATAAGAATACAAAGAGAATGAAAACTAAAAAGAGCGCCAATGCATGTACGAACCACAGCATCACAACAACGGCTCACACCCCGCGCACTGCAGCAGGAGCACTGCCGGTTTCCTCCCTTCCCCTAAGCACCAAAACCAATAGAAGAGAAAAGAGAAATTTCTTCGTCGCATCACGAAGACGAGTTGGCGGTGCGCGGCAGGGCATCGATGGTGTCGAGGAAGCGACCGAAAATGTCGTACTCGCGTGCACGGCTGCCGCTACCACCACCGCCACCGCGGCGACGGCGCCACGCCACCATCACCGGATGCTGCGCGACGGCGGAGACGAGAAAAGCTCCGCAGGCCTCAACGTGGCGCGAGTTGCGCAGGAGAAGCGCGTAGAAGAGAAGCTCGTCGCACAGCCACGTCACCTCCACCAGCAAATAACGCAGCGTGGAGAAGGCCTCGTACCAGCTGCTTTCCTCACCACTTCGGTAGCCGACGCTGCTGCGGGTGCTGCCACCGCCGGCGGTAGCCAGCAGAGCTGCAGAGCCCGGCGTGAAGGCGCCGGCGTCCACGCTGCTCTCCGCGCTGCGCACGCGCGGCTGCGACATGAATGCCGACGGTGTTTGCGGCCCCTGACGGCGGTCCACCTCGAGGCCCTCACTGCTGCTCCGTGTCGCCTTGGAACCGAGACGAGCAACCGGCCCCGCTGCGTCGAGGTCTCTGCTGCCCAGCTCCTCGACAACCTCACGCATTGTGCGGGCCAGTGCACCGCTGCTATCCTCCGTACAGGTGCTGTTCAACGCGCGGTCTGCCTCATCGGCAGCCGTGCGCGTCGCCGACCCGTCGCCGCTGCCGCTGACGGTGTCGTCATCGTCGTCGCTGCTGCTGCTGGTGATCGTTGACGCGCTGTTGTCGTCGCTGGTGGAGTCGTCGGAGGAGTCGACGCCGCGTCTATCGTGCTGCCCGGTCCTGCGATGCGGCGGCCGACCAGGAGTGGCGGCACGCGACAGGCCTTTCTGCACGACGGGCGCGCGCAACGGTCCAGTGAGACTTGCCGCTCCGACAGCGCCGGCGTAATCACCCGCGCTGCCTTTCGCACCGCCCACACCGCCGCCATCCGCCGCATCGTCACTGCGCGCCACAACAAACGGCAGGCGGTCTGCAAGCGACGTCAGCACCGCCGCAAAGCGCTGCGCAAAGCTGAGAATGTGCCGCTCGCTGAAGTGCTGAGCGCTGCTGCTCTTCACCGGCTTTGCGTCCGCACGCGTCGGCGAGACGGGCCCGGCGGCCATCATGGCGGCCTCCACCCCGCTTTGCCGCGGTGCCGCGGCGGAGACGGCGTGCTGACGAAAGAGGAGCTGCACACGCTCGCGCGGGTTGCCCTTGTTGTACAGGTAGGCGTGTTCACACAGCGCCGGTCGTGCGAGCTTCGACTCGTCCTTGTCGAAGTTCAGCAGAGCCTCCGCGCGGAGGCGGTCGAGGCGCACGAGGAAGACACCGACGGACTGCGGCGCCACCGTTATCTCCACCGCCGGTGAGGCAGGCAGCGCACCGGCTACTGTTGCTGTCGTGGCGCCGCCGTCGTCGTTGCAGAGTCCGCCGTGCGCGGGTGGCAGCAGCTGACTGCCCGGTGGTGCATCGGACACGGCGCTGGACACGGCAGTCGACAACGTGAGCACCTCCGACTGCGAAAAGAGGATGAAGGTCTGGGCGTGGGTGCGGCTGAGGTTCGTGACGGCGACCGCTGTCTCGGCCCACCGCGAAGACGACGCCGCGGAGGGGGGAGATAATGAAGAAGCGACAACGGAAGCAGCAGCAGCGGTGTGCACGGGACGCGCCGCAGGAGTCGGAGTAGGCGGCGAGGGGGAGGTGAGGGACGTCGCGGCCGGCGATGGCGTGCCGGAGAGCGTGCGGTCGCTCATCTCGTAAGCGGTCGGGTGCGTTGTCGCCGCACTCGCTGCGGCGGTCTCTGCTGCGTCCATGTCGTACTCCAACGCCACTGAAAACGTCGGCTTGAAAGCTTCGAACTTGACGTTGAAGGTGAACTGAGCATCGCGTGCCTGCTTACACTTGAAGACCACGTCTGCCTCGCCCACAACGCTGTAGCCGTCGGGCATGTCGTGCAGTGCGGTGCAGCTGAGCAGGAAGGCGAGCCGCAGCGGCGAGTGCGGGTCGACGACGAAGTACTTCTGGCCTGTGCGCATCGCCACGGTGTGAATGTGCGACACCGTCAGCTTGCCCTCGAAGGGCGTCGACGAGAAGAAGCTGCCGACCGCAGAAGCCGCGCCGGCCGCGGCGGAGGTGGCCGTCGCGTGGCCCACACGCGATACCCCACGTTGGTGGTGTTGGTGATGATGGTGCTGTTGGTGGGGGCTGCGCTGCGGTGGTTGGTTGTGCAGCGGCATCTCATACAGCATCAACGAGTTTCCTGCCGCTGTCGTCGCAGCGGCAGACGCCTGTGCGGTGCTTTGCAGCGTCGATGGTGACGCGGACAGCGAGTTGGGAGTGGGTGAGTTCACGCCACCACCGCTGTTGCTTTTGATACCGTTGCCGGCAATTTGATGCGGCACGACGGCTGCATTGGCGTGTCGGCGTCGGTATGTCGCCGTGGTGGTTGCGCTGCCGTCCCATGCCGTGGGTGGGATGGGCCGCAGCTCCTGCCGCATCGGGTGCACCACCGACACCGGGAACTCCAGCGCCACGTTGCCTTTGTTCACGATCTCAAGCGTGATGAGAGTGCGGGTAGTGCCCGGGCCGTACAGCGCACCCATGTCCACGTTGTGCACAGCGCTGGTCGTGGCCAGTCGGTGACCGCCGTTCATCGCGACGACATCAAAAAGACCCTCGGCGGTGCCGGCGATGAAAACTTCGGCGTTGACGCGCAGGTACACCACCTCGCGCGTGTCGTGGGAGTTGGTGATCGCCACGTAGCCGATAAACGATCCAACGTCGGAGGAGAGCACCTGCAGACGCAGCGGCTGTGTCTCTCCGCCGGCCAACACGCCGGACGACGACGTCAGCAGCAGCCACACCTGCGGGCTCTGCGAGACGACCTGCACGGTGTAGCGCACCGCCGTGTTGGGCAGGTGATTTGTGATGAGAATGCTGGGGTCGTAGCTGTCGTCGCGCGAGACGGCGAAGTTGGAGACGTACGCCCCGCCGCAGCCCGGCAGCGGATCGCAGTTCCGCAGTGACAGCACCCAGTGCCGCGGTCCCGTCGCGTCCGGCGCAATGGCGGGCACCACCATCGTCGCCGAGGTGTTCGGCGCCGCGGCTTCCGCTCCGCTGTCGTGGGGTCGCACCGCGCTCGGTACCGCACTTGCGCCCCCCGTACCACCACCGCTGCCACCGGCACCTTCAGTGCTCGTCTCTGGAGCCTCGATGGAGGTCGTCTCGACGGTGCGCAGCCCCGCAGCAGCGGACGGCGGCACCGAAACTTCCTCACCCGTCGCACTTGCTGCCACCGCAGCGCCAGTGGCGGTAGCACCACCAGAGGCTGCGGCGCGCGCTTCGCCGCGGCTGGTCGTTGCGCTGGCAGGCGGCGGTGTGGCGTTCCGTATATCGTTGTTCTTGCCTCCGCTTTCCTTCGCGCGATCTGCGCTGCTCGTCACGACGGCCGCCATCGCTGCGGTCTGTTCATCCGCCTTTGGTGAGGCTGGCAGTGCCGCTGCTGGCGCGCCGGCGGTGGTGGTGGCTAAATTCTGTGCAAGCGGCAGCGACGCACTCAGCGTGACCGTCGGCAGCGCCTCCACACCATCGGGCGGCGTCGTTACGCTCACACGGCTCACGTGATAGCTGAAAGGGACGTTGTTATCTATAATCAGCACCGACACGAACTGCTCCAGCGAAGTGAGAGACAACGGCGGTACCGTCGGCGTGGTGGTGGTCGTCGTGGACGCAGAGCCGGTCGCGGAGGCAGTGGACACCGCACGCGCATCTCCCGCAACGCGCACCGCCACCGTCAGCACCACCGCCTCGTGTGGGCCGAGCAGCAGACAGTGTAGCGGCGACACCGGCGGTGACCCGCCCACCGCACCTGCTGCAACAAACGACGTCGCCAACACCGGTGTCGGTGCCGGCGTGGAGGCAGCGGTCGGCACGTTCGTGCTGGACGCCGCTGCGAGATTCGAATTGGCCTCCGCCGCGAGCGTGGCGTCGCTGCGCATTGTCTCGGCTAGCGAGGCCGCCGTGCCGCCACCGCCGCCGCCGCCAACGCTGCCGATCGGTGAGGACGCCACGACGCGCTGTCCGCCACGCACGTCGATCTCCAGCGGCACCCCCAGCCGATCGCTGACGAGCACCGCGACGGACAAGTCCGCCACGTACGCGTTGAACTCATTCGTGATGGTGATTTCGCCCACGTACCCGATCTGCAGCGTTCGACTGCTGCCGTCTGCCGGCGCCACGCTGATGCGGCTGGGGCGCAGCGATACCTTCGACGGTGCAGAAAAAGTGCGGAAGGTGCTCAGCGTGCTGTACACCTGCACTTCCTCATCCTCTGTAAACGGGTTGGCCACCCACACCGTGCCGAGCCACACGTTGTTCGACACGAGAGCTGCGCTGCGCCGCTCGACCTCCGCAATGCGCTCATACGTCCAGCTCGACGAGGTGCTGCCGCTGTTGCTGCCGTTGGTTGCGGCGGCGGCTCCCGGGCTGTCCGCTGTCGCAGTGCCTTTCGCGGCTGAGCCCGTTCCGGCAGGACCGCCTGTCTCGCTGATGCTCTGCCCTGCGACCACGACGGCCGCCGCGTTGGCGCGCGATCGGCGGAAGCCGTAAAAGAGCGACACGAGAGCGGCCAAGTCGCCGCTGCGCAGCATACATCGTAGCCGCAGCCGCTGCGACCGCGTTGTGGTGGTGGCGGCGCTAGACGTGGCGTTGGCTCCGCCTGAGCCGCTGGACGTGCCGGCGGCTTGTTTGCGGGGCTTTTCGGTGGGCGTGGTGCTGACGGGGGCAGCCGCTGCCACCGCCGCTGCGGCTGGTAATGCACCACCACCGATGCCGGACGAGGTGTTCTGCGAGGAACGCGACAGACCAGCGGTGCCGGCAGAGGCGACAACGGAGTCGCCCAATGACAACGGAGTCCACGTTCCGCTGCGCATGGTAGCGCTCAGGCCGGACACCGAGCCCGGCGCGACGACGTTGCCCGGTGAAGTGAGGCTTCCAACCGTCGCTGCGTCGGCAGCGACAGCGGCGGCGCTCGATGCAGCGGCCGTCACCGCACCACCCACTGAGGCATTCGCCGCCGCCCCGGTCAGTGGCGCCGTCGCGTCGCTGCGGAAGCTTAAATGCGTTGCGGCGGACGTTGCGTCGTAGTGCAGAAGGAGCAGCTCCAGTAAACCGTCGAGCTGCGGGTTCGGCTGAACGTGCAGGTCGAACGCCACGTCCGGCTCCGTTGCGACAAAGGCGAGCTTCAGCTCCGACAGCGGTGCCTGCAGCGACGGCTCCACGTGCAGCGGGGACAAGGTGACGGCGTCACGCAGCTCCTCCTCGGTGTCGGTGCGGACGATGTTAAACACTTTCCAGTAGTGCTGCCCGGTGATGCAGACGGCCATGTCGTTCTCGGGGTTCCACTCATTCACAAAGAAGGCCTCGTAGCGAAAATTGCCCTGCGTTGTGATCAGCTTGAGGTTCAGCGTGGCATCCACCGACACCGTCGCACCGGGCGGCACCGTCAGCCGCGCCTGGCTGAACCGGATGACCGGCGGGCACTCCACCTTCAGCGGCAGCGGCATCACCGCGGACAGGTTTACCAGGCGGAAGGACACCACCATGTTGTGGCTCGACGACTGCTGCAGCCCCGACTTGCCGCCGTCGCAGCTGAACTGCTGATGATTGCCAGGCCGGCGAAGCTGCGCGAGGCGGACGCGACGGCGCCGGCGCACCCGCGCGGCAAAGACAGCCTCCTCGTTGTTGCCGTTGCCAGACGTCGCTGCCCCGTCGTCCGCCGCTGTTGCATCGTTGTCGCTGCTGCTGCTGCTGGACTCCTCGGCGGTTGCGGAGGTGGGGGAGGCGGGCGGTGACGCTGATTTGGCCACCAGTCCCAGATGCACCACCGCCGGCTCCGCGCGTCCTTCACTCATGGACATGGACAGCGTGACGGGTACCACGAGCACACACTGCCCCACTGCTGGGCCGCTGTATCGGTTGTTGTGCCGCCGCGGAGAGGCGGCAGCCGTCTTTGCCGAGTGTGCGGTGTACGTCACGCACACGTGCAGTGTGGCCGAAATGGTGACCAGCTGATGCCGCAACACCGCCTCCACCTCCGCCGCGGTCAGGCCGGGTAATCCTGTCAGCGTCCACACGACGACCTGCGCGCGATTCGCCTGCAGCTCGACGCGTCCCTTCACGTACGTGGAAGACGGCGGCGGACTTGTGGTGGTGGGGGTGGTGGAAAGTGGCGCGGTAGTGCCGGAGCGCGGTCCGGCGGCAGTTGTGGAGCTGGCACCCGATGCTGCCGCCGTAGCAGCATCCTCCTCGGAACTGAATGCTTGCCGCTGCTCCTCCGCCAGTGCGTGGCGCACCTGCGCCTCATCGTCCGACGTATGAAACCACAAGGGAAGCTCGCGCGCGGCCGACGTGATGGCCGAGGTGGCCAGCACAACTTCGCGATTGCTGTGGTAGTTCGCCATCTTGATGCTGCACGACACAGGCTGGTGGAGATGCAACTCTTTGCCGTTTTCGCCGCGCACCACCGCCGCCATTGGAAACGTCAGCGGGGTGTTCAGCGCCGGCTCGACTTGTACGACGCCGTCGTTTAGGCGCAACGCGTTGAGCGAGACACGAATCGTCTCCTGCGCGGTGCTGCGGTTCACTACATCAATGTACTCCTGCGCGAGACCTGGTGCGGGCAGGTGCAGCACGAGCGGCACGGCGTGCTCCTCGAGGGGCGCGAGTGTGAGCTCCTCCTCACCGTGTGTGGTCTCCTCCGCCACCTCGACCAGCGGCGAGGACGGCACCAGTCCAATGCGCAGCGCGAAGCTGCAGGAGGTGTTGCGTAGCGTCAGCTGCGTCTTGACGTAGTGTTGGGTGGGCTGCACGCATCCGAGCTCCAGGCTCCGCTGCAACACCTCCACGAGGCCGCTGCCGACGCACGCCACCGCGCGCAGCACGGCCTTGCCGACGACGCAGAAGGCGGTGCTCGACACGGCAGGATTCGGCGTGAGCGCCTCCACCAGCACACCGGCGTGAATGCTGCGCGCGCGCGGATCGACGTAGCGCGCGCCCGGTCGCAGCTGCACGTAGACCCGCACCGTCTCCTTGATGAAAAACCGCCGAATCGGATGAACCAGGGGAACGGTGCACGCGGCATCCTCGAAGAGAGCAAGCTGAGACGGCTTGTTGGTGCGCACGACAAGCGCGTGCGGAAAGGGGAAGCGGCTGCGAATCAGAACCACCTGTGCCTCGAGCTGCGACGGCGCGCACGGCGTGAGGACGTCCCGGAAAAGGAGCTCCTTCGGCTCCGTGGTGAGCATGTCGTTTTCCTCGGTTGGATTCATCTCCACCGTCAGGTAGTGCACATCTGCAGCGTTGCGAATGTTCTTCACGGGGATAAAATACTTCTGCGGGCCAACGCTGCGTGCGGTGCACTCCACTACAATGCGCAGCGGCTCCTGCAGGCGCACGTGCCCGTTGCGCGGGAATAGCTTGAACCGGGCATCCAACACCTCCGGTACGCTGCCCCCACACCGCCGCGGCTCGAGCACCACGATCGTGGTGTCGCCGTCGGCCTCCACGAGGAAGCTGAACTCTGTCTGATCGTTCACGATGCAGTTGCGCAGGACCAGCAACGGGTGGCCCATGAAGGTGGAGCACAAACGGCCACCACCGCCGCTGTTCGCAAGAGCCCCTGTCGTGGCGAGGCGAATGGATGGGGGTGGCCGAGCCTGTTGCACGCGCGACGGTACAAATGTACTCTTCGCCGCTGCTTCTGTGGAGGGTGCAGTGAGTGGGTCGGTCGCAACGTCCGCGCGTGACGCATCGATGCTCGTCTTTCCTTGAGCACTTGTTGCGTTGACTACTGACGGCACGGAAGTCAACAACTGCGCGGCTGCAGCGACGTCGACGGAGACAGCCAGCTGACGCGGAAGAGTGTCACCGGGAGTGCGCATTAAAATCATATCGATTGGGATAATTCGATTTGCCTCCTGATCCCGCGCTTCGTAAAACAGCATATTCATGGTTTGAGACTGCGACACCGGGATTGACTCGTTGAGCGCGCGTTTGCACACGAGGAATAACGTGACCATCACTGATTCACCGGCTCCCATTGACGGCAGCGCAACGCCTTCGCGACGCAGCAGCTGCACCACATCGCTCTGCTGTGTTTTGCTCTTCAACGCCTGCAGCGCAGTTGTACTACTCTCATCTTCACTCTCCGATAGCTCATGATCGGTTGCGCCTTGCGCGTTCGATTGCGCGGATTCCAGCGCCGTTAAATCCACCTCCTCACCTTTCAGCGCCAACTTGTACGCCTCAATCTTCCGCCGTGCATTCTCCGCCTTCTCCGTCTTCTTCTTGCGCACATAAATCTTCAGCTTCTGCTCCAGCTTCTCAATCTGTTCTTCCAGCTTTCGCGTGGAGCCGGAGCTGGCCCCCGTCAGTGTCATGTCAAGCTGCACCGCCACTTTGACTCCAGGAAACGCAAGGTACGGATTCGACGCGGTCACGCCTGACGCCGAATTCGAATTGCTGAGTTCCACGCGCACAATAATTTGCCGTCGCGAGTTACTCGTATTTGTTACGGTGAACTTCGCACCCACACGCGCGTTCGACGCAGCGCCTGAGCTTGCACCGCCACCACTCCCACCTGTGCGGTCATCTGTCCCGTTACTGGAAGCAGCCGGTGCCGCGGAGGGGGCCATGAGCGACGTCACGTTCGCCGACGGTGGCACCATCATCTCGAACACCCACGAGTCAGGACTGATTTCAAACGTATCTGCCTTCGTCACGACTGCTTTGATTGTCACCGTGATTGAGTTCTGAATGTTGAGAATGTTCGTGACGTGTATCTTCTCCTGCAGCACACCCTTGATGCCAGGATACAGGGTGAGCTCGATCTCGCGTGACGCGTACGGACGAATCGTGAGAAAAATGGATTGCTTATCGCTGTGCTCCATCCGAATGTGCTCCGCCGTGACGGAACGCGACTTCGATAGCTGCAGAAACAGAAATGAGTTACACCGATTTACGATGGGTAACTTCGTAGTCTTCTTCACGCCAATATTCACCTCGCCAAAGTTCTTCGTCTTCTGGCCGCTCAGCTCGAACGTTGTGCCGCACAGCCGATAGGACAAACGCACAAACCGCGGCGCCTCAATTCCGTCCACGGCGATGGAAATGCCGTCCTCCTTCGTCACTGGCTCTGTTGGGCAGGCAGTACGAATAATCAGCGCGTACGCCTTCAGCGACGCGTTCGGCTCTAAAGCAATGCGGTTCGTAATGTTGTGTGACGTTTCGCTCAGCAACTTCAGGAGTATCGCACGCGCCTTGAAGAGCTGCTCGGCGGATTCGTTTGTGAGATAGCTGGAGTCCTCGCCTTCGCCGTACAAGCAGAGCCGACGGAGTTCCGCTGATATTTCGCCTAGTTTGTCGCACAGGACGACATCGGTGGAGTAGAAAACTTCGATCTCCGGCGACGACGAGCGCAGGTTGAGCACCACCTCACGATTCACCTTCGACTGCACACTGTACGGAACGAGCAGCGGTACGTTTGAGATTGCCCACAGCGTGGACGGCCCGTGACGAGTGTCAGCGACATCGGTGCCGCCGCTGTTGTTGCCACTGCCATCAAGATCGCATTTCCACGAGTACAACTCGTCATGCAACTTTGTGTCAACTGGTGACATGTTGTTTGCCTCGATGTTCATCACCTGCCGGTCCTCCGCCGGATTGGACGCGTTGATAATGGTGAGCTGCTTGCGATACATTGGATTCACACGCTGCGGTGTTATTCTCAGCGTGAGAGGTAGTGACGCTGACGGCGCAATGGTGAACTCCTCGCGCAGCTCTCGGCCTGCGCTTTTGTTTGTGTGCAGGATTCCCTCGATTTGAATAATCTTGCTGCGCAGCTGCACGACGACCTTCCCTTGGAGGGGCGAGCGGTTTTCAATCTGAAAGGTGTACCGTTTGCTCTGGCCGACCTGGCAGTCACCAAAGTTGACGGAGTGCTGAGACACGACGATGTTACTCGTATAGAGCATCGCCGCACATCGAATCACCGCACGCTGACTGCTGACGCGGCTTGTCGATTCAGCGAGCAGTTCGACTTCAAACCTCTTCTTTGCTGCCTCCCTGTTTTCGGCGTCGTAGGAAGGTTGATACATCAGCGTGATAGCCGTGGACGGACTCCCTTTCTGCGCCGCGATTGTCAGCTCATCCACCGTCGCGCTGCCCTTCATCAACGAGAACTTGCCGTCGTACTTGCGTCGATCGGTGTCGGCGAGTCGCACGACAACGTCCTCACGACTGTCAACATTTTGAACACGGAGTTGCGCTAGCGCTTTCGTGCCGCGATACACATCGCCGAAGTCGATCGATGTATCCAGCAGCGCCAAAATGTCGCCCTGTGCTTCTGTCCCGACGTTGACGTTGACGTACACGAACGTTGAGTTGCGGTTGTCACGCAAGTTGTCACACTGGAGAACGGTGTGATACTGCTGCTGCACGTTCGAGTTCGCCCCACCAGAGCGCAGCATCAGCGAGAATGTCATGGACGCGTAGCTGTCCAGCAAAATGCGGTGCCCCAGCTTCGGATCCTCAAACTTGTCGGCTTCGTAGAGGGCAACATCCAGGCCTTTCAGCGGCATCGGTTGATCGCGAATCAGAAACAGTACCGGTTGGCAGGAGGTGTTGGTGACGACAAAGTCGGCAACCTGCGTTTTATTGGGTGCCATAGCGACCTGAATTTCGGTAGAAGAGAGCTTCAGAAAGGAGACGTACACGTTGGCCCGAAAAGGAATCGTGAAGGATCTGGTGCTCTGCTGCGAAGAAGAAGAAGTCGGTGACGCTACCTGCGCTGCATCGTCACCTGTTGTGTCTTCGGCGTTGTCTCGAAGCGTCGAAGGTGGCGCTGGCTGCACACTGGTCGTCGTGAGCTGCACCGTGCCGATGAAAGAAGTTGCCTGTGCACCCGTAACGAGATGAGAAAACGCAGCAGGCTCGGCGCGGAAGGCAACTACCATTTGTTTTTCTTCATGTGGGGCAAGCTCAAAGGATGTGATGAGGCCGACAAGATCAAACGCTTCGCCGTATACGTAGAGAGAGTCGCGCAATCCAACCTGCTGGATGGCGTCATAGTTTTCGTTGTGCAACTGGAAGCGCAGCAACGAGCTGCTGGAAGCGATGCTGACAGACAATGGAGTATCGGTTTTGTTTCGTACTCGAATCGGCCGATAGGTTGGAATGTCGTTTACGGCCACCTCATCAAACTCGATGTTGCTGCAGTTCACTTCAAGCATTCTCGGAGCGAATAAACAGATTTTCAACTAAGAAGCAAAGAAAGAGGAGCACCAGCAGTAAAACAGCTTAGGGCTCTTTGAAGGTAAAGAGAAGAAAAGAGAGGAGAGAGAGAGAGGAGAGAGATGAGCAGTGACAGTGAAGAAGCAGCAGTGGTCTGTTCATTGAATAAAGTACACGTCGCTAAAAGCCTCTGTTCAACACGAATCAGGATGAACGTGATAGCAGGGCTGGGATTTCAGCTTCATGTAAGGGAGAGAAGAACAATAAATGATGAATCAAGCCAGATGAGCTCATCAATGCCGCGACACTGCTGCGTAACAGAGAGTACGAGAGCGTTTCCTGAGCATTTGAAGCTACACGATTGAGGCAAGAGGCAAAGAAAGAGACAGTACGAACAGCAACTGTACAACCCGTAGGTGTTGCCCCCGCACCCTCCCCTGACTCGCTCTGTTCTCACACAAAGACGCTTTGAGGGGAACGAGACACAAAACTTCGATTTCGGCGCTGCCACACCGAGAGAGATGCCCATCTAAAGAAGCGCTCAACGCTGTGTTCGTTTTGCAGAGCTCACATGGCTCGTTTTGACACACAGACGCAGTCAAAAGGCCCCTGATGTAATACGAGGGAAGATGTGCCAGGTGCAGGTAGTCCACCGCATCTCGCGCAAGAAGCCCTTCTACGAGGCGATTGCACGGGCGCCGTGGAAGAGGTAGAGCGCGCGGCCGTGGTGGTGTGCGGCGAACTCCGCCCTCGCCCGCCGTGCTGCTGGGGCTGCCGCGGATGCCGTCCGCCTCACAGCCTGGCGTCTCGCCGGCGCCTTCCTCGGCGCAGCGCCGCCCGTGTGCACAGCCGGGCCCGCGACCCGCTGTGCCCAGCTCCTCGTCTCCCGCTTCCACGGCGCGCGCTCGATCTCATCGTAGAAACGATCGCAGCGCGACACGGGGTGGCTGGTGAGCACCTTCCGCATCTTCTCGTGGAAGTACTCGACCGGCGGGTTGTGCTTCTTCGCCGCGTACAGCAGGCGGCGAAGGCACCGTGGCAAGTCGCGGCGGTCGACGAGCCGCGCTTGCAGGTGGTGGCGGAAGAAGTTGGCGGTCATGTACAGACCGCAGTCGTCGCTGTAGCGCTCCTGCCGCGGGCACTGACCCTTGACCATCCGCAGGCCCGGCCACACGCGCGCAAACACGGAGCGCAACTTCTCCTCCACCACGGGGGACGGCGCGGAGTCGTACGTGGTCAGCACCACCTCGGACTCCCTTTTGCTGCCGCCCTTCGCCGGCTGTGCGGTCAGCACACCGGCGATCCAATGCTTCATGACGAAGATTGGGAAGTAGAGGACACCCTGACGGCGCACCTTCTCCACGAGCGTCTTGACGCGCTCGGGGGCCAGGTACACCATCGTGTCCGACGGAACGATCCTGAGAGCGGGGAGATACCGCGCGTAGATCACGTCCAACTCGACGTTGGACGTTTTCCCCTCGCGGAGATCACCACCCCACACCTCCTTCCGGAAGGCGCGGGGCACATCGGCGGTGGCGCTCGCCGCAGTCGGCGCAGTGCCACCTCCCATTCTCAGGACGGCGCGCGGCCCGCCGGGACTCAGTTTTTTGAGAGCTGAGTCTCCGGCATATCGTCACCGCCGCCGCGGTACGAGTGGCTGCCGTAGCCACCGCGGCCTCCGTAGCCGCCGCGACCGCCGTATCCACCGCGGCCGCCATTGCCCTGGTAGCGCCGGGCCTGCGTGTTGATCGCGCTCTTCACGCGATTCATGTTGGGCACGACGCCCCGAGCACCGGTGTACCGCATCCGCGAGATGTTCTCGCGGATCTCCTGGGTGAGGGCCACCCCCACCGCGCGCTCCTCCTCGCGGAGCGTCTGCACGCTCTGGGAGAGCGTCTCCAGGTAGCCTTCCAGCCCGGAAAGGTCCACCACCGCAACCTGGGTGCCGTCGGCACCGTACACCGGCGCCGTCGCGCCGCCTCCCTCCAACAAGTCCCGCCCCTTGCGTGGCCGGCGGTAGAGCTCCTGGCGTGGCTCCTTCTCGCGGGCCTCGCCCCCAGCCTCCAGGGCCTTACTCGCCTCTCGCGCGTCAAGGCGAATTTGCAAGTTCTTCGGGGAGAACTTGTCGATGGGAGGGAACAGGGGGAGATCCACTTCGTCGAGGATCTCGCGCCACTCCTTCATGGCGGCCGAAGGCATGCCGGACACGACAAAGGCGTTGTAGCGGTACAGCCGGGTGTCCTCCGGCTCGTCCACCATGAGAGAGATCCACTGCAGGACTCTCTTCTCATAGGTGTCGGTGGCACTTTCGGGGCCCACCAGACCCAGGAGGATGGCCGCCCCCGAGGCGACAACCGGCGACAAGAGCTTGGCCTCCAGCGCGGCGATGTACCGCTCCAGGGCACGGTTCAACGCCCCGCTCGTCTTTGCGTCGCGGGCGACGTCCTGGTCTTTCTCCAGGAAGGCGTTGAATTTACGGATCTTCGGATCCGTAAACTCCCGCTGTGCCTCCAGCATCTGGAGCTTCACGTTAGCGGGCTGGCGGGTTGGGACTGGTTTCTGGGCGGCTCGGACACCAGCCTGTCCGTCAGCGCGACAACGCGCTGCATGTACTCAGCCCTGCTGAGCACCCCCTGTCGGTACAGCATCTGCACCTGTTTCGCGGCTGTGGCTGTCCGCGCGTCTTCTAGGAGGGGAGTGACATCGATGTCACCCCGCTCCTCTGCAGGCTGCCCGCCAAGCGGGATCTCCTCGTGGTGCTCCTGGTCGCTCATTTCTGCGGTAAGCAACGACCTTCGTAGGCAAAAACAAGAACTTGTACTCGAAAACGCTCGAAAACGTTCAGCGCGAAACAAAGCCTTCACTTGTGTGCTTCATAGGACAGAAATCTCTGAAAATTCATTCGCAGATTTCAGCAAACCAAAGCGTAGCTGCTTCGGCGATACTAACTTACTATGACTTCATCGTTGAAAGCAGTTTTCTCAAAGCAATGAAGCAAATAAACCTGTACTATTCTTCAATGACGTACGATCAGCTACTTCCACTTTATAGTGGGAAGAAACGCCGTTGCAAAGTGACATGCGGTAATCCCCGTTTCGCAGTTAAAACGAGCAGGCCTGTCTGAGGAATACTGCAGGGCAACAGAAGGACTCAATCCTGAAGGCTTGATCACCGGTGAGAAAGGAAGTTGAATACGCTGCCAGGCTTGGAGGTGAGCAAGTCCATTTTGCGCTTCCAGAAAATAACTTAGTGGTTTCAAGAAGTGCAGTTTTTATTTGATTAGAACCTTCCGCGCTGCATTAACGTGACCTCGAACGACGACAAATTGTTCGTGGTGAGAGAGAAGGTTGAGAGGGCAACGAGACTCTCTCAGGAAAAGAAAAGCCATCGTCTGCGATGCGCGTGGCTGCCGTGAAAGACGAACAGTTAGATTTAGCGCCGCTGCCGTAAGCCAACAAAGGTTGTAGCAGAAATTGGGAAAAAAGCAGAAGAGACAGACAGGAAAATGCAATAGAAGGCGAATACTAGGAGAAGCAGTTGAGGGATTGATCCTTGAAGCGTATTGGAGCAGTGCTATTCTGTGCCTCAGCATGGGTCATCTCGGTCTTTCCGGTCTACGTAAGAGACCGCACCGCCATGCCTTTTCGGTAGGAGCAGTTAAAGGTCAATGATTTCCTCACGCTCGAAATTAGCACACGGAGAAGTACGACATCGAAAGGGTGGCTGGCACTATGTTGATCGCGGTGGTCCTTTGGGGCACACGTCTGTGCGCATCTTGACATCCTTAAACGCGGTTCAAATGTTGGGTGAAGGATGTGAAAAGGAGAAAAAGAGAAAAAGCTAGCACGCGCTGTTGAGAGGAAATGAAAGAAGAAGAAAAAATACTCCGGAAATATAATTCTCCTTTTGGCCAGAACGAAGGCGTCGTAGAGCACTAAACGCATTCGTACGCCGTCGCCGTCGTCGACACCAAAGCTGTGGGCATCGGTAGAGAACGTTGTCTGTGAGACGAGTTGGACGAAAGCGTTGCCGCGAAGGGAGCCGAGGAAGAGAGGTCAGGGAGGGGGAGTAGCTCAGCTCAGGACAAATAATTAAAAAATGAAAGCAGCAGAGAGAAGCTCTTTAGTGAAATTCAAAAGAAAACAAGATAAACGAGAAAAACAATCACACGCTTGACACAACACCAAAAGAGAGAGAGCAAAAGAAAAACGAAAGGGTTGGAAGGAGAAATCTCTAGTCCAAAATGATCGTGAGGGCGTAGAGGAAAAGGAACAGGGATCGCAGAAGAGTCACCCAGATGCACCGAACGTGGAGGACGAGGTGGGACAGCGGGTAAAAGGGGGCGCGGAAGTTGTAAAGATACGCAACGGCAGTGAAGAGAGAGAACGTGACCAACAGCGCACACCTATTCAGCATTCGCCCCCTCTTCACGGCACCGACTCGCTCGTCGCGTGCCCGGTGCGTGTTGCCGTTCTCCGCGTCGTTCACGCTGCCGTTTGTTGGCACTGGTCTTCTGCAGCAGCTGAAGGGACACAGCTCACGCAGGAGAAACACAATCATCGCACCGCACTCCAGCAGCGCTGGTACGAAGCACCATAACCACCAGAGAGCCTTATTGTACCCCTCATCGTACGGGTCCGGCTGCGTGCCATACTTGTACAGGTCCCAGCACGCCAGGTAGACATCCACGATGAGGTAGAGGGTGAGTGCGAGCGCCAGGACAACGCAGATCCTTCGCGCCCATGAGCAGCACGTATGACGATGTGTGATTGTCACGCCGGTATCCACGAAAACGACACCCTCGCCGCGCAGCGGATCACGTTCCTCAACATGGTCTGCAAAATCAGTCCTCGGCACCTCTCTCCCTTGAGCAGAAGGGATGTGAAGAGGCGCAGTGGGCGCTGGAGGCTGTGGATCCTCCGCACCACATGTGTTTGTGTGCATCGCCAAGGTCACCCCTGGGATGGCCTGCGTCGAAAAGGAAAACAAAAAAGGAGCGTACTTTCTGCGGTGGCCTTGGGAAAGCCCCACAATCGTCAACCAATAGTTTTGTTTGTTTGTTCAACAAGAAGAGTACGAGCGAGACACTCAGATGCAAATTGGTTGCCTCAGTGCCGTGCGGAGAAGGAGGAAACTGCTGTGCCGTATTCGATACTACTCTCCCAACTTTCGATCGCAAACACAGAGACAAGTAGAAGACGGTGTGGGAAGGAAAAGGTGAGAGGGACAAGTGGGAAGAAACCTCGTTGTTCTCTTCAAATCGGAAATGGCAATGTGCACGAAAGGCCCTGAAAACATGAAAGTAGTACTCGTACAATGTTACTCTTCAACGCTTGAATGTGGCACCTATCCTTATCGTTCAACGTAGAGAGTGCATGGAAATCAAAAACAAGAAAAAGCTCTCTTGCAGGCACAATTCCAGATGCAACAGTGCTTAACTGACGATTCCCAACACGAGAGAGAGACAACGGCTCTCGTCGGCGAACCGCAACTTCGAAAACAGTTGTACTCAAGGCAGCAACCTAAATTTTGCTAGATTTCTGGCAATGATGGTTGCATCCATTTATGTCATCCTTGTCACACACACCCTCTAACGAAAGAGACGTACTGTATATTTAAACAAAGAGCTCCTTTTCGTTAAATTGGGGAAAAAAACTGAGGCCCTAATTTGGGAAAAGAAAAAAAAGATGAAAATATAGGTAAAAGAGGGTTAAGGTGACAGAGACACCTGCGAGTAGCGTAGACGTGAGAGCGGCTTCTGCTCCTTAACATAGAGAATCAAACAAGATTCTTTTAGAAGTAAGAAAAGAGAACAAATGGTAACTTTTGGTTGACCTCTTCCAGGTCAGTGATTCTATTAAAGAGCTTGATGAGTCTTTTTTAAAAGCAAAACTAATGGGGGTTTTACAAAGACGCTTGCAAGGTGTAGTCGTAGCATACATGCTATCTATTCGCCGCGTGTAGATTTGCCCTCACCGGTGATGAGGCCTGCTACAAACAAAAAGCCACGTTAAGAAAGAAAAAGAACGGGAGGAACGAACGAAAAAAAGGAAAAACAATAGATTTTGATGATGCTATTTATGACTAAACCAACGCAAGCCACGATTTCGCAGTCCCACGTACTGCCTTCTTTTCTTTTATATTTGTTTGTTTGCATTCATCACTCCACTTTCTCTCCTCCGCGCACACGACTTCTTCGCACTTTGGGATTCCAACTAGATCCATACGAAGAAAATGCCGCTGTGAGGTAGAAAGACGGTTGAGCGAGGAGGGAAAAAAAGAAAAGAGAGAAACAAGAGCGGAATGCGAGAATCTCTCGGAGCAGCAAACGCCTTCGAAACAAGCATGGAGGAAGAAAAAAGAACAGCAAATGTAAACAATAACAGCATTTTTCTTTACCGCTGACAGCGTAGCTCTGAACTCGAGATGCTCTTCGTTTCGTTTATGAACGAAACACTCCATCACAAGTGCAATAGCGAAAAGCTGACACGACATAAAAGGTTCTTAAGTTAATAAGAAGAGGTCCGGTCACTGCTGACGTTGACTTAAAGGGCAAGTGCAGCAATGCGATGGGCAAACAAAATAAAAGGGAGACAAAAAAGCTCTACATAATCCTTTCTCCTCACTTCGCTACCGTGAGCTATTGTTAGAGTCGTGGTAAACGTCCAATTCAATCGTGTGAGGCTCATTGTCTGCGTGAGGAGGTGTTTTATGGGATTCGCTCTTCTCCGGAGCTGGAAGCGTCCCGGCCGGCCCATCCTCCCACGGGTGCAGAAAGCAGTACTCGAGAACAAGACAAATCAGACCAATACCGCCAAAGAACATGAAGACGATGGACTCGCCTTTGTCTTGATTGCCGGACGGTCCACCAGAGAGATCCTCCACCGCAATGGGGAAGCAGACGTTGATAATGACGTTGAAGATGTACATGGAAACTTGCGTCCAGGAAGCACCTCTGGGCCGGAAGGAGGGCGGGAAAAGGTCTTGCGTAAGCACAAAGTAGCACGGCGCGACAGCCAGCTCGTAGCCCATCACGAACAGAAGAATACCCGCGATAGCGACTCCGTGTTTGGCCGGCGTACTCTTTGTGACGCCAGGGTACACCGGAATGCCGCACAAAAACATGCACATGCACGAGATGAAAAGGGCCCCAGTGAGGAAGAGTCGCCGCATGGAGAAGCGAGAGACGAGAGGGAAAGAGGCGATGGCCGTCACGAGGTTCCACGCAATTACGATGAAGTTGCCCACCAACGGAGCTACACCGAGGTTGCCCATAATCGTCGGTGCGAAGTTGTTGATGGCGTTGATGCCGGTCATCTGCAGGGTGCATGCAATGACGGTGCCCATCATCAGCCGCGGAAGCATCTTACGATAGCTGAATTCGTTCGCGTTCAGCTGGACCGCATCTTCTGCCTTTTCATTATTGAATTTCGCGCGCGTCTCCTTGCTGAAGATGCCAAGGCAAATCATAAAGATGCTGATCACCATCAAGCAACCAACGAGGCTCTGAATACGACCCATCACGTGCTGATCTTTGTTCGTATCTACCCAAATGCTTTGGCCGACACCGAGAGCCATGGTCGCCTCGATGAGCTGTCCAACAGAGGTAAAGGTCTGATAAAGCGAGCCTAGCTGCCGCTTGTGCGCCGGGTGGGCATTCTGGTCCACGTACAGCGGGCAGGCAACGCTGGTGAGGCCGAGACTCAGGCCAATCACGAAGCGAGCGGGAATGAGCACCCAAAACTCGTCCTCAGCACACGAAACGTACTTCATGACGCAGCACATAAATTGCATCATACCGATGATCACAAACGAGATGCGGGAGCCGATTCGAGGCACGAGCATCGACGCCAAGAAGGCGCCGATGCAGCTGCCTACGACCTGCGAGCCAGCGAAGAGGCCGTGGTTGCCGGTGGTGAGGCCAGCCGGGTTTTCGCACTGCTGGTCGCTGTACGACCACGTGCACCGCTTGTCCGCAAGACAGGCCGACCGCGCGACCGTTTCAGGGATGAAGTCGGCGGAGCTGTTTCCCCACGCGTACTGTTTTCGACACGTTATGGTGTACCACCCGCAGTAGCCGCCGGCGTCGTCGTCGAACCACTTGCAATCTGAGTAAGGAAGCGTCTCACAGGCCGTCCGCCCACCTCGGTAGAGGGAGCAGTCGGTGCCCATAATGTACATCTGCGCGTAGGCGCCAATGAAGCCGATAGCGCACCCGTTCAGCGTACCACCAATTCCAGGCACGGCAATTAGTGGGGCATTCCTCCAGCTGAAAAACGGAGGCGGAGGGTCGGAGTGGTCAGCTGCGTCCTCTTCATGTGGCTCCTCTGCAGGCGTTTCAGGACGCTGCTTCACCTCAATCGACGTCAATGGCTCCTCGCCGTCAACGTGCGCCTGCTCAAATGCCGCGCTGGTGCGGACATTTGGGCTGGGATGGTCTGATTGCACAGTCGTTGTGAAGGTGGAAAGTGAGGGGCGCCGGAAAGCTGCCTCTGAAGATGATAAAGTATGAAACTATGAAGTCCTCTCGGAAATGTTCCTTCACGCAAAATGAGGTACCTCGCAGAATTGCGGAAGACGAGAAAGAGAACGCGAAAAAAGCCCTAGGTAAATAAAACTCTTAAACTTTCAGTTGTGTAAAAGCAGCACACGTGTTCACAATCGTGTAAACGTCAGAAAACGTCCCCATACGTGTGTGTAGTTGTCGTTTACGTTTATGTAAACCAAAAGTGAAAATGGAGAAAATGGCAAAGGAAACGATGAAGTGCTAAGAGGGAAAAAAAAGTGGTCAAAGTATCGGCAATTAATAACGCGTGTAAGCGCTCGCGAAGTACCATAGCAGCGACAGGAGAAGACATGTGAACGGATATATGTAAGAAGGTGATGCAGAAAAGCGTTCGAGAAGGTCTGTTCGAAATCAGCGTTGCAGCTAATACTCTTTTACGTTGGAAGTTGCGAAACAGGCACGAGATACATTAAATTCAACCGTTTGGGGAAAAACTATTGTCAACGTCGTAATTAAAAAAGAGAAAGGGAAAATGGAGTCAAAATGCTCTACACTTTCTACTTCAGGCACAATCCGTAAAATGCACATTTCCTTTAGAAAAAAAACCATTTTCCTGTTTTTAACTCTCATCACTACCACCACTGTCAAAAGAAACGTATCACCTTTTTATATTCAATACACCATTAAGAAAGAAAAAAGGCTGATATTTTCGTCATAAGCTAAGAAAAAAACGATGCAAATCAGAAAGAAGAACTACACTCTGACAAATCAAGAGCTGATGCCTTCAAAATCCAAGCAGAGAATAACCTACACCCTACAAATCATCACCCACCAACAGGTCAAACTTTTACCTGAGAATTACATAAATTTATCTTTCTTGGTTTTACAACACACTGTAAATATCAATAGTTAAATACATGCAAAGAAAACAAACTATTCAACAGACCTTACGAAGTGGGTAGCCCGCCTTACGCTTCCCCGCTGGGTGGGCGGGGAGTTCAGGGTTGGGCGGGTGGGAAAAACTAAAAGATGGAAGAACTGCTGAATTCTAGCAGTTGAGAAAGAGAATAAAAGGAAAAGGGGAAAAGAGAGAGGTAGGATGAATAATTCTTCAGGCTAGGTCATTCTATTCGCAAGCTCAAAAAAAAAATTACAGACGAAAAAGTGAAAACAAGAAAGAGTGGATAAATGATTTTGCATTTGAATACATATTCGCACTGTTTTACACTAGCACACTATATTCAACCTCAATTGAAAAAAAAAAAACAGTCTACTTTTATTTCGCATTGTACAAACCTGCGCGGAGCACTGCTTGGTAGCTCGTCAGCTGATCCTCGCCAAGCACACCGCTGTCCGCCAGTGTGTTTGGCCTGTACCAGCAATCCTTCGGACGCGTCCACTTTCGTGTCACATAGTCGTACGTGTGTCGGAACATGCACTCCCGAACCGTTTCATCCAACACCCACGTATCCGCAGGATAGCCAGATATATTGAACCGTGTGTAGCTGTACGTGCCGTTCTCAACAGATTCACGCCACACTCCAGTTACGTCCCGCGGACCGTGCTTCAATTTGTCGTACAGGCCTCCTGCACGTCCAAGGTAGTGAACGAACGCCCTGCGGCTATAGTTGTCTTCCGTTCCAGATTTCTCCAGGATCGGATCTGAAAACGGACCACCACCACGGAGATTCGGTGCGTTGTAGTGGTGCCAACGGCGAACAGGTCCATTGTCTTCCGCGTGGATAGCAGCGAAGCCATAGGCGAACTGGCGCCAGCGAAGATCGATGTCATCCATATACGCAGGGAAGTAGTTCTCGTCAAAATAGCCAACGGTGGAAAGCGCAAGCCGCGTGAATGCAATTGTACCCAACGCAGAAGCCACCGGGGTTACACTTGCCACGTAGTTTCCGAAGAAACGGCTCTTCATCTCAACAGCATTGAAAGAGCCATTGGCACGGTTCTCGCTCGCGACCATGTAACGCACCCGGTCAGGCAGCAGCGGCGCAGTCCACACATTCAGTGGTACTCCAGGGTACCCGCTGCGCAGTACCTTCAGCGGACGTCCTCGCGGTGCCCACCGCTCATAGTACGAGAAGTTCCCCTCGCGCACGAGTTTCTCTTCCATCTCAACCTCCTTCTGTAACATCCGCATCATTGCAGTGTCGTTCAGCGTGTTGTCCTTCACGACCTTCACAAGGCTTGCCAGCAGCCCTTGTTCGAAGATCGTATCCACGCCACACGCAAACACCCACGGTACCTCAGTCATCGTCCGCTCCTTCAATGCCCACTCGAAGCCCTGGTTCATGCTCCCCGAGTACCCGCGGTTGAACCGGTTCCGAATCACAAGCAGCCGCCCACTGTCGCCGAACCTCCGTTGCAGTTCATCAATTGTCGCGACTGTCTCTGGGTCACGTTCGTTCTGAATCACTAAGTGGTACCGTACCGGCACATCCACGGAGCAGATGAAATAAGGAAAGAACCTCGCATCACCCGTCAGCGGCGTGATCAACAGCGGAATCGCATCTGTCATCTCCGTCACTGCATGTAGCGGCCGGCCTCGCTCGTCAAGTTGCAGGTTGCGACGGATGCACTCCATCCAGTTCGCAGGTATAGTGAACGTACTCCACCGGTCCAGCTCACTAGGCACACCGGTCACCGGTGGAGCAGTCTCAGTCGATGTAGGAAAAGCCTGCGTAGTAGTTGGTGCAGAAGTCGGCGTTGCAGTGGGCGAGGGTGCGTAAGTCGATCTGGACGATGGTGCGTAAGTCGAAGTGAGTTGTGAAACAGCCGGATGCACTTCTACATGCAAGTCGTTGACCCCTAAAAGAAGCGCTGAACAGAAGAAGAAGACCACAGCAAATACCACCAATGCTCCTACCAGCACATTACGCGTAATTAGCTTGCTGTGGGCTCGCTGCACATGATGCTTGAAATCCATGATTGACGTTGTGAGGTAGTGGCAAACGACTGGAGTCGTAGATTGACTTATAAGCGAGAGCTTCTACTATAAGAAATCACAAGTCTTTTAGATGCGACTTATACGAGCTTCTGTTGCAAAGTAGGAAAAAGAAGAAGCAACCTTTATTTAAAACAGTGTCTTTGAAAACTATTACGGAGAAGAAAGAAGAGTACCACATGAAATACCGAGATCCTGGGTAGAGGCAGAGATTCCTGTCACTCTATTGCACATGGCTGACAAGCCCTCGCTGAACATGCATTACTATACAACTGTTCAAATCGGAACTCGCAAAGTGAAGTATTTGCTGAGCGATTCGCGGCGCTACTATGTGGGAAAAAAAGGATTCGCTGTTGTTACCCTCCGTGAGTTCATGAAGTGAATAACAGCTTAAAGAACGGATTCATTTTTACGGCTATTCCCTGTCTTTTAGTTTAGGTTGGTTTTTCAAATGAATAGCATGCTGAGAGGGAGTTGAAGCGTGGATGCGTCAATTCATCTATAGAAATACCCTCTCGAAAATAACACTCAAAACACAGTAGAGACTTAAACAGAATTTTGCAGTTCGTTTTGAAAAGTGATAGATAAAGAATGAAAAGACAGAAATAGTTTCTGGCAAAAATGCCGAAAGGCCGTTGCGATGGCCGGATTCAGACCACCTGTAAGCTAGCATGTTTCTCGAAACATGCCTTCAGCTGTCACTTATCTTGGGCAGCATGCTTTTCCATCATATCTTCCCAGCTGAGTAGCGGCCACACAGTTTTGTCGTTTTGAAGCACCTTGGAACCTTGTGGGGAATTGCGCACAGCGCTCAGTACGGTCGCGCTCACAAGCTGTCCCCCAAGAGGGTTGATGTGCATTCCGTCAGGGTCCATCAACGTGGTCCAGGCGCCTTGGGGATTAAACTTATCCATGTCGTCCTCCGTTGCACCAGGGGCACCGTATTCGAGAAAAGCACGCTGGATGTCAACAGGATGCACCTTCTGTGGATGCACTTTCCCCGCTTCGCTGGCCACTTCTAACGCAGCTTGGCGGTAGGAACGAGCAGCTGTGTAGGAGCGGCGGCCATCGGGGTGCTGGAAATTCCAAAGCGTTTCCTGGACCGGCGGTGGAGTCAGCACAAAGACACCGCCGACGGGCTTCACTTTGGTCAGTACAATGTCAACGATAGCCCGAAGATTGTCCCGATATTCCGCAAGCGGGACTCCTTGACCGTTTTCTGCAGAGTCGTTTGTCCCGAGCATGAGTGTGACAAATAAAGGCTCCTGCACCCACGGAGGGATGACACTGTCATAAGACTTTGCGTCGTTAAGCAGTTGGAGGATCCACCGGGTGTTGTACCCGCTCAGGCCGCTGTTCACGACGTATGCGCGGCGGATCAAGGCATCGCTGACGTTCGACACCCAACCGGAGCAGTATCCCTGCTCCGTAATCGAGTCTCCAAGCAGCAGCACAGTTTTCATTGTTGAAATTGGTCCCGTTGCTGTTTCTGTTTTTTTAAGACCCGAAATATCGTGTTCGTATGTTCTTGTTTGCTGTAATACTTCTTTTCTGCTCCATACTAGCAGTAGAAAAAGCGTGTGAAAAATATAGGGTAAGCAGAGCAGCAACTGTTGTCTTCTTGCGAAAACAAAGGTTCCTCGACACCTCATTCCGTGACTTTGGAGATTTTCACCTACTTCTCAACCTCCTTAAAAGAAAAGAAGACCGCACAACCACTGCCCGTTGGTCTCGAAGCAGCGTTGTTCTTTCTTTTACGCACTTGTTTGGAAAAAATAATGATGTAAAGCGACCAATCCCTTTGATACACTCGCATGAGGACGGCCGGCCACCTGCGAAAATGCAGCAGTCCAAAGCAGTAGAGATCGACGACATTTTCAACTGTTTTCCCGCTTGAGGAATAATTATTAGCTTTTCGACGCGCCACCGGGGAACGAGCCACTCACTCCAGACCACACGATGCTCTTGCCGCTATACAACGTTCCTCTGAAAAGTCGTACAACCAATTCCGCGGTCCCTCCCCCTCCCTCCCCGCCTGCGATCGAAACAATGACAATGGTGCCACCACCTTTTTTGTTTTCGAAGCCTTTTCTTGTACTTTTCTCTCTGTTCCTGTCTCCAGTAGAAGCTCCTGCACTTACGTTCTCCTTTCCTTCTTCGCTTGCTTCGTGACTGATCAACAGTAGCAAAGATTATTATTATTTGTCTGACTCATTCGATTTCAAAAAGAGTACCCCAACGCTTGCGGTAAAAACGGCACTTGAGGTCTGAGTGTCGCAGCCTTCAAAATGGCGGATACAGGCCGTCAACGAGCACTGAGAAGTAAATGAAGTACCTGCAAATCTTTTCGCGGTTTTAGATGGAGATCATGAAAATAATCGAACGAGCGCCGCGGCACCAACATCGGGAGGAAAGTCGCTTAAAAACTACACCCGTGGTGGCCAAAATTTACGCGGGAGCAACCCCGAGAATGTGGCAAAACCGCAGACACATCCGACGTAGCCTGGTACACAGCATTGTAGAAACCAAGAAACACACCAAGAAAACTGCTGTTAGCAAAGCATGGTGATGGTAAAGCCATAATGCCAGAGAGCACGATTCGCTACATCACCGAACACGTGCCGTTAGCGAAAGTGATCGGAACCCAAAAGGCAACATGACTCATACGGGTTATGAAGATGGAGAAGACCGAGACAACCTTCTCAACATCGCGAAACCCGTAAAAGATCCCTTTTGGATGCAGCACAGGCAAACACCGGAAAGGAACCTGTCTACTGGCGAAAGAATAGACAGCGACAACCCCGCACGGCCAGCCACGGCACGTCATTATCAAGACCAGCTTTATCAGCTTGCAGACAAATGCTATCGTCTCTGCACGGCAATGACGTGGAGAAGAAGGCGTCGCAGGTCGCGGCGGCTATCTCGGTCGAGGTGCATGGAAACTGAAGAAAGCAGCCATCACGGAAAACGACTTCCAACATCGGTTGTACGCCGAGGAAGTTGCGCCTCTCAACCTTCAGATAATTAGGTCAGGTATGCGTCCAGAAATCCGCCAGCATGTGTATGGACGTTCTCCTTCACCTCCTTGGAGCAGACTGCTTTGCACACAGCCCAAAGCACACAACAAGCACCAGTTCTTGACACCAGGGATCACCAATCTCAAAAAACGTACACCTAAAATGCTCCAGTAATTTCCGAGGACGACATGGAAAAACTACAAATGAACAACATCATCCGACGAGTTCACGGCATAAACGCTGACACAGCAACGGGTGGAGGCAAGAGGTAACACACTGCTAAGATTATTACGCCGCTTACGGTCACGGTGACCAAGCACAACACCGTCCAAAAATGCTTTATCGGATGATGGAAAAAGAGCGACGGCTATTCAGACGCACAAGGCTACCGCCAAGACGAGCCACTCCTACACGTTGCGATACATCTCGACGCAGTGAACGCCGAGATGGGCAGCGTACACGACCTGAGGGCCAGTTTCTTCCAGGTCGAGCTCCCAGAAAGAGACCAAGAAAGCTCCGTCTTAACAGATCCGAATAGCGGCACACAACGGTGCTTGACGCGGCCTCCGATGGGACACTTGGCCTCACCGGAAATCGTGCAAATCCTCACGTCCACCGTGGCAGGCCGTCCGACGTAGGCGGGCAACGAGTTCACCGTGAATGACCCAGCCCAAACCTCAATCGACGTGTAGATCGACAACATACGGTACGCAGGCACGTGTCAGGCAATCCAAATAGCATGCCAGAGGATGCTGATTGTCGAGAAAGTGTGTCCAGTCTCTCTTAGCACGAATGAGAGGTACACGGGAGAAGTCTCCGACTTCATAGGGGGTATATTTCAACTACTCAGCTCACAAGGTGGGCGTGGCAGATCACACGATCCAAAAGATCGCTCTTCCAGCACAAAATGTGACTCGCGGCGACTTGGAGGGACTGTACGCACAAATCCTCCGCAGCTTGTCTGTTCACCATATCTGCATCGCAGAGTTCTATCGGGTGTCGAAGCCCATTAGACGAAGGCTGCCGCAGCTCAGCCGGACACCTCTCCTGGTGAAGGAGCCGGCCTGCATACTCCCGACGGCGCATGCAAAACTTAAATAGTGGTACGACCTGGCTCAGAAGAACCGCCCACGAGCGGTAGCGCCGGTCATGGCAACGAGAGCGCCGACAATGACCCTCTACACTTGTTCCTCTGGAGCCGGTTGGGGAGCGGTCTTGATGCGGCACAAGTCCCAAGAAATGATGAGCGTTGGTGAAACATGGTCCGCAGCTGAGCAGCGACACATAAACGCGCTGGAAGCGAACACCGTGGTTCTGGCGATGGATTCCCGCATAGTCCAACCTTCATATGAAGATCGACAACACGACGGCCTTAGCCACTCACAAAAGCAAGTCACGAACGGCTCTAAAGCTGCATGCAACACAGCACGCTAAAGAGGATGTGATTATCACTGGTATGGTTTTGCTTCTCAGAATACCCCAAAACTGTTGCTTTTTACTGTTTTGCTCTCTTCATTCTTTCTGCAGTGCTGGGTAAATGGGTTCTTAAAAGGACAGGCGGGGTAGGCTCCCCTCAAAAACTGGCAGGTGACTTGTTTCTCCCCTCTGCATCCTTTGATCTCGCGAACTCCCAGATCTCAGTATTTTCATGCGGGATTGTAGGCATCAACGTTTAGAAAAAAAATCTTTATTTCTTCTCTCTCCTGTATATATTTTTATCGTGATGCTTTTTGTGGGGCTGGCTGCTGGTGCTTCAAGCTTCTTTGTTTTCTCGAATCGGCAGTTTTGCTTCTTTCTCGTGTTGGGCCCTCGTTGCGCAAATTGGTTTCTTTCAGCTTCGTTTGGGTTGGTTTGGGCCCGGCCGGGGGCTTCTTTGCGGCGCGTGGGGCTGGGGCTTGCGAATAGAATGACCCAGCCTGAAGAATTATTCATCCTACCTCTCTCTTTTCCCCTTTTCCTTTTATTCTCTTTCTCAACTGCTAGAATTCAGCAGTTCTTCCATCTTTTAGTTTTTCCCACCCGCCCAACCCTGAACCCCCCGCCCACCCAGCGGGGAAGCGTAAGGCGGGCTACCCACTTCGTAAGGTCTGTTGAATAGTTTGTTTTCTTTGCATGTATTTAACTATTGATATTTACAGTGTGTTGTAAAACCAAGAAAGATAAATTTATGTAATTCTCAGGTAAAAGTTTGACCTGTTGGTGGGTGATGATTTGTAGGGTGGCGGTTATTCCGTCGCCGGCCGGGACGAGGGGTGGGGCGGAGGGAGGAGGGGTTGGGGTTGGGGGGAGAGGGGGGGGTGGGCATTGGGGCCAGGCCCGGGGCGGCGGTGGTGAGGAAAACGAGGGGCCCGCCCCGCGCCGGATGCGCCCCGGACCCGGTTTCCTTTCTTTTGGTTTTCCGTTTCGGCGTCACAGCGGCGAAGGCAGGAGCGCTACAGCTTTAAACAGTAGATGAAGTCATCGCGGCGCAGCGGGAACGTCGGCGGGGGGTTGGTGATGATGTAGCGGAACGACACGCTGCTCTCCTCGCCGAGCATCTCGTGGAGGCGGTGGATGGCCATGGGCAGCAAATCGTTCGCCAGCCCAAAGTTCGTCGCGTCCTCGTACGCCTCCCACGCCTCGTCTGGCGCCATCACCGTCACCAGCAGCGATTCGGACTTGGACGACAGGATCTGCTCCAGCACCTCGTGCAAGAGTGGGGTGAAGTACATCTCCTGCAGTCCTGTGTCGAGCATGTGGCGGCACACGACGCAGCCGGACATGAAGCTCGGCTCCGACACCCAGTCCGACGACGTCTGCGCGTGCGCGCCGGTGGTCATGTACGAGGTGGTGATGAAGGGCACGAGCTCGGCGTGGTCCACTTCGACGACGACGGGAATATCAGCGCCGCCGCCACTCTTCTCCTCGTCCATCACGTGACGAACGAGGTGCATGACGAGCACCGACAGCGAGTCGCCGTGCTCGTCGCAGCGGTCACCCGCGGAGAAGATCACCACGGCTGCTGCCTGGGACACGTTGCAGCGGCGCAGATCGGATGTGAAGAGACCGCAGCCCTGCACGACGACCAGCGAGCCCGTCACGTCTTCCTCCTCCCACAGGTTGTTCAGGCTGTCGTAGTTCGTGTCGTTCGACAGAAGCACGATGTCGCTCTCCGGGTCATGCTGACGCACAGGTCGCATGGCGTCGTAGAGGTCGGCGGCCTTTGCCGTGCGAGACTCCACGGCGGCCTCGCGCGACCAGTTAGTTCGCTCGTGCGCCGCGGAGAGATCGATGAAGACGTAGTGGTGGCGCAGGTGCAGCACATTCGGCTCAAAGCGAAGGATCGTGTTCGCGCCGGGGATGATTCCGCTGGGGCTGGCCACGTAGCCGGAGTAGCCATCGTCCAGCACGCACGGCGCCCGATTCTCTGACCCGACAGCGCCCGTTGTTGGCTGCCGTTCCTGCAGCGACGGAATGCCGTGCTGCTGCTGTTGCTGCTGCTGTTGTTGTGGGAGATGCGGTGAGGAGGAGGCGGAGGTGGTGGTGCGAGGTGGCAGCAGTTGTCCCCGCGCAGACACCGAATCCAACGCGTGCGCCGATAACGTGGGAGAGGCGACGCTCGACAGCGTGGACAGGCCGCTCGTTGCTACGCGCTGCACCACGACGGGTGAGGCGATCGCTTCTACGGCCACCTCGTCATCTTCCTCCGCAGCGGTGGCCAGCGCGAGATTCGCGGCGGGATTCGAGAGCGGTACCTCGAGGTCGCGCTTGCTGCTCGCGTGCGGGATGCGAAGCGAGTCGCTCGGCGAGGCGACCACCGGCGTCGAAATGCTCCTTGTGGACGGCGGCGGCGAGGGGTGGCGCGCATTCTCCTGCGGCGAGCTGCTGCTGCTGTTGTGAGGATGATTCGAAGTGTAATGCTTGCTATTGTTGTTGGTCGGGGTGGCGAGGCTGTGGAGGGAGAGAAAGGACACGCCCTCGCCAGCGTGGACAGCCGCCACCGCGTCTACGTGGACGCCGGGCAGCAGCGACGACGTCCCGCTCTCGCCCGCCGAATCCTTCCGTGGCCGCATGACAACGGCGGCGGTGGAGAGCGGCGAGGAAGCGCTTTTGGCGGTGGGCGTGCACGTCTTGGTCGTTGTCACGACGGGTGGTGCCGCGGTGGGCGCTCCGACTGCTGCTGCTGCAGCTGCTGCTGCCAGAGCTGCTACGGTGGAGGAGTGCGGTGGCGGTGACAGTGGCGAGGCGGGGGATGGTTGCTTGCACACCGCGGAAGCCGTCACCGGAGCCGCACCGCCGTCCTGCACGTCGGGGTGCATCGATGCGTTCGCCGCCACGTCGCCTGCGTTCTCCGTATTAGGAACGTTCAGCACCGTCACGTTCGTGGCCTGCACACCCGCCGGCGGCGGCGGCGAGGATGACGCGCTCCGCCTCGTCTTGCGACGGCCGTGGTCCTTCCGGCTCGGCGTGCCGGTCATCGTGGACGGACTCGTGCGGGAGTCGCGCACAATCTCGTTCACGATGTCCTGCGCCTTGCGCCGCGCGTCGCAGATCACGATGAGTTTCCGCACCCCTACCAACGAGCTGCGGGTGCCAAGCTCGACGACGGTGTCGCCGCTCGCACGCCGCGCGTCGACGACCGGCCGCTCCACCCCGATTAAGGTGATGTCCGTCCGGTACAGCAGCCGCGCGAGGCTGACGAAGGTGTAGTGGCCCTGCCGCACCACCTCCGGTGCTTCCACCGCATCCACGTGCTGCGCCAAGGAGGCTTCGTAGGTGCTCATCCAATCCGGCTCCGCGCCGTCGCCCAGTTCGATGGAGGTGGCGCCGTAGGTCAGCATGTCGCGCTTCTTCGCCCAAACCTTTCGCAGCGCCTTCAGACTCGCTGCACGACCGCTGAGGCCGAAGAGGTCCTTGAAGTCCCGCAGCTCCCACAGGGACTCCGTCGTCATGGGGTCGAACATGCGGATCAGGTTTGCGAGGAGGGGAATCATGCCCGGCAGGACGCAGCCAAGGCCGAGCAGGTTGTGGCTCATCCGCTCAAACTCCAGCACGTTTGCGGAGCACGGCATCAACGATTTCGTGTAGCGCGAGCGGTGCAGGAGGACGTACAGGGGGACGCGCGGCACGTGCAGGTGGGCCGTCAAGGCCTGCTTCGCCAAATCGTAGTCGCTGTAGTACGAGGAGTTGGTGCCGGCGCCGTAGAGGAACAACGCGGAAGCGCCGCGGGCGTTGCACCGATCGAGATCTGCCGGGTTCGCCGGGTCGCCGACGAGCAGGTGGACGGAGCTGCGGTACTTCGGTGAGTTCAGCAGAAGCTCCACCTGCGCCGAGGGCTGATCGCGCAGCAGAATCACAACGTTCATGTTCAGGTAATGCCGATCCTCCGCCAGAATATTTTTCAGCTGCATGCGCAGCTCGTTGTAGCCGAGGTGACCGCAGATGACGATGTGGTTGCTGCGCTTGAACCACGTTGTGTAGTGCGCGTAGAAGAGGTGTCGCACGCCGAGGTCCGCCACGTATTCGAGAATGGGCACAAAATAGCTGAGGCCGACACCGATGAAGACGATCATCAGCAACCGCCCTTCCACCGTGATGGGCACGACGTCGCCGTAGCCGATGGTGGAGAAGGCCAAGAGCATCATGTACGCCATGTCGAAGTACTCCACCGGGTCACCGCAAAAGCTCTCGACGGCTTGCAAGATGCCAACACTGATGCCGATGACGGCAATGCATTGAATCATCGAGCGCAGCATCTCCAGCCGGTTCTCGGCGAAGCAGAGGCTAATTTGCGGGTAGCTGAGGAGCGTCAGAAGACCCTCGTGCAGCCACCAGATGCGCAGAAACATCGGTGCGTAGACGCGCGTCCAGGCCGCGTTTTGCGAGCACAGCGCGCCAACCCCGAGCAGGAGCATCCAACCGGAGCTGAGGTAACTCATGAGCGACTTCACGTTGAACACGTAGGCCCACTTCTTCGGCTCCACCGCCAGCAAGGCGAGCCAGGAAGACATGAAAAGCACGCACAGCACCACCTCTGAGATGAAGCAACCCGTCCCCCAGTCGAACGCCAGCCAGTTACGCGGGACGTGCGCGCGTTGGACGCCGAGGTAGATGCCGACTGCGGCCGCCTCCAACCCCACGTCGGTCATCAGCAGCAGAATGGACACCCACGAGTGGTGCTGCTCAATGACGTCGAACAGCTTCCGCACACTGCGAATGTTCGCCTCGCCGTGGTCGTAGTGGTACACGCTGCGGTGCCGCAGTTCCTCGGCATTCGTGTGCTGCGCGAGGCCCAGGTTCACCATGTTGTTCCGCAGGTTGCGGATCTGCGAGTGAAGGGTGCCCTGCAGGTTGTAGAACCGACTGCGAATAGTGTCCTGGACGTCCTGGCCGAGCTGCGTCATGAACTCCTTTGGGTCGAAGCGCGATGGCGTGTAGGCGGGCAGCGTGCCATCTGGATTGGCGGTGGTGATGGGATGTGCGGTGGACGCGCGGTCCGCCGCCTCCACCCCCGTGTCTGCGACGTGAACTTCACTGGACGCCATAACGAAGAAACGGAGGAAACAAGTCTTGACCCCTTCTGGTCAAACGCGGGCAACGACGTTGGAGAGTCGACGCTGCTGGACGACTGACTCCTCGCTCCAAAGCGGCCTCTACTCCTTTTCCTTTTATTTGGAAATATATCGGTTGCCTGGCTCGTGCTTCGTGTGATCGGCGCTGCACAGCTCGGCCGCTTCCTCTCTCTTCCGATGAAAGAGGGTAGTGGGCTGTCTTCTTTTGAGCTTGCAGACGACACCCCTGCGGACACGGCGCGATAGCGATTGATGCGGGGAGTGCGTGTGCGCTGTCCCGAGTCAGCTGAAGGCAACACGAACAGGTTTCGATGGGGGGGGGGGTAAAATGCAGGTAGAAGAGAAGAGAAGAAAGGTGCTTCACTACGCAAAAGTTATAGCGGTGATGAGTCGAAAGTATAGGAGGTTTTTTAATCAATTTAGAAAAGTAAAATCCCAAGTCGCATGACAGAGCGGCAGTTCTAAATGCCGACGCGTGCGTAGACGACGTGGTTTGAGCAACAGCAATAACAGCCAGAAAGAAACTCGCTTTATACGAGAAAGCGATAGTAATACTAATAGTAATAATAACACCTGCACCTTCCACAAATGAGCAGCAAGACGACAAACGCTAACAGCACGGAAAAGACCGAGCAGCAGAAGAAGAGAAAACAACCCCCCTCCCCCCGTGGAAGAGTTACGGCGCAAACGCAAGAAGAGCTGTATGGAAACAAACGGAGTAGGCGGTCAGCGGGGTCTGTACACCGACGCACCCACCTCAACTCCTTCTTAGAAATAACAAAACACACAGCACGTCCAAACGGCTACGAGAATAACTCTTCCTTATTCTATTCAAAGTACCACCGATAACAACAACAACTACCAGAAAAAAAAAAGCGCCGAGAAGCGGCGGAGTAAACTAAAAAGAGAATCAACAGATTTATTGATATTGCACCGCTTCTTCTTCTTTCCTTTCTTTTCAGGGTATTTCCAACGCCGTGCGTGCATGGGTGCACGCCGCTGGCCAGAGTCATGCGCACGCGCGAGAAGACCGACAGAGGGGCATCGTTTGGCGTCGGCGGTGCCCGCTCACGTTGTGTGTACTCGGTGCGATCGTGTCCGAAGTGTCCACACACACACACACACACACACACGCAAAGAGAGACAACGAAATGCGAAAGCACACGGGAAAACAAAAGTAATAATATAGAAATGTAGGAACAAAAGAAGAAGGGAAGGAAATGGAGATGTGAGAGGAGGTGTATGGCACGGCATCGTGGCGAAATGTGCCGACTGAGGAAAGCTCTGCCTTCTCTTCCCGCTCTTTGCAGTTTCATCGACAAAGGAGGGAGCACCGGCAGTAGGGCACCCCTCTAAGCCGTATCTCTTCTCGGGGGATTTGCGTGTGCGTATGTGCTGTACTTTAGCGGTCTGTAAACGGATCAAACGACGGACAGCGTCGATGGTAGTAGTATGCTGCAGCACGGTAGAGACATTACTTCCTTTTCCTTTTCCATTTGGATAAGAACGGCGCGGCGAAAGCGCGATGCGAAAAACCGTTTAAAAACAGCCGAAGCTACTGGATAACGCGCAACAGAGAATCTAGGAAAGGAACGATAGCGATAACATGAAGAAGAGGCGAATCCACCTGAAGAGGCAGGTACGGCTTTTCAGAGAGTAGATATATATATATATAAGTGCTGACTACATCACGAATGCATTCACGCGTGATGCACGTTGGAGGAATGAAAGTAACAACAATAAGGAAAGGAGTGAGGCAGAGGCGCTGGCGCCACCGGCTACTACCACCACCACCACCAACAGCCCCCCCCCCCTCCCCCTCCCCTATCTACAACGCGAAGGTCGAAAGCGGAGTGCCGCTACGCATCCACCCACGTCACCTTCAAGCTTTTCGCGATGAACGCGTAAATGTCCGCCTCTTCGCGGATCAGCTTGCTGATAGGCTTGCCCTGCCCATGCCCACCCGCTTCATCAATGCGCGTCACAAACGGGCCTCCCACGTCGGGGTTGCTGTGCTGGAGCGTCGCGATGTACTTCAATGAATGCAGCGGCACAACGCGATCGTTGTGGTCGCCCGTCACCACCAGGATCGCCGGGTACTGCACCCCCGCGCGGATGTTGTGCAGTGGACTGTACGCCTGCACAACGGCGAAGTCGTCCTTCACGTCTGGGTTGCCGAAGTCGGAGATCCACGCCGCGCCGATCGTGTACTTGTGAAACTTAAACATGTCTAGCACACCGACCTGGCAAACGACACAGCCGAAGCGCTCCGGGGCGCGGTTCGCCACGGCGCCCATCAGCAGCCCGCCGTTGGAGCGCCCCATCGCCGCGGTGGTCGCCACGCTGCCGATGCCGGCGTCATGCAGGAACGCCGCTGCGGCGATGAAGTCACTGAAGCAGTTGTGCTTGTTCGCGCGCCGACCGGCGTCGTGCCAGGCCTGCCCGTACTCCCCCCCGCCACGAATGTTGGGAATGGCGAGTACGCCGTTCATGTTCTGCAGAAACATCAAGCGAAACGGGCTGAAGACGGGCTTTAGCGCGTTGTGGAAGCCGCCGTAGCCGAATAGCAGCACGGGCGACTGCGGAGAGGCGCTGCCCTTCTTGTATGTGAGGAACATCGGAATGCGGGTGCCGTCCGCCACGGTGTAGAAGCGCTGCTCTGTCACGTAGTCCTCCGCGTGGAGGCCATCCACCATCTCCTCGGCGAAGACCCGCAGCGCCTCGCTCGGGTTCTCGGCGTCCGTCACGTACACGCGACCGGGCATCAAGAACGAGGTGAGCTTGAAGGAGACGAACGACTTGTGGCGGTTCGCCTTGAGGGAGAGAAGGGAGCCGATCGGGAGGTCGATCTTTGCGGCGGCGGTATCGAGCGCGTGCAGCGCCCGCGTGTACAGGGTGTCCTTCACATCCTCCACGTACACCAAGAAGAGCGTGTCTCTGGCCAAGACGACCTCGCTGAGAACGGAAGGGCGCTCCGGCACCACCACCACCGTCACGGACTCGCCCGGATCCCTCACGTCCACGGAGATGATCTGGCGGTTCGGTGCGTCTTTCGTGGTCGTAAAATAGAAAACATCGCCGTCGTTGCCGATAAACTCGTAGCGATGCTGCATCACAGCAACGAGCTTCGTGAACGTCATCTTCGCCGCCGCGAGGTCCGCCACCTCGGCAGGCAGCGGCGCCACCCACACCGTGTTGTGCGGCTCGCAGCCGTCGTGGACCTCCACCACGAGGTACCTCGCGTCGTCCGACACCTTTGCGTGGTAGCTCCACTGCGAGTGCGCCGGGTCTGCCGGGATCACCACCACGTCGTCTGTCTGCGGCGTGCCGACGCGGTGAAAGCAGAGGAAGGAGTTTTCCGCGCAGTCTGTCTCCGCTCCCTGCTCGACGCCGTCGTGCAGGGCGGCAAAGCGCATGTAGAAGAACCCAACGTGACCCCACCAGGTGATGTCGGTAAACTTCGCCCACTCCACACGATCGTCCAGGTTAGTCAGCGTGATCGCGTCCCGCACGTGCAGGTGCTGCCAGTCGCTGCCCTTGTCGCACACGCTGTAGGCAAAGAAACGGTCATCGTCGCTCCAGGCGGAGGTCAGCAGCGCCGAGGTGCCGTCCGCGCTCATCGTGTTCATGTCCATAAACACCTCGGTCTTGCTGGGGTCCGCCACGGCGGTGCGCATGAGAACGTTTTGGTTCTGCAGTCCGGTGTTGTAGTCGTAGTAGAGGAAATCACCGTGTTGCATCGGGGCCCCCGTGCGGGGCGTAGTGCTGAATGGCCGTCACCGTCGCCTCGATGCGATCGCGGAGGTCCTGGGAGGAGGCCATGTACGCGTTGAAGCACGCGTTCTGCGCCGTCACGAAGGCCGTTGTTTCGGGGTTGCCCGGGTCCTCCAGGTAGTCGTACGGCTCCGGGATGACGTGCCCGTGAAGCGTGTACACCGTCTCGGAGCGACGGGCTGGGGGGTACGGCTTGGCCGACATGGCACAGGACGAGGAACGGAAGAGAGCAAACAACAAAGGAAGTAGTAAGCGAATAACAGCGCAGCAGCAGCAGCAGCAACGATGACACACTGACGAGGAGTCCTAGTCGGGGTTCTCAAGTACATACATATATATATATATATATATATATATATAAACATCAGGAAAGGATACGAGGCATCAACGACGCCGTGTCGCAGCGCGAGAGGAGAGGAAGTGAGAAATGGAAAGGAGGAGAAAACAAATCTGCATTTATCTATGAGACACACATGCATCTTACCGAAGAAGAAAAGAACTGACAAACGAAGAGGATGGGCGTGACGTCGAGCACCACCTTTTCTTTTGCACGAAGGCGGCACACTGCGGCGCTACTTCACGCTTGGAAATGGAAGAGCATCTCACGGCTAAGAGAGAGGAAGAGAGAGAAAGGATATATATGTATGCACGGACAGCGCAGCGCTTCCGTTCCCTTGCCCCCCTCCCCCGCCCCCTCGCTCTCTCCTCTGCGCTTCCCCATGCACCAACAAACACACAACAAACGAGGGCCCACGACGGGAGCCACGACTCCTACCCTTCTCTTTTCTTCTTCCCGTTTATATCTCCATCCATTGGCTGAATAACAAAACACATATATATATATATATCTGCGCGTGAGGGCACACGTTCATACCTTCTCTCCCTTTTCCCCTCTAGCTGCCAGGGGTAATGTAGAAGAGCACATCGGTTTGCTGGTTCACCGGCAACGCCCGCGGCGGGTTCGTCAGCACAAAGCGCTGCCCGTTAATCGACGGGTTCCGCGCGTCGACGATGCGGCGCTGCAACGCAATGGGCAGGAACCCGAACTTCAGGCAGTAGCTGACGACGTCTTCGTAGGTCTCCAGCTCCACCTCGCACAGCGACAGCGGGAGGCGGGCCAGCGCCGGCGAGTCGGGCGTGTGTCCGCTGATGAGCACGTCCATCACGTCGATGAACTCCTCCATGAAGTACGTGCGCTGCAGCGCGGGGAAGAGCATGAGGCGGCTGATGGCGTTGCCGATGATGAAGTTCGGCTCGTACACGAAGTCCACCACCGCCTTCGAGCGCAGCCGCGGGTCGTCCGCGTGCGGCGGAAAGAGAGACAGGTTCACGAGCCCCTCTAGCTCCACCACCACCGGGAACGTTGGGATGCCCTGCAGTATCTCGTTGATGGAAAGCACCACAAGCATCGACATGGCGCTCGTCGAGCCGTAGCGACTGATATCACCGGCGTAGAAGACGCAGCAGCCGGCGCAGTGCTCGAGGTTGCAGCGGCGCAAGTCAGAGGTGTTCAGCCCGCAGCCTGTAATGCACTTCACTGGGTTCGCCGTGTCCTGCTTGTGCACGCTCCAGAAGTAGTCGAAGTACGGCGCGAAGCTCAGGTCGTTCGTCAGCAGCACCACGTCGTTCATCGGGTACGCCTGCCGCGCCGGGACCACCACGTTGAAGACGTCGTGCGCTATCGCCGTGTTCGCCGCCTCCTGCGCGTACCGGCTGGACTTATCCTTCGCCTTCGCGGACGACAAGTCGATGATGACGAAGTGGTTCTCGAAGTCGAGGGCGTCGGCCACGTGGACCAGCGACTGCACGTTCGGAACCGTCCGCGCGTCGGCCTCCTCGTCGCGTGACGGCCCCGCGGAGGGGAACACCGGGCTCTGCGCATCGGCGCGCGAGGCGGGCGGGACGGCGACCGCGTACGCCGCGATGGGCGACCCGGCCGTGGCGCTGTCGAACTCCTCGTCGCTCTCCCCTTCCTGACCTAATTCTTTGTCAAACAGGGTCGGGTGCACCGGCCGGGCCCCCAGTGAGAAGACCGAGCGGCCCTCGCGATCTTTCGTAACTGCAGTTGCCGTCGCCGTCGCCGTCGCTGCTGCTGCTATTGCCGACAAGGAGGAGGACGATGGTGCTAGTGGCAGTGAGTGCTGCTGCGGCGGCTGGGCTTGGCTGGAGGTCTGCCGTTGCTGCGGCTGCAGCTGCTGGGAGTCGATGCTGCCGAGCATGGTGGTCTTGCTCGTGCCCGGCAAAGCCGTTGTCCCCGCTTCCGTTCCCCGCGTAGGTTCAGGACTGCGCTTCCGTGGAGCGTAGATCTCCTTCCCCTTCCCCCCTCCCTCCTCCCCCCTCCTCCTCCTCTTCCTCCATTTCCTCGTCGCTCAGACTGCTGCTGCGGTGCGTCAGCAGGCGACGCCGCTTGCGTCGGTCGTGCTCGTCGAGGTCCGGCGCGACGAGCATCTCCTCTCCGAAGGTCTGCTCGTAGTTGCGCGAGATGGCGTCCGTCGCATCCTGAGCTACCTTGATCGTCTTCGCAATTAGCAGCAGCTTCTTCGCGTTGGGGATCAGCTCCCGCGGGTTCAGCTGCACGACGTTGCGCACGTTGAGGATGCCGATCAGCGTCACGTCCTTCTCGAAGAAGGCGCGGGCCAGCAGGCGGAACTCCCGCCCTCGCAGCGCGTCTGGAATCTCCAGCCCGTACAAGTCATTCCGCAGGGAGTACTCGTACTGCTCCACCCAGTGCCGCGAGAGCGTCGTGTCCATCGGGAGGGACTCGTAGGTGCGCAGGAGGTTCACCACCAGCGGCACAACGCCCGGGTGGGCCATCGAGAGACCCAGCAGGTGGTGCAGCAGCCGCTCACACTCCAGCACGCTGGCGGCGTAGGGACCGATCTGCTTCACTGTGCGGTTGCGGCGCAGCAGCAGGTGCTGTGGAAGGTCGCGGTCGTAGAGACTAACCGCCATGGACTGCGCGATCGTGGTGTAGTCCTGGTAATAGGCAGAGGACCGGGCATCGCCGAAGAGGAAGATGGCATCGGCGTGGCGTGCCTTGGCGCGGTCCAGATCGCTGGAGCGCGCCGGGTCCCCCACCATGAGCGTCACACGGCCTTTCAACCACGGCAGGTTCGCCATCAGCCGCACCTCGGCGGAGTGCTCCTCGGGCGACATGAGCACAATACAGGTGTCGAGGTACATCCGCCAGCCCGCGTAGAAGTTCTTCAGCAGCAGGTCCACCGCGAGATCAGAGAACTGGCCACAGATGATGACGTGCTGGTGCCGCCACTCGCTCAGCAGCCACGTCGCCGAGCCACCACCGTTGAAGGTGTTGTACAGCTGACCGCGCTCCGCGATGATCGCCAGGCGCTGGAACATCGGAAGAAAGAAGCTAATGCCAATGATGAGGAAGACGATCATGAAGAGGCGCGCCGGGGTAGTGAGGGGGGTCACATCGCCGTAGCCAATCGTGCCGAAGCCGACGACCATCATGTACAGCGAGTCGTACAAGTCCATGTAGTGCCCCGTGCAGGACTCCACAATCTGATGCGTGCCGATGCAAGTGCAGAGGACGGCGAAGACGTGGATGAAGAAGCGGACCATCTCTCGCCAGATATCCACCATGTGCTGCGCGATAATCGGGTAGTCGATCAGTACAATCAAACAGTCGTGCATCCACCACACACGCAGGTACATCGGCACCCAGCCAGAGCGCCAGCTGGTGTGATGTATGGCGCCGCAGCCAATGACGATCATCGGCACACTCGTCATGGCGTTCACAAGCGACAACCACGAAACTAAATACGCCGTCTTGTCCTGCTCAAACAGGAACAGGGCGAACCACTCTAGGAGAAAGATGATGTTCAGCGCCACCTCGACGATGAACACCGGCACGTTCCACTCGAACTCCCTCACGGAGGTCGCCGCGCTGACCTGCGAGGTCCAGACATAGAACGCCACCGACACCGTCTCCATCACAAGGTGGGTGAGGAGGCCGACAATCGACACGTTGCTGTGGCGCTGGTCGAGGAACTCCACAAACTTACGGACGGAGCGGACGTGGTTGTCGCGGGAGTAGTGCTTGTCGACGAAGACGTCTGGGCGGTCGGCACGCCGCCACAGCCCGAGCCGCTTCAGCCCGAGGAGGTGCGCGTACTTCTCCATCGTTTCTCTCTTGCTTCTTCCGTTCAAGGAAAAGGAAAGCAGCAAGCTTTGGGGGAACAGCTTTTGGATTTTCTTGCCTTTCCCCGCCTCAGCCTTTCCGCAGCCCAATCTGCGGGAGGAAGCAGCAGCAGCAGCAGCAGCACAGCTACAAAACGACTGAGCTGACGACAGCGGATTCAAGAGGAGCGCACCACCACCACCGCTGCCAGCACCACCAACAGCAGCTACAGAAGCGGAGAGCGAGGCCGATATATGGATGTGAAGCCGAATACAAAAGTATATGGACTAAGTGAGAAGGCGAAGGGATGATAAGAAGACAAAAGAAAGAAGCAGATGCGGTCCAGGAAACAGAGAAACACACACACACGCGAAGGAAGGAGAGGTGGAAAAGAAGAGGAAAGAAGAAATGCAAGCGAGCGGGAGATGACCTTCTACAACTCCAGCACAACTCGCATCTTTTCGTGGTTGTTGACGTTCGCGCCCCCGCGTGACGTATCGAAGATAAAACAAAAAGTTTGCCGTGCGCTGAAGTGAAGACCCAGTCATCGGTACATGCGTAAGTAATAGGAGTGGAAAAAGAAAAGGTGCGATAACCGGCAGAGGAGGAGGAGGAGGAGGAGAGAAAGAAAGAGCGTGTGAGTGAGTGTGTGAGGCACCGACAACGCAGAAGGGCACATCTAGCAGCTATTACAAACAGCAAACACCCTGACAGATATAGAAATATTTTGCTCACTTCGCAGGACATCTCCTGTGGTACACAAGAAATTCGAGCCCGTGTACAGTAGGTGGTGGGACGCCATCGTTTTATCTTTCACTTCTGAAGGTTTCCTTGCACGCGAAACGGTAATTTCTGGTTTCAAAGAAAAAAAAAAGACTTGCTCATGGCAGTGCAAAACACAAACACAAACACATTCACACACACACACACACAACGGAATGCGGACGAAGAGAGGTGTCACGACCAGGTCAGAGACGACGACCGCGTCGTTTCTCTCTCCTTTACCGCCTCGCGTGTTGGCCCTTTTCGCCAGACCGACGCTCCGGCCTCGCCGTTCCCGCGGCGGAGTTCGTACGTCTGCTGTCGCTCGTCGTTGCCGTTGTCGTCGATGCTGGTGCGAGGGCGGAGTTCAACAGATCGGTTGAGGAGTGGAAAGCCGTTGATGTTGTGCTGCAGGTCAGAGGCGGCGCTGGCAGTGCCGCCGCCACCGCCGGCTCCACCCCTTCCCTCCTTTCTTCTGCCGCCTCGCCTTCCTTGTGCATCACCGTTGGTCCACATTGCGAGGACGACTCAACGATCTTCATCCCCGGCACGACGGCGCCTGCAGACGACGACGACCGCCGCCGCATGAGCAGCCCGACAAAGTCAGCCTCCACCACCACGTTCTCCACCGGCAGCTTCGAGACCATGTCGTAGCTGTTGTGCAGGCCGTAGTGGCCCTGCACTCGCACCACGTCCCCCTCGTCGACAGCGAAGAGCGCCGCCGCCGCCGCTGCCGTCTCGCCAGTCGAGCTGCGGATCACCTTGTCATGGTAGGGCCGGGATGGGATGTAGCGCACGAGCATGTGCGCGCGGTACATCTTCAGCTGCCCGGGACGGCGCTCACGATAACCATGGGCTTCCAACGTGAACTGCACCACTCGCGGGGATGCTGCTGACGCTGCTGCTGCTGCGGCGGCGCCTGCGAGTGTCCCGACTTGCACCGGCCCGCGAACGGTCCCTATACAGCTCACGAATGAGACACCTGTGCCGAGGGCCAGCCCGCTGCGCTGCCACTCTCGCGCGAGACCGGCGCTTACCTCCATCAGCTGTCCCGTTAAGACCGCACTGGGGTACGCTTTTGTCATGGTCGACGCGCCGTCTGCTGATGCGTTGTGTGTCATCGTGTTGGGGTTAGTGGTGGTGGTGGTGGTGACGGCGGGCTGCTCTTCTCCTTTCAGTTGCATCACAAGGGCGCGTAGCCGCGCCAGCTCTCGGGCCAGCTCCGCGTTGGCTGCGATGAGTGCCGCTCGCGCCGTCTCCTCCGCCGTCACGACGTGAAGGCCGTGACGCGCGATGCGGTGCTGCAGAAGGTTAGCGGCACAGAGGAAGCGCTTGCCGCACTCCGGGCACACGAAGCGATCACGTAGTGGCGGCGATACGGAGGACGATGAAGACGCTGCTCCTGCTGCTTCTGCTTCTGCTGCTGTCTCGACGGGGGAGGCGGCGTGTGTCTGACAGAAGCGGGCCGCAAAGAGAGGGACCGTCCGCACCGCCACCGCGGCAGAAGCAGAAGCACCAGAGAAGTTGGTCGAGACGCAACGCAGCGCACACGAGGGCTTCCGTAGACGCCACAGCGGCGACGACGACGATGACGACGTGGCGGTGGTAGTGGGCGAACATGGGTGATGTGCGAGTGGCTGACGCAGCCAATGCATGCAGAAAGATGATCGATACGACATCTGCGCAGCGGGGCAAAAAACTGTCGAAGGAGAAAAACACAGACACACACGCAGAGACACACCGACAGTAATCGATGTGTATATATATATGTGTTAGTCAGCGCGAGAAGTAAAGCAAGGCGGTCGAGACAAGAAGGGAGAGATGAAAGAGCACTTGTTGCGGGGTTTCTCTGTGTGAGGAAGCGGGGGGATAAAACGACAACGGGGAGAGAGGTCACGCTATTCGAGCGTCTCCATCTTGGCCGATCAAACAGATGAGTCACCCCTGGCGTACAAGGCTAGTCTTCTTCTTTCTGGTTTGAAACACCTCGAAGAGATATGCTAGACGACGTGGGGAACACACGCGCCCACACACACACGCAAGGACGACAGAGACCTCGTAACTACGCCTTCACAGATTTATTTTTGTGATTGATGACGGGGGGACGACGAGGTGTGTCGGCCTCATCGATTTGTACCCAAACCTACACACCCACACAGACACAAAATGAGATGCCACGAGGTAGGGCACTTAATAAGCCCCTATAAAAATAAAGAGAAACGTATCTTTGAATGAGGGGAAAGGAAAAGACGCGCTTCACCGACATGCTTTCCCTCAAAAGGATTGCATCGAAGACAGATATAAGTATATATCGAAGAGAGAGAGAGAGAGCAGGGCAGGAAAGAAAGGAGGGAAGAAGGGCCTTTTCCCTCCCGGTACAGTTCCATGAGCAACAGAATCGTGTCCGAGAACAGGGGAGGGGCTGTGTCCCACTGCTGGAGTTTTTCGACTAGCCGCTCTCCTTTTCCCCGTTGACCCCCTTCTTTTGAGCTTCCAACTGTCTTCTCGGTTTTCATGTTCAGCTTGCCGCTGCTGCTGTTGCTGCTGCGTCGGCCGGCTTCGTTATCATCTTCTCATCGCCACCCTCTGTTGGAGCGGCGGCGTGATTTTTCTGGTAGATGCGCACGGCGTCGTACACCGTCTTGAGCACAAAGGCCGCGAGACAGACACGCACCGCAATAGAGAAGGGACAGACCATTTTTCCTTCCTTTATAATATATATATAATTATTAAATAGAGTTAGTTTGCTTGTGTTGCTTACGTCGCTGTGTGTGCGGATGCAATGAGGATGGCCAAAGATATGGAGTTCGTTCAAATTTCTCTCTATTGCAACCGTTGATGTGCGCAACGGGTTAAGATGACACGGAGGAAGTACACCCCCGAAAACAGACAAGAAAACACGTAAACAGAAAGGAAAAGAGGCGGTGATGGTGGAGGCGGGGATGGGGAGTTAAGGCGTGGGGTGGATAGAGAGAGAGAGAGAGCGGAGGGCAGAGGGCAGAGGGCGCATGTTCGGTTTCCGCCTCCCAGCGAGGGACCTTGCAAAAGCAAAATACAGAATTATAGTGGTCGCGGCTGTGCACCTAGAGGCTCTTCGTGCGTTGTTGTTGTTGTTGTTGGTCTTCTTCCTTTCTTCTTCCGTTGCAAAAACACGCGGCACACAACAACTTCTACTTCCTTCTATCAAGACGGGAGGGCAAATGCACGCACCGGCGCAGCTGCCGCTCGCACTGTGGGTGACCGCCAAATACACACACCCACACGCACATCCCCAGCGAAACTAGAGGAGCGGCAACGCCACGTGGGATCTATGAAGTGAGAAATCATAATCATATTAACAAACACGCAGGAGTTTTCTTTACTCACCCGTGGCTTCTTGTCCATAGGCCATCGTAATCTGCCGTGTCCGCCACGCCTCCTGCGGGCGACGGCGCTGCGATAAAAAGTTATCCTTCTCCCACAGCAACCGCATTTGCTGCCCGCGCTTCACCGGGTCAGCCTTGCGCCGCAGCGTGCAACCTTGCGGGTCGAGGTAGGCAACGCTGTTGCTCGACAGCACCGACGGACCAGAGTTCGGATTCAAATAAGAGGAGGCAGAACCGTGCTGGTGGTGGTGGTGGCCACCACCGCCGCCGCCGCGCTCTGGGTTGTAGAAGTTGTGAACAGGCGAGCGGTGGACGGGGGTGAAGGAAGGCGAAGGCAGCGCGGTGCCCGAGCGAGTTCGATCCTGCCCACTTGCGGCTGCTGCTGCGTGGACGGCCCTCGTCGTGCGTGGAGACGAGCACACGAGCGCGCCGGAGCCTTGCGGGGTGCGCGTGCACGAGAAAAAGCGGAAGCGCTGATCTCCCGTGATGTTGAACACGATGTTCGCCGCGCGCCGGTGCTTCGCGGCCATGGTGGCGACCGTGCTGTGGGGACGGGACGGAGCGGTGTGGCCCGCCGGCCGCGCAGCTGGGGCGTGTCCACGCGCGTGGTCCTCCCCTCGCGGCGCGGGGCTTGGTGGGATGGTGACCGCCGCTGCTGCGGTGGGGTGCAGAAACATGTTCTCCAACTCGCGCTCGCGCAGCTGGATGTAGCGCTCCAGACGGAGGGCGGGCTCCACGTAGGGCAGGAGGCTGCTGCTGTTCTTCTCGTTCGACGGCGGCACTCTTGTCGGGTAACTGTACCCAAGATCATCGACCGTTGCACCTTGCCGGCTACGCCCGTCCGACGGCTGACCGACGTTGTCGTGCCTCGTCTCCGCCATCTGCGCAAACACTCGCTCGATGTCCTGCCAGGACGGGTTGGGATAGCCGGCATCTGCCAGCGCGGCTCGCACACGGACCACATCTGTCGCACTGTGATACGGCTGGTGCTGCGGCGACGAGGAAGGCGAGGGAGCAGCGGCAGCGGCAGCGGAGGGGGATGAAGGAGATACGCCCAGAGTTGGACGCTGCTGCTGCTGCTGGTGCTGTCGTCGCCGTTGCTGCTCGCTAAGCGGAGGCGAAGACGGAGGAGGTGGTTGTTGGGCCGCCGGTGCCGCTGCAGTTGCACGCGCACTTGTTGCTGTTGTGGTGGTGGTCGTCGAGGCTGCCGTCGCGGATCGCTGCGATCGCACCCAGCTGCCCTCCCCGCGTGCCAGCGGTGACGCCCTTCTATCGTGTGTAGCGGATGTCTGGAGGGGGCGGGGGGATGCTGTCGATGCCTCTGCGGCCACCACCACAGCACCATTATCGTCATCGTCGCCACGCAGCCGTTCAGCAGAGTTCGCCGACAGGGCTGCGGCACTGCTGTGGTGGCTGGACCTGTCGGCGCGTCCACGCGGCACGACATCGCCCATGTCCACGTCATCACTCACTACTGACTTGGGCAGGCTGGAGTAGCCGGCGAGTACGTCGGGGTGCCTTGCAGAGGACGGAGACGAGGAGGCAGACGAACGCGGGAGCTGCTGCTGCGAGGGCCGGGTCGCGAGTGGAGCGGCAGCTCTACTGCTGGCTGTTGTTGCTGTGGTGGTGGCGGTGGCGCGATTGGCGGAGGCAGGCGAAACGCTCACAGGAGCGTCCCTGGAGGCGTCAACCGAGGTCATTACGAACCGTGCAAGAATAATAATAATAATAAAAGGACGTATGGTGTTGAACGAGGAGCTGTGTCTGTGTGTGTGTGTGGAGAGAGGTTGCTGAGTACAGAGAGATCCAATGCACCTCTCACAAGAAAACTTCTTCTTCCTTGGGTGGTCGTTGTTATGCGGGAATTCTGACGGGAGCGCTCCCGCTTCGTATCTTCGTTCGTCCCCCAGTGTCTCTCCCTTTTTTCTAAAGACGGCGGCTGAGATGGTAAAGAAATGCAGGTGCACTTCGCAGTCGCGGCTTGCAGAAATACTTACGACGGCTGTGCCAAAATGGAGGAGAAGAAGAAGGTGAGGCGAGACGTTGCGAAGGTCGTGGAAACACACGTTTGGAGGACTTCATCGAGGGCCGAAGCTGCCCATTTCGCCTCTCCGAAGAGGAAGTTCATAAAAAACCTGACTGTCTCGATAACAGCGACACGACAGAGCAAATACAGGCCTCAACACATCAACCCGAAATAACAGCAGCAACCTCTGCTTCACCAAGAAGAGATGAAGCCTCATGCAGTGCACGGAGAAGGGGAGAGGAGCCGGTGGGCGAGGGGAGCTCAAACGCGAACACAGAGAGCAGCAGCAACAGAATTCCAGGGAGTTCATGTACGCCGGCTCGCCTTCGGCACTCCGCAACGCCGCTTTCCATCTTTTGCTCTCTGCCGACGACGATCTCCTCCAAGGCCGACTTACGCCGCTTCGCAGAGCTCAGCGTTTATTTACTTTTCATTTTCATCCGCAGCTATTCTTTATAATATTTATCGATCTTTACAAGGAAGCATCGGAGACTGCGCACAGAACATAACAAAGACACGCATCGTGCTTTACATATATTAATTACGGAGGATCTTGGAGTCTGCAAATATCTTCTTTTTCGCTTTGCCCTTCTCTCTCTCCCTTCTATTTTTCAAAGCCCTGTTTTTACCCTTTTCACCTCCTGTTAAGATAGTTGCAGCGATCCTCCTATTCTGTTACCTCATAAAGAAAATAGTTACACACACTATATATATATATATATACTTCCATTTTGGATTTTTTTTGGGTTTTCATCTCGTGTACTCCTCCCCTCCTTCCTTTGCCCTCATTTTCACCTTCGTGCTCTCCGTGTGTGCGTGTCTCTGTGTGAGAGGAGGTCCTTTCACGGCAGAGAGGGGAGGGGTGGTGGTGGTGTTGGCCCACCCCGGCCACCCCCTCTGCGCGCAGACAAGCGCGTCGCTTACACGAGAGGAGGAGGAGGACAGAAGAAGGGTAAGAAAGGCGGGGGAGGGAGGGGAGGGGGCGGGCGGGCGGGGGGAAGGCCTCTCTCTCTCTCCGCTCCTCTCCCCCTTCCCCCCCCGCTCCTCTCCTCAAACACGCATACTTAAAGTGCCATTAAATAAGACTGGTGTGATCAGTGTTTTCAACAAAAGAGAAAAGGAAAAACATGAAAACAAACCTCCGTTCACATAAAAAACAAACAAAACCAGAACACACACACGCACGCAGACGAGAACTGAAAGAGGGAGAGAAGAGGCGCTTAATGTTCTACGTACGCGTGCGGCGCGTCAGCGGACGTGACGGACGTGCTTCACTGACGGACAGAACGGGGGAGATCAAAATAAGAAAGAAACAAAAAAACACACACACGAGCGTCAGAACAACGAAGACAGGAGAGAGGAACGCGAGCCAAGGGAGCGGGGGCCGGACACCTTGTCGTCGTACCACAGTTGCGCGCACACACACACACATGTGAAAGCGGAACAGAGAACTGAGAGGGGAGGCGGACACAGATGCCCCCTGCTGCATCGTGCGTCGCAGACAAGGAAAACACCCAGATATGAACGAGAAAGCAAAGATATCACGCGTCACACAAGGAAAAGGGGGGGGGGGGAACCCGCGCCGGGTCGTCTCTCCGTCTACGGTCTTGCCTTTTCCTTTTTCTTCTCTTCTCTCCGCACTCTTCTCCCGCCTAAGCATTTCTTCTCTATCACAGTTTTCTCCGCTGTAGTCCAGCGCTGCCGTTCCCTCCATCTCCGTCTCGCCGGGAAGGCGAGCAACAGAAACGAAACAAGCAAAAATATATAAAATAGAAAAGGTAAAGAGGCGGCGGCGGCAGAACTCGAAAAACAGCATCATCATCAACACCAAGATAATAATAATACTCACGAAACGTTCCCTCTCGAACTCTCTTGAGCTGGTATGTGTACGTGTGAGCGTGATGGAAAGGGATATCGCGTACGCTTGCGTCTCCGTGATCGTTCCTCATCTTCACTTCTACATCGCCTTTCAGTTCTTCGCGCAGCTTCTCGCACTCCCTCTTCCTCATTTGCGATTCCTCGGGTGCTGCCTTCGTCTCCTCCTGTTATCCCTTTCATTGTCGTGTATATTAATAAATAGGCCCTCGTTGCCTTCCAATTCCGGCGAGACGACGACCGCACAGCCGCACACAACACGAGACGGAGAGAGAGAGAGAGACGAGCATCACCACGTTGCGCAGCTTACTCGCCGAGGTAGGCGGCGAAGTCCACCGGCAGCTCATCAATCTGAGTGTGGTAGTGCGCCTCGATCTCATGCAGCAGCTCCACGTCCTTCTCTGTCACGAAGTTGATGGCGACACCCTTGCGGCCGTAACGGCCACCGCGACCGATGCGGTGCAGGTAGTTCTCCTTGTTGGTCGGGAGGTCGAAGTTGATGACGATGTTGACGTGGTGCACGTCGATACCGCGCGCCACGAGATCCGTCGTGACGAGCACGCGAGAGCTGCCGCTGCGGAAGGTGTTCATCACACGCTCGCGGTCGGGCTTCGACATCTCGGCGTGCATGCTGCTGACGGTGTGGTTGCTCTCGTTCAGCTTGTTGGCGAGCCAGTCCACCTTGCGGCGGGTGTTCGCGAAGATGACGGACTGGGCGATGGAGACGGTCTCGTAGAGGTCCATCAGCGTGTCCAGCTTGTGCTCCTCCTCGACGGCGATGAAGAACTGCTTAATGCCCTCCAGCGTCAGGCTCTCGCGCTTCACGAGAATGCGGACCGGATCGCGCATGAACTTCTTCGTCAGCTCCAGCACCTCCTCCGGCATCGTGGCGGAGAAGAGGGCCACCTGAATGTCCTTCGGCAGGTAGCGGAAGATCTCATAAATCTGGTCGGCAAAGCCCTGAGACAGCATCTCATCAGCCTCGTCCAGCACCAGCACACGCAGCATCTCCGTCCGCAGGGCACCGCGCTTGATCACGTCCGACACACGCCCGGGAGTTCCCACGGCGACGATCACACCGTTCTGCAGCTTGCGCAGATCGTCCTGGACACGGGTGCCACCGACGAAGGTCTCGCAGAACTTGGCATCGTTCGAGAGGAACTCACCGATGCGGCTGATCACCTCGGCCGTCTGCAGGGCCAGCTCGCGAGTAGGGGAAAGCACGAGGCCCTGAATCACGTTGTGGCGAAAGTCGAGGCGCTGGAGCAGGCCGATGGAGAAGGCACCGGTCTTGCCCGTACCAGACTGCGCCTGAGCGATGATATCGCCACCACGAGTAAACGGCGCAATCGCGCGCTGCTGGATGCTCGAGGGCTTCTCGAAGCCGTAGGAGTAAATACCGCGCAGCAGGTTCTGGTGGAGGGGCATGTCATCGAAGGACGGGATCGGGCGAACGCCGGGCTGATCATCCACGAAGGAGTCCTGATCCTGAGGGGCAACCTTATCTTGCTGGGACATCACTGTTGTCTGTGAGGAAGAAAGGAGGAAAAAACAATAAAAAAAAAGAGAGCTGTTAAGAAGGCGAGTAAAAACTGCGGAGTTAAGCGGTGTGACGTTTTTCGGGTTGCGCGTACACGCACGCAGGGGGACAAGCGAGAGAGAGAGAGAGAGATGAGGAGGAGGAGATGCAGCGACATCGGGGGTGTACTCCGCGGGCTTTTTCCCTTTCCAACGTGAGAAGGAAGGAAGGACGGGAGGGACGGTCAAATCAAAACAGAATGCCGTCGTGCCGTATTCGACTTGTTGGTGCTCCACTCCAACTACCACACACACACACAGATACATACAGCTCAAACAAAGATAGACCGTTTATGAGTTTTTTTTCCTTTTCTAATTTGCGAAGAAGCAACGCAGAGGAGCTCCAGAAGGAGACAACACTGATGCGGTGATTCAGCAGCGACTATGTATATATGTATATATACATAGTTCCGTGCCGGCTGCCCAAGTTGTACCCGGCAGCCTCTCTCTCACTTTTTACTCTTCCCCACGTGTGTGAACACTTCAGTACCGTCGCGTCGCGTGGTTTTAGTCCGCCGCGTCCTGCGCGGCCACGGGGTGCAAGTCCGTCTCTTCAACGTATTGACGAATGTAGAAGCGACATAGCTGCTCCGCCTCCGCGAGGACGCGCTGCTCCGCGTAGGCGCGCAGGTCGGGATGCACCGAATCCACATAGCCTTCCAAGTTCGCCAGCGCAGCCGCCATCGCTGCGGCGGCAACGGGAGACGAAGGCGCTGGCGAGATCCGCAGCGGTGATGATGATGGTGGTGGTGACGGCGAGTGTGCTGCGCGTTCAGCCTTTGGGGTTTCGTCATGATCGATGATCCGCTTAATGATGGTCGGCAGCTCCGCCACGCTGCGGACGCCGTAGCGGGGAAGGGCAATGGTGCAATGAGAGCCTTTCGCACCGGTACGCACCGCCGTTGCGTCGTCATCAGACAGGTAAACCATGCTCTCCATTCGCGCTGGTGCTGCTGCTGTGGTGGTGCTGATGCTTGCACTCGCAGAAGCAGCAACAACCGGGGAAGAAGCCACGCCAGCCGCAACCAAAGAAGAGGAGAGCGGCGTGGGCGACAGTACAGCTCTTCCATCGCCCTCCGCATCCCTTCCCTCGTTTCTGGAGTGCTCTTCAAATAAGCGTCCCTCAACGGACATGGCAGGCGCGGCTGCCTGGCTATTCGCTTCGACCTCGCCGATCTCAAGCCGATGCACGTCGGCACCGTCTAACGGTGGCATGGCCGGAACTGGAGGCGAGTGCGAGCCACGACGCTCCTCCGCCTGAACACAGCACGGCATGCCCACCTCTTCGCGCGTCGCAGGTGCGCCGTGACAGACCGCAGCGGGTGGCAGAGGAAGACGAAGGCGCGAGTGGGTCGTAAAGACGTTGAAGCTGCCCAGCTGCCACGGATGCAGCGCGGGCTCGTTGCTCTGCGATGCACGTGCGTCTCGGTGGCTGCTGTCACGGTGGTGGAGTGGGGAGGAGGAGGAGGAGCAGCTCGGCTGACGTGTGCCAACGCGCGCGTGCACCGAGGTGAAAGGCTGGAAGACGTTCCCCGTCCCCAGCAGCTCGATGGCGGTTGCACGGGCCGGCGACGAATGGCACGCCTCCTGATCCTCAACGCCGCTTTCATCCGCGGCCTCGAGGTGAAAGCGGACGCTTGCGTACGACTGGAAGTGGTTGTGGCTGCAGATGCAAATCTTCGTGGCAGCGGCTGGACTGTGAGGGGGCGGCTGCGCAGCCACCCCCTCCGACGTGGTGATGTGCAGCTCTGCGAAGTCCGCAAAGAGGGTGAAGGGGCCGACGTCCAGCACGAAGCCCGGCGGGACGGAGATGCGGGCGTGCGGGAGCACCACGCAGCCCTCACCAAATCGCACGCTGCCTTCAATTGAGGCGGAGGAGCTCCTGTAGAAGTACGATGGCCCGCGTCGTGCACGACGCACCGGCGCCGTCTTCATGACTGCCTGAAGAAAAGAGCGTGCGAGAATGACTCTTCTGTTTTGTATGATGGATGCACGTTGTTGTGGAGAGCCGATGTGCACGTCGAGGCATGCCGGTGTGTATTGCGTCTGTGTATAACACCGCTAAAAAGAGTCAGAAAGCGAAGAGAAAACACACGCCACCAAATAAGTAGAAGGAGCAAACAATCGAGGCAATATGCGGATGCGTGTTACTCGTGCTCAAGCTACGATGGCAAGTAGGAGCATCAGCAAGGCAGCAGCGAAGATTTCGTTGACGCCTTTACATAGTACTTTGGTTTGGCTTCTTGAATTCGAAAACGATGACGGCACCTATATATATATATAGAGAGAGAGAGAGAGAGACACTTGCCAAAAAAAGTTTCGCGTTCAAGTGGAGATGCGCAAGAGAGCACGGCACCGCGCCCGAAGCTTGATCCTTCAAAGATTGGTCGTGGGGGCTACTGCCCATCCGCGCCGCCCTCTTCCGCCTCCGCATCGCTGTCCAACGCATTCGCCACCTTATGGCTGTACTTCACCATCCACGCATCCGCCAGCAGCTCGGCCGCCGTCGCACGATGCGTCGGGTCCCACTGCAGACACCGCCACAGAAAGTTCTCGAAGTCGCTCGCCTCCTCCGCGGACGTTAGCGTGCGCCGAATCATCTGCCGTACCTCCTGCCAGTCCGGCGTCTCCATCGGGTAGTTGCGGGTGTCGAGGACGGACGTACGCGGGTGGAAGGCGCGACGAGGGACGTCCCCGCCTTCGCTTTCGCCTTCTCCGCCCCTCCCTGCTGCTGTTTCTGCAGCGGTGGTGGTGGCGAAGCTGCAGGGTGTCATGGAAAGCGCGGAAGGCGTGGTGTCTGCGGGCGGCGGGTTGCCGAGGTCTGCGCGGACCGCCGGCGCGGCCGACGACGGTGGGTCGAGACGCTGCGAGGAATTGCCGGGCTGCACTCGAGCATTTCCCTTCTCTTTCGCTGCATCACACGCCGCATCGTCATCATCGTCATCGAGCGTGTTGTCGCTGCTGTGGGCGTGGGTGGAGGCGGTGACCACCGTCGCAGCAGCAGCAGGACGGTCACCGCGCGGCCCCCGCCGACTTCCCCAGTAGCGCAGTTCGTCGCGACGGTACGCGTCTGCTAGGCCCATGCCACAGCCCTCCGCCTCACCTCGTTGCCAAAACTTAAAATCGCCCTTCTCATCGAAGAAGTCCGCCACAAAGAGGCCCATCGGGTGCTGGTGCAAGAAGCTGATCGGCGGCGGCCCGAGCAGCCGCATCATCGCCTTGAGGTGGAACACATCGAGGTCCTGCTCGGGGTCGTCGACGTAGATCGGCTGTTCGTCCCACGCCGCGCTGTCGTCGTCATCCTCGTCGGGGCCGTTGCTCCCCTTTCCATCCGCGGCGCGGATCCTCCCCTGCTCCTTCGTGCGCACATGCCGCCCAAAGTACTCCCGATCGGCAGTGCAGTCCATCAGGAAGCGCCCCGTCACGAGCTCGTAGGCGACGCAGCCGATGGACCACACATCACAGGAGGGGAGGAAGAAGTTGCCGAGCACCACCTCGGGGGCGCGGTACTCGCGGCTTTGCACGGTGGCGCCGCGGGTGTAGCGCTGGTTCCGCACCACGTCCAGCTCCAGGCGGCGCAGGGCGGTGAGGCTGGCCAGCGCAGAGAGAGGCGAGCGACGTGGCGGGGAGGGCGACAACGCCGCTGGCGCTGCGGACAACGTGGCTGTGAAGCTGGCGAGCGGGGGAGGGCGGGGCTCGGCGGGTCGTGTGAGGGACGTCACGTAGTGCTCCTCTGTTGCCACCTCTTCCTCTTCCTCCTGCTGTTCGTCTGCTTGTTCCTTGTCGCGATGCGGGGAGGGCGGGCTGGAGGACGTGCTCGCCACTCGCTGCGACGCACGAAGACGGCGCGACACGGGCGAGTGGTAGCTGGCAGTGTGCAGCGCCGTCGAAGGGGCAGCCGCGACAGCAGTGAAGTGGTCACTCATCGCCGAGTTGGCTGAGCTGTCCGCGCTGACGCGACGATGGCCCTTTGCGTCACCGTTGTTGGCGCTGCTGCTGCTGCTGCTGCGAGAACTTCTGTCATCGAGGTCAGGCGTGGCGTGCGCGGACGGCGGTGGACGGCCCCTCTTCGTCTTTGCGCTACAAGGCGTCTCTTCGACGGCCGTTATGTCGGGGAGCTCCACCACTACCGTGTCTTCTTCCTCTTTCATCCTGCCGCCAGCGGCGGTACGCTCCGCCTCCGCATCGTCGGCCCACTCCCCGACGCTGCACGTCCGGCGCAGGCGGCGGTCGTCCTCGCGGGCCTCCTCGAGCTGCAGCGCGCGCAGCTCCGCGGCGTTTACTAAATCTCCCTCGACCGCCGCAGCATCACACTCCCACCCCTCCAATCCCCCACCCCCACCAGCACTGCTACTACTCGGACTGTTGCCATGGTTCATGACGGCTTCAGGTGATCTGCGACCGTCAGCGCGTGTTTGCGATCGCTGCAGTTGCTGCTGCTGTTCGTAGAGCCACTGCAGCTGTGACAAGGCGTCGTCCTGCACGAGGTCATCCACTGCGATGCCGACCTCCGCCGTGTAGCGCGCCATCGCCCGCACGCCAAGCCGCAGGCACGGCGGAGTGATGAAGGAGAGACCGAAGTCGGACACCCGTACCTCGTAGGCCGGACGTCGGGCACGCGGTGGGCTGGACGCGGCAGAGCCGCCGCCGGCCCGGCATTCTACACGGAGGAGTGAACTTACTAAGGGCGACCCCCCTCGACCACCGACTTCGTGGTTCATCGTTGTCGTCATCGTCGTCGTGGGAACGGCAGCAGTAGTACTGTGATGACCACCACTACCACCACTACTACTACCGTTGTTGTTCATTGAGGCAGAGGACGGATCGGCCTGCGGCTGTGATGGACTCAGAGGCGCTGTATCTTCCTCTGCGGCGCCCTCGTGACGCGGGGGACGGGTGCGGTGCGGGAAGTCCCCCCCTCTACTGCTCGAGCGGCGTGGCTGCTCATCCGCCCGTCCACTCCGTTCCACGCCAGAAGTTAACGCTTCGTTCTCCTCCTCCTCGTGAATGGTGGCGGCGGAGGGAAGCCCGCTGCTGCTGTGCCCCGTCAGCCCCCCTGCCGCCGCCAGCGGCGACGACGCGCCCTCCCGCTCGCGGCGCTGCGAGTACTCGAGGACGCTCTCCCGGCGGTGCGTGAAGCTGCTCCACAGCCCGCTGCGGCGCCCCGTCTGCAGCTGCGCCGACTGAAAGGCGCGCATCTCCGCCGCCACCTCCGCCTCCAAATCGGTGAAGAGCAAGTTCTCTGGCTTTAAGTCCGTGTGGATGACGTTGCAGGCGGCCAGCACGGCGAGGCCCTGCAGCGTAGAGCGCAGAATGGCTCGCGCCACCTCGGACGGAAAGCCGGAGAGGTGGGTTTCGTTGATCGCCTTGTCCACGCCGGACCCGAGCACGTCCATCACTAAGCACCGGTGGGTGCCGTACGCCCCTTCCACGGCGAACGCGTCACGAAAGGTTGTGAGGCGCTGGCGGAGGAGTGAGCCGGTCGGGCTGGCGCTGGCGTGCCCAAAGCCGCTCGCGCTGCTGATCCCCAGCACATTCGACGTACTCCCGGGGCTGATGAAGGCGTCGGGGGGAGAGACCGTAAATGATGTGTTCGAGTTCGCGCGCGAGCGGCCGGCGCGGGAGTGACGCGCTGACGTCGGTGAGACGAGCAGCGAGAACGAGTTCGATGGCGGTGACCGGAGGGCGCGGAGCTGCCGCAGCCGCACGCTGTCCTGTATAAAGGTGGACAGCTTCGCCTCGTAGGTGGCGCAGTCCGTGTAGGTGGCGCCGCAGCGGAAGACCTTGATCGCCACGAACATCGGACGCTCGTTTGGCCGGAAGAGCCGTCGCGCCTCGCGCTCGCCGAGCTCGCGGATGAGCTGCCGCCGAGCCAGCGAGCACTGCTCCATGTCCGCGGCGAGCCAGACACGGCTGCTGCGACCGACGCCGAGCGCCTTGAGGAGGGAGTAGCGGTTGTGGAGGGTGTCGCCCGGGACACAGGCGAGGTGGCCACCTTCGCCGAAGTTCGTGGCACTCATGTGATCCGAGAGATCATCACCGATGCTGTCCTCCTCCTCTTCTTCTGCTTCTACATCGGTCAGGGAGAGAGACGCACAGCGATCGGCCTCGTGCCCTGGAGGTGAATTCAATGACGTGCTTGAGTGTTCATCACCGTCGTGATGGTGCGCATCGTTGCCGGGGAACAGCATCGGTGGTGGCGGAGGCGGTGGGACAGGGCGAGCAGTGGCCTGCGGACACCCATCGTGGCTCGCCTCGTGCGCATTGTCCTCCGGATCACCTCCCTCGTCGTCGTCTTCTTCTTCAGTGGAAGAATGTCCGCCCCACGCACGCCGCCGTTGCTGTTGGGCGGCTACGCTGCGAGGGTGCGGCGGCTGGTGCGCTTGCTGGTGCTGCTGCAGCGCTTCCTGCACGACTTTCAGCTCATCGAAGCGGGGGATAGGGGGAACGGTGTCAGTGGCTGGGGCGTGCAACGCCGCCTTCGCTTCACCAGGCGCTGACGGAGATGAAGGCAGCATGTCCGGCAGCGCAAAGCAATTGCTGCCTTCCACGACTGATGCTGCAGCTGTGGTGGCTTGAGATGTCGGCTGCTGCAGCAGCTGCGGTGGCAGTGGTGGGGGTGGAGCTGCGGTGTGCAGGAAGGCCACCGCGCGCTCGTTGAGAGACGGTTGTGCGTGGATGTCACCGTTCGTCTTGCTGTTGTCTCCATTAGCTTCATCTGCGACTTCAGTCGTCGTCGATGGCTGCAACGGTGTCGCGTCGTCCAGCCACATATGCGACGCCAGACGTGCGCGGCTACCCGACAACATGTAGTCAATCAACGTGGCTCCCCCCGGCGTGCTGACGACGTTGACGTCACCGTTGCTGCTCACGTCTCCCTCTCCTTCTTCTGCTCCTGCTGCCGCTTCGGTGGCCCGTCGAGATCGCCGCCTGTTACTCCGCATTGACAGACGCAGCGTGAAGGACGCGTTGACGCTGTCGTCGAGCGTGTCTGCGAGACGGGCGCTGGCGGACCCGACGGAGCCGTGCAGTGGCGCGTAAACCGCGTGCACACTCGATAGCCGCGCGCGCTGCACGTTAAGCAAAATCTCATGCATGCTGTCGAGGAGGGCTAAGCCACCTTCGCGGCAGTCTTGTGGGGTGCGCCATGGCTGCAACCAATCGAAGCGGTGCGCCGACACCTGCTTTTGCGTGTCGCCGCTGCTGGTGCTCGTTCTGGGGTCTGAAGAGGGCGAAGGAGCGGTGTTGAAGGAGTGAAAGGCGGTGCTATTCGGACTGCTGTGGTGGAGCGGGCTGCTGTGGTTCGTGCTGCCGTTCTGCGCGGCGGCGTCAACAGGAGAGGACTCGCCGTTTCTCCAGCCGGTGCGGACGCTTCCAGCAGACATGCCTGCCGCTTTTCCTTTCTTCTTCTTCCTCTTGGTGTGTTGTCGAGAGACTCAGCGTCGTTAAAATAGTTCGAGGAAGACTACGCCTGCAGAGCAGCACAAGAGAAGAGCAGAAACAGCTACTCCCCTTGAAAAGGATTATATATGTAAGGAGGAAGAAGGAAAAATTATTGAAAGACCGTGAGGGAAAGCACACACACACACACACCTCTGGCGATGACCGCTGAATCAATACGCTGGTTCTGCCGCCTTCTAAGTATATATATATGTATATCTACGCGTACGTCTAGAGGAAGAGATTGTTAGCCAAAATAATAATAACAACAGAATTTGAAAAACAAGGCGAAGCAACCAAAGCACCTGCGCGTTGGTCGTCGTATTAGTATTATTCGTACAGAGAAGAAATAACAAGACAAAAATAAATACGGAGAAACAGAAGGACGAACTATGGTGGCAAACAACCGTAATGATTATCAAGCAGACTTATATATATATATATATAGTAGTGGTAGTAAGATCAGTAAACAGCAACGACAGAAGGTGGTGATACGCGCGTGATAAATGTATATATGTATGTGTGTCTGTGGGGAGAGGATCAAGCACACAGAAAGCGCCGCCGATGCTGCGCCGATTCCAGCGTTCGCAGGCAGAGGACGAGATGCGGAGAGGAGGAAGAAAAGAAAAAGGGGCAAAGGTGAACGAGAGAGAAACAAAGATATATAGATATATAGAAGGTTCTAAGTATTTATATATATACACATACATACACCCGCTCGTGGCGGTTTTTGAGGGGTGCGATACAGAAATAGAGGCGATCACGACCGTCCCATCAACGAAACACCGCCGCAGCAAGAAAGAGCGGTGCTCTCGAATGGAGCGAACTCCTCCAGAACAGACAACAACAAGAAGAAAAAAGATAAAGTAATGAACAACAAGAAATATCCAGTAACGGCAATAAATCGCGCTCTCTTGCGCTAAAAAAAAACCAGTAATAACCGAGAGAAAATCGGGTAGCACCTGCGTATACGTGCTCGTGGTGCACGGCTCATCGGTTGGGGAAAGGGAGGAGGGGAGGGGGAGGGAAAGAGGCAGCGGAAGAGGGACAGGGAGTTGGTGCAGAGAGAGAGAAAGAGAGAGAGAGTACCAAAGACGTCTGATACATGTGCGCGGTATCTCATCGCTATGGCTTTCGATGATTATAGATTGGCATTCCATCGTGCTGTCACAGAGGGGGGAACATGGAAACATCGACTAGCGTGGGGACAGGTTCACTTGTAGGAAAATAAAAGGAAACGTTTATTGTCGTACTCGCTGCTTTGCGTTTCTCTTCCATTTTTTTTCGCCCCTGTTTATTATTATTTCGAATGGTCACGCTACTTCGTTTGTGATGGAGGGAAACCGATCCAACGGAGACACACAACCGACGTGTCGGTGCCGCGCAGCTCCAACCCACGACGCACCCAAACCTCTCCTTCCAGCAGGGACGCTTCTCTTCTGATCTTTTCAGCTATTTTTCATTTTCATTTTCCTACTTGTGTGTAGTCCGCACTCACCACACTCACCGCCGTCCACGTCGATCGCCCGGCATCTCCGCCGGGTGCAGCGGTGGCAGGCTCCACTGCTGTCGGAGGAGGTTTGCTCCCTCGCCCTGCAGCGGCGGGGTGCCGTGCGCAAATAACAGAAAGCGGATGGGCCGGGTCCGCGTCAGCTCCTCAATGGCGGCCTGAAGCGCTGGAAGAGACCGCTGGCGCAGCACCTGAAGCCACTTGTACCGCGGCGCGATGTCAGCTCGCTTGTAGTTGCCACGCTTCATGAACTTGAACCACACACGACACATCCATGAGTTGGCCGGGTCGAGGTCCGCGTAGGCGCCGTGGTAGAGGTCGGTGCAGGCGAGGGCACCGCTGTTGGCGTCGTACAGCACGTACTCCTCAGCGACCGCGTCGCCAGCGATGCGCAGGAGCTCGATGGTCGGGGTCAGCTCCACCCGCTCAACGGGGGAGGCGGTGGTGGTGGCTGTTGCTGATCGAGGCACGAGCACGCGCAGGCGGTCCAGGTCGCTGCGCCGCAGGCCCACCGGCTGCTGTGCCTTTTCCGTGAAGAAGGACACGTCGCGCCAGAGGACGTCGACCAAGTCCCTTTCGTCGTCCTCGTCTGCCGCATCTTCTTCTTCTGCTGCTGCTGCTGCCGATGCGGATGGTGATCTTGATAGAGAGGGGGTGGACGGACTGGCAGCAGGGAGAGAGCGCCGACGTGCCTTCTCCGCCTCCTCCGCCTCCTCGGCTGCCAGTTCGCGTCGAAGTCGCATCTTCTCCTCTTGCCGACGCCGCTGCGTCGCGAGGGGGTCCGCCGCTGCGTTTGCTTCGCCGTGATGCGCATGTTCCTCTTCCGACACGTCCGCCGCGGTTGGCGGTGCGTGCCGCGGCGATTGCTGATGCCGCTGCTGCTGCTGTCGCTCCTCCTCACGCTCGAGTCGAACCGCTTCCGCCGTCGCACGCGCTCGTGCGGTCGCCGCCGCCGTCCGTCGCCGCTCCGCGGCCGCCTCGGCTTCCAAGTCCACCTCCGGGAATGAGAGACCGGTCAGGCCGTCGCCGAGATCTTGGCAGCCGCCGCGCCACACACCCGCCTCCGCGGCATACCCGCTGACATGCGCGGTGCTGCTGCCGTGAAGGTCCGCCGGCACCTCACTGCCAGCTCCAACCCGCGTCGAAGACGTAGCAGAGCGAGGAGGAGGTGGAGTCGGATTGGGAACGCCACCACGGCTCTCCACCAGCGGCACCTCCCCGCTGCAGATCAGCTCCGCATCAGGGAATACATCGGCCCAGACCTGCAGCTGCCGCCAGGCCGGTCGGGTCGGCACCACAATCGCCTTCACCACCCGCTCCTCGCGGTGCAGCTTCAGCAACAGCTCCACGAAGGTCTTCTCATTCACCTCGATTGGGTTGTAGAGCACCGTGTAGCCGCCGTGGCGGTGCTCGAAGAGGGAGGGTGCGTGAAGGCGGTGAGCGGGGCTCATCTCCTCCTCGTTCGCCAGTGCCCGTCGGCCGAAGACCGAGGCTTTCAGAAAACGATAGACGACCCACGCATCCGCCGCACACTCCTCCGGTGTGGGAAACGGAGAATAGCCGGGGAGAACAGCTGGATCATCTGACGGGGCCGCCGCCGATGCCGCCGATGATGACGTCCCGCCTCCCCCGCCACCCGCCGCGCCGCGCGAGACGGGGTTCCGCACTCCCCCACCGAAGCCCAGACCGTTATCGCCCCCACCGCCCGGCAGCTGCTGGACGTGGTGGACGCTGCGCCGCCGCATCGCTCGCTGCTCCAGCGACAAGCTGCTGCGGTGGCTTTTCTTCTCCTGCTCGTCCTGCGCAGCCGCTGCGTGGTTGTCTGAACGTGTCGCGATGTGCGGCCCGACTTGTGGCTCCGCCGCCTCCGCCGGTACCCGCGGCATCCGACCCTCCACCGGTACCTTGTAGTCCGTCACGCACACCATCGTGTTGTCCAGCTTCACGTTGTCGTCGCGCATGTACCGCAGACCGCTGAGAATCTTCATGATGCCCTGCGACTCCTCCGTGAGGTGCAGCTGCGGGGAGGGCTGCGATGGGTCACCCTGCTTCTCGATGAAGTAGGGGTGCGCGTACACATCTGCCGGTCGCTTGTTCCTGAAGAGGACGGCAATGGCGGTGAGCCCTTGCGGAAAGGGCAGGCGACCGCGGACGATGAAGGTGTTGGGGTTGGTGATGTCGGTGATCATCACGTAGTTGCGTCGCAGGTGATCCTGCATCATGAAGGCAGCCTTGGACATCATCTTGAGTGAGCGAAGAAGGAGAGAGGGGGCGAAAACAAAAGCACCGAATAGTCCTCGCTGTGCGTTACCTTCCTACGCTGGAGGATGTACATGTGAATAGAAGAAAGAACGAAGGAGCAGGAGTGTTGATGGGGAAAGAGAAGAGGGATATATGTATATTTGGCGAGACAGCGTGGCGCTTAGCGGCGTTAAATCAACTACAAAACGCTGCTTTTTATTTATCAGCGGGTTTTCCACATTGCTGCCGCATCACACGCCACACCAACACCAACACACACACACGCGCGCAGTGATGTGTGTGTCGTCCGGTTCCTCCAACAATACAAAGTCCCCCCAAAACATCGTTAAATCATCATACGCAATCATTGCAGCGCGTGGACACGCGCTGGCGCTCTTCGCCCTTCTTTCGTTTGTTTGACGTGCACCACCATCACCAACACCATCATCATCGTAAGTAGGTAAGTAAATATATAATCAATGAAATACACTCTCCAACGAGGTATAAAGCGTGCGCGTTTGTCCCTCACCACTCCGTTGTCTTCACCTATTTTTATTGGCATTTTCTCTTGCTTGCGTTTCGCGTCGAGCACTCGCTCGTAGGACCACCACCGCAACCACGGAGTTCAAAGACGAAAAGAATGCCGCATCGCGGCCCCCCCCTGCCCCCCCCCCCCGCCTCTCCTCTCAGCCGCGGCAGATGGCAACGAGAAACACCCACATCGCGCACACGTCGCCCGTGTAGCTCTTCACGTAGACGCCGGCCGCGAAGCTCACCTCATTCGTGCCGACCTCGTGCACGGCGCCCTCAAACACCTGCTGCAGCAGCTCTTCAAACTGCGGATCGGCCGGGTTGAAGGAGCCCATGACGGGTGACCCAAGCACCCGCAGCGCAGCAGCAGCGGCACACATCGACGACGACACACCAGGCGGCGGCGATCCAGCTCTGCCATGGGCTCCTTCCGCCTCCTCGGCATTCGCCGTTGCCTGTCGATGACGACTGTGGTGATGCCGTCGCTTGCGCGGGGACGTGGCTGCCTCGCGCCCTTGTTCATCCTTCATGTCGTTTTCGCGCTGTTGATGTGGGTGTCTGTCTTGCGCGGAGGCCGGACTACCCGTGACGGATTCCCCAAAGTACTCACTCAGCCGCGCCGCCGCGCTGCGTGTGATGTCGGTGCGGCGCGCCGAGCCGCAGCTGCACCGCTCCTCCTCCGCCGCCTCCAGCAGCTCCCGCAATATCGTCTCGACGCCGCGGTGATAGGCGGGTGGGCATCCATTGCGCCACGTCAGCAACGCCCTCTTCAAGCACGCGCGCAGCTCCACCTCAATCGCGCGCGCCTTCACGGCATCCGCCGCCGGGAAGTCGAGCACCTCGCGCTGAATCGGAATCAGGTGCGGCAGACACACCGGGATGCGACGGTCCTTGACGCTGTCGAAGCACGGCAGCCAGTGCGTCGGGTTATGCAGGTCCCACGTCATGCGGTGCGGCAGGCCAGACAGCTGCGTGTTCGCCCACAGCTGCGCATGCGAGATGACCATGTACACATCCCGCAGCAGCGTGCCGTACGGCTTCCCGGCCGGCACGGTCCACCCACTGCGCGGGTCAATCAAATAGAGCTCGTTGTCATCGAACTCGTGCAGAACCATGATCGTCTGCTGATAGATGCTGCCGCTGCCCACCACGGCGTAGGTCGGCCGGTCCGGTGCGAGGTGGCGCAGGAAGTGCACCAGCAGCAGGGCGAGCTCCTCGTAGTCGCCCGAGCGCATCGCGAGTAGCTCCGCGTTCGTGCTCCACACATCCTTCTCACCAAAGGACATCATATCCGCCACAAAGGGGAGAAGCGAGACGTAGCGGATCGCCTCGTACACGGTGCGCACCGACGGCGGCGGCGGCCCGCCCCGCGGCAGCATGTACCGACACACGAGAACCAAATCCCCCGTCGAGCACTCCACAAAGGGGTCGATCTGCCGCGTCGTGGCCTGCGCGTTCATCGCGGCAATCGACTGGACGCGCTGCAACGCCGTCTGCTGCCACCGCAGCGCCACGCGGTGGAGGTAGTGCAGCTCCGGCGAGACAAAGAGCTGATGAACGCTGCGGTGCAGCTCGGCCTTCGACAACTTCTTCGGCGCATCGCGCTGCAGGGGCGGCCACAGGGAGACGTACAGCTGCACCGTCGGCTCGCTGGCTTGCTGCTCGTGCACACCGGCGACGTCGGTGGTGGTGGCGGCGGTGGCGGCGCGCACGAATGCCGTGGATGAACCCTCCTCCGTGACCACCGTGGTAGCCGCCGTCGCATCCGCAGCAGCGGGAGAGAAGGGCGACGAAGGCGACAGCATACCGCCACCGCCACCACCCTCTCCTCCCGCCTTTCCACCCGTCGCGCTCACGAATGGCGCCGTGCCAAACGGATTACCTTGTGTGGCGCCTTCGTCCGACCCCCTATCCGCATCCGCAAACGGACCATCGAGTCCACGACGGCTGCTCTGCTCCGCTGATGCGCTCGGCAGGTCGTAGCCCAGCAACCACCGCGGCGTCCGCAGTGGGTAGACGCCCTCCATACGCGCTTCACTCGCCTGGTGCAGCGAGTAGAACGGGATGCGCAGCGTGCCGATGAAGCGCCGCTCGGCGCGGTAGTGCGTCTCGTGTGCCACCGCCGCCGTCGTGGCGGCCGAGGGCGCCATCTTCACCTCGACCTTGTCGTAGAGGGAGAGGACGAGATCGTCGTCGATCATGCTGAGGGTGTCCTCTTCAAAGTCGAGGGGTTGAAAGGGCAGCTCGACGGTCTCAAACCACGACGGACTGCTGCCGACCTCGCTGCGGGTGTAGGCTGCCTCGGACACAAAGGTGGCCTGCACAAACGGCTCTAACGGCGTGCCGTCCGCGCGGTAGGGCAGGTTGTGCGCCTTCATTATGTGAATCACAATGCGGCTGTCGCGGCGCCGCTTCAGCAACGCGCGATCGATGTCCTCCGTCTTCGGCCGCACCTTGCGATGGGGGTTCAGCTGACTGCGCGGCGCGAAGTCAAACACCAGCTTCATCATCAGCTTCGGCACCTTCACGATCGCCTCGAGCTTCTCGGCATCGGAGGCGTGTCGGTTCGCCTTGAGGGTGAGCAGCAGTCGACGCTGCCGTTCCTGCCACAGCTTCAGCCGCGTCTCCCGCGGCAGGTTGCTGAGGGCGAGACCAGAGATGGCGGAAGGAGCTTTGTAGTACCTCTTTGCATCGAACTGCGCACCCGACGCGGCGTACTCGTCGTTGCGGGCCTCCTCCTCCTTCTCCACCAAACGCAGAACGCGCTTACGGGCGACGTAGGCGTCCGCGTCGCTCAGCGGAATCGGCCGCTCCAGCAGGCGAGACTCAACCTCATCTGCCGGTTTAATGCGACCGATCCGCACGAGCCAGCGCCGAAAGAGGTACTGAAGGCGGAGCGTCGGCAGCCGCAGCTGCACCTCCTCGACGGCGTAGTCGCGCGCGCCGGCCGCGGCGGCCATCACCATCATCGGCGTGATGTTCGCCGGAGTACTGAGCGAGGCAGGACAACCGGCCAACCCGCCGTTCGCCCGCCCGCCTTCGATTACCACGGATCTGCCGGCGGCCCGGAAGGACGCTTTCGGCCCGAGCGTCGCTGTCGGTGTGGTTGTTCCCCTCCTCTCCTGCACGGCGGCGCGACGGTCACGTCGGCCACGACGCGTCGCGCGCTCCGGCGTCTCTGCCTGCGCAACGTGTGCCCGCGTGGAGTCGAGTTCTACGTAGTAGGTGCGCAGGGTGCGCAGGAGCGGCAGGTACTGTGGGTCTAGCGGGTCCGCCGCCCCCCCGCCACGACCGCCGCGTAGAAAGACTTCTTCGATTTGGCCGATCGTCAAACCTTGCTGACTTGTCCAGGTGGTGGAGACGGCCAGGACGCCACTCACCGGCGCTGCAGCGAGCATCGACACGCCGCCCGCCTTGCTTGCTGCCGCTGCTGCCGTTGCTGTTGCCGTGGAGGAAGAGGAGATATTGTGTTGGTTGCTGCTGCGTGTGAACAGCTTCCCCTGAAACATAAAGGCCGTCGGGGGTTGCAGCGGGAGAAGCGTGTAGCGGCGCGTTAGCGTCGGTCGCAGACGGACTGTCGATACGACGGTCCTCTTCGACGGCCCTGCCGTAACGGGGATGAGGTGGAGCAAGAGTTCTGCAGGCTCGTGCAGCGCGCGGACCTCGAAGGTTTCGTTGAAGAAGACGACTTTCGCGGTGGTCATGGGTCGCGGTGTGGTGCAGCCGACGTACTGCGGTACGATGGCAGCGTGCGAGCGCGCAAAGACAACCAGCTGGAAGTACAGTAGGTCGTCCTGCGTGACCGCATCCGCGGACGGGGTCGAGCGACGGTGTGCCGTACTCGTTCCTGCTTTTGTCGCGCCCCTCGCTGGCTCAGTCGGCGTCACGTCCGTCCCCTCCACCTCTGCGGCGTACCACAACAGATCATCTCCCATCCCGTACGGCACCTCCTGAACGGTGCCGTAGCGGCGAAGAAAGAAGCGGAAGCGCGTAGCGACGACGGCTGGCGCTGTTGTTGGGGATGCAGCCCAAGGCAGATCGACATCCCCAGCTCCCGCAGCAGACGTCGGGTGGTCATGACGACCGCCGTCGTGGCGATCAGAACTGGCCGAGGAGACGGCGGACGGCGGGGCGAGCAGCGGAGAGGCACTGGCCGAGGCCGCTCCGGCATCCGGTACGCTGGGCGAGAAGAGCAGCGGCAGCGTCGACGCGGCGTTGTGCACTCCACTGCTGGAGGTGTTTTGATTCTTCTTCTGCTTCCGATTCGTTGTGTCGGCCGCGCCCTCGCTGTACGTTGCAGTGTCGTTCACGGAGTGCACCACCGGCGCCGGCGCCGCTGCGGTCCACTCATCGTCGAAGAGCGGAGGGTGGGCGCGGTGTTCTTCCGGGGTCATCGGTGGCGCTGCGCTGTGTCCTTCGCCCGCCTGCGCGCTGCCGCCACCGCGACGACGTCGACGGCCGCTACCGTTGTCGTGGTTGTGGCTGCCTCGCCCACCTCGATCCTCTCCTTGCGCTGCTGCGCGGTGCTCTATAAGAATTGGCGGATCTTCATCGTCTTCGTCTGCGTGTCCTTCGGCTTCCTGGTTGTACATCCACGTACCGTCCGTCGGACGGAAGACGCCGTCATCCAGCTGCACAGCAGACAAGCCGATCCGTCGTTGCTGCCGTCGACGCCGGCGCTGCTCCAGCACGGCGTTCCACAGCAGGATCATCACATGCAGACACCCCCGTTCCACGTTTGCGGACGTCTCCGCCAGTTTCTCTAGCCGAGCCTGCAGCTGGTTCAGCTCCGTGCTGCGATGCGGCTGCCGCTGCAGCTGGGCGAGCTGCTCCTGATAAAAGAAGCGGTTCTTGAGAAACGGGAGAAGGTTGAGCTGCAGCATTCGGTACTGCTCGTAGTAGCGCAGGAGCAGCGAAATGAGGTACTCCTCGGGAGAGAAGGCGACGAGGTTGTCTTGACTCGCGGAGCGGGAGAGGGCCAGCAGCAGCGCCGCGGTGGTGCTCGCTGCGTCGTCGGTGCCGAGCGAACCGCGCCGGCCTGCCTCACGGTCGTCGTCGTCGCGCTGTGGCTGCTGATGCGCTGCGCGTGCGCTCTGGCCGGTGGCAGGCACACCGCCACCAGCACCTGGCGCTTCGCTCGGGTTCAATATGTTCACGTACGAGCCCAGCAGCACACTGGAAAAATCATCCGCCGAGCTGGAGAGCTGCAGCGACGGAGGGCGTCGTGCCGCGGCAGGCGGTGCGTTGGTGAGGTGACCCCTGCGCAGCGCATTCACGGCGAAGTTCTCAAGCGACGGCTGAAAGCGCACGTAGTCGACGTGAATCGAGTAGGACTTGCGCGTGTCCGTACCCGCTGACGTACTCGCGGCATTCGCGCTACCCGTGCCACGTGCGTGTCCACCTTCCCCTGCACCTGTCGATGCATACCCGTGCAGCGCCGGCCGCGCGGTGTACACGGCGGTGTAGTCGAACACGGGGCGGTAGTCGAGCTGCGTCACGTACACGTCGTGTATGCAGGGGGTCTGCCGACGTCGCAGGGCCTCGCTCAGGCGCAGGGCTCGGCCGCCCAAGGCACTGCGCGGTGTCGCAAAAACGTCGCCCAGCAGCGTGTTCGTGATGGTCGTCCGCAGGGCCCGCTCCAGCGCCGGTGGGTAGGTGCACCGCACGCTCCCGTCCACCCCAGAAAAATCAGGGGCGCCAATCAACTCGAGCGCCGGGCCGTGCGTTGGATCGTCCAGCTGCTTGCCGAAGACGCGCAGGCGATCCTCTAAGAAATCGATCAGCTCCCCGATCAGCTTCACGGCGGCCCCGCGACGGCGCCACACCGGGATCGTCTGCGCTAACAGCGGACGTTGTAGGTCTTTCGCTTCCAACTCGCGCGACAACAGCAGCGGGGTGTGGCGCGGCGAGGGCGTCGACGCCGATCTCTTCGGTTTCGTGGTACTCCTTGTATTGCCGTTTCCGCCGCCAACGTGCGGAGGCTCATCTGACGCGGGGACGACGATCACGGTGTGTTCGTCCGGTCCCGCGCTGGACGGCGGTGCGGACGGCTCTGCGATCTTCGCCGGCACCGCCGCCTGCATCTCGACTTCACCGTTTGCAGAGTCCTGCGGCTCCAGGTTTTCTTGAGGAGAACCTGTTGCGGTCCTTCCTGCTGTCCAGTCCATCTCCGCTGGGTGGTACACCTCATACCTCCCCGCGTACGAGTCGGAATAGAGGAAGCGGCGCACACCTCTCTCCCCTTGAAGGAGTGCGTCTCGCAAGCGGCGTGCACGCGCGATGTCGCCGCGTAGCCGCATCACCACCGCGTCCACCGGCAGCCGCACGTGTCGGTCGAGACGCCCCCACCCCTCGCACACCGCCAGCATCTGCTGCAGCTTCGCGGCGTCGCGGTGGTCTAACCGGTGCGCATCGAAGAGCAGTGAGTTGCTGTAGCGCTGCACCCACGCAGGGACTGGGCCGCGCTGGAAGGGCTCGGCTGGGCGCACGTGGGCAGCGTAGCCCTTCAACAGAAACGCATCGGTTCCCGCGCCATCGGCTGCGGTGCCGTCGTGCTGCAGCAGGCGCATTCGCTCGTCGATGAAATCCGAGGCGTCATCGTCGTCGGGTCGGTAGTCCTCGTCCTTCCGTCTTTCTTGGTGTTGATCCATCTCCGTTGTCTCTCCTTCCGCCGCCACCGCGCCGTCGGTCTCCGCTGGCGGGATCTCGCGCAGATGGGCGTCGAGGCCCGACGCGCCGGTCTGCCGACGCGCGTCCGTCTCCTCCTCATCCTGCCGCTGCCGCCGCGACCTCCTCTTGGAAGTATCTGCCGCACCGGAACGATGACCTCTGCGCTGTTGACCGTCTTGACCGCGATCCCCACCACCGGCCGCCTCCGATGCCGACTTCTTGGTTCGCTGCCGTGAGGATTGCCGCTGGTTTGCGGTTCGTGTGAGTTCACCATTGTCACCACCCGCATCTGCTGACGATGCGGAACGACTGCTGTTACTGCTGCTGGTGCTGTGGCTGCTCAGCACCGCCACATCCTTCGCCGGAGATGACCTCTGCGCCTGTGTCGGCATTCGCTCCCGCATTTCGATGACGAAGGCGGGGTTCAGCGCTGCCTCCACCCGTCTCGCGTGCACGCGCTGCCGTCTGCTCACGTGGCGTCGCTTCGTGTGTGCTTTGTGCTGTGCGTCGTGGTGATGGTGCGGATGCTTTCCGTCTTGCGTGTCGCCCGCCGTTTCAGCTGTCAGCTGCACATCCGCATTGTTGTTGCTAACGTTGTCCTTCGCCGTGGTTGGCACTTCCACTGCGTCCACCACATCGCGGAGCAGCGGCGGAGGCGGCGGCGGTTCAACCGGCACGAGGAGCGACGTCACTGCCGCACCGTGGTAGAAGCTGGTGTCGGCGGCGTTGGAAAGATGGAAGGCGAGTCGCTGCTGCGCGAGCTGCAGACCGGCCAGCAACGGATCGGCAGATGCGTCCGAGACGGTGAAGGCATCGGGTGGTCGTCTTCGTGGTGGTGGTGCAGAAGGCGACGGATGCAGGTCAGCGGTTGTTGGTTGAGACCGCTGCTGTTGCTGCGGTGGTGGTGGTGCCGCGCTGCCCTCCGCACCGCGACCAAGGTGCGGCACCTCGATCGTCGATGAGAACACCGGTGCGGGCTGTACTGTCGAAGGATTCATTTGTGGTGAGAACTCAAACAGTAGCTGCGCCTTCGCTTCAATCTTAGGAAATAAACACAAAAATGATCGTGGCAACAACCGTAAAAGGACAAGAAGGATGCACCGACGTGCGGCAACGCGATGCGTGTGTTGTGTGAGGTGTGTGTGCGTTGCCTCGTCTATGGAAAGCAGCAACGATCTTTCTATACTTCTATATATATATATATATATTTAAAAGTAATAAACGATGTCTATCGGCGGGCGTGGTGCAACGCAGTCACCATGCAGTTTTGTTTTCTTGCTACTGCTGCTGCTGCTGCTGCGGCGGCGGCGGTAGATGCAGCGAAATTGAGTTCTACCTGTTGGCGTGTAGGTGTGAGATGTGTGTAACGGTCATCGTTGAAGTATGCTGCGCGACACACCGCTTGTCTGTGCACTGTTCAGGTCGCCAAGGAGGCGACGTGTTGGGGGTTCGTCCAGATAAAGGCGCGGAAAGAGAGAGAGAGGGAGAGGTAGGAAGAAGAGAGACAATACTAACAAGAATAACGCTCCTTCCTTCTCGCCATGCGTCAGCCGGTACGTCGGGGAGCGTTGCGACACCTCCGTCCCGGTGCACCACCACCACCACAATAAGCAAACACCGTCCCTTTCGATGAAGGGAAGAAGACGAATGTGTTAGCAGCGGCGGCGATCCCTTTCCGCATCAGCCGTTATTCCATTATCATGTTATTTCAATATATATTTAAACCTTATTATCGAGGAGACTTGATGACTCGTGCTGAGTGAGCCCTTTGCAGTATGTGACGCGTGAAAAACACTGTCGGAGCTCCTCGTCTAACAAAACCGCGAGGGAGAGCGCTCTCCAGAACCCACACGTCGGGGGACGGAACTAGGGGAAAAGAAGACGAAGCGCCGCGACAGAGACCAGATACGTCTTACATCACGGAGAAGAGGTCATCGGCGTGCAGCAGCAGCGCGGTCTCGGGCCGCGGCGCCGTCGTCGTCGCCGGCGTTTCCGCATTCACCTTCGTAGCCTCTTCGTCTTTTACGGCTTCTGAGAACGCGTTTGCCGACGACGTGTCATCCCGTGTAGACGCAGACGTGTCGGCTGTCGCGGCTGCAGCTGCCCTTCTTCGTTCTCGAATCAACGCCTTCTGCGCCTCTAGTCGCTGCACAAAGTCGGCATCGACGCGCTCGGCCCCGTACGTGTCCCGCAGACATCGCAGGAGGGCGTTGATCTGCCGCGTGTGGAGTTCTTCGCTGCGGTACCACAGCGCTGAGAGGACGGTGGCCATGGCGGTTCGAAGAAGCGGCGCGGCAGAAGTGGACGTAATGGCTGTCGGTGCGGTGCTCGCTGCGTCACCGCAAGTGGCAGTGCTGCCTTCCACTTCTTCTTCCTCCATCTTCATCTCGTCGTGGCGAGGTGGACCCGTCGTCGTCGTCGCGGACGCGCGAGACAACCAACACATCGTCAAGCACAAGTCCACGAGCTGATCGATCGTCAGCAGCGAGCCGCACACGCGCCGCGTACAGGCTCGCTCGACGCAGGCGACGCCCACGTCGATATCTGCGAGATCGGCGCTGCTCAGGGCGAGGAGAAGAGTGGCGAACCATGGCCGAGGCACGACCTGCACCGACATCTTCACAGCGGGCGTCCACTGCGCACGCTGTGCGGCGATGCGCTGGATTTCTGCGCTTGTGAGGGTGCTGCCGTCGCGGTGGCTGTGTATTTCATCTGCTGCTGCTGTTGGTATTGCTGTTGAGGCGGATGCTGCTTCTTCCGTACTGGTGGTGGTCGCCGACAGTACCGCGGGATCCGGCAAGACGGCGTACATGGAGAGGAACGTGGTGCGGCACGCGTCGAAGGCGGCGTGCAGCAGAGCGAGCTCGCTCACGTCCACCAACGACAATGATGATGAAGAAGAGGAGGCGGTTGTTGCTGTGGTGGTGGCCGAACGCGGCGGAGACGTGGATGCTGGCACTGCTGCTGCTGCGGCGTTGATGGTGGTGTAGCGCTGTACGAGCGCAGGCAGCACGTGGACCACGTCGATCGGGTACAACTCCGCGTGACAGCGACGCAGCGCCAACAACATCCACGGCAGCATCGTGCTCGCCATCGTGTCTCCACCACCACTGCTGCCGCTGCTTCTTTGATGAACGAGAGCAGCGTTGTCGTCTTCTGTGTATGCATCCGCGCGGGTCTGCAGCGCCGCCGCCGCTGCGTCTGCACGCGCGCAGAGCGTGGCGACCACCACGGCGACCGCACTCGGCGAAAGGGTCTGCGTGATGCGCTGACCGAGCTGCGCCGCTCGACGCACCAACGCTTCCTGCGCCTCCTCCTCATCGTCCTCAACATCACCGACACGGCCGCTGGGGGGATCGGCGCCGTCTGCATGACGCAGCAGCTTCACCTCCTGCTCTTCGTGTGCTGCGCCTCCTCCGCTCTCGTCCGTGAGCTCCGTGACGGGCGAAGGCACAGCTGCTGCAGCAGTACTGCTAGAGCTGGGATTGAAGCTTCCGTGACGGGCTTCCCCAATCAGGGCCTCCCGCCGCACGCCGACCCACAGGTGGTGGACCAGGACCCTAAACAGCGCTCTGTCTCCTACGTCCAACGCGGCGAACGCGTTCAGCGCCGTGCACGTCTCGTCGAGCGAGAGCGTCGCCACCTGGTCCAGCACCCGCCCCCGCAGCAGCTCCCACACATCCCTGAAGACACTCGCCTGACCTTCCCGCTGGTGACGACGCATGAACTCCTCGGCGGTGGCGCTGAAGGGCAGCAGCAGGTCCCCCAGCGGCGCGGACTCCACCTGGCCCAGCAGCAGCCGGCACACCCGGGAGAAGTACGGGGGGAAGAACACGTTCGCGCGGCGCAGGGCGGACAGTACCGGCGGCAGCTGTCCCAGCGTGAGCGAAGCGCCGTCGTCGTCACCGCCGGCGCGTAGCAGCGCCACACCGATCTGACGGGTGATCGCCTGCTTCGCCAGCGCGCAGTTCATCTCAACGCGCGGATTGGCAGACAGAATTTCGAGCAGCACCGCACAACCCGCGCTGTCCACCCGCCGCACAACGTCCACGGCGGTAAAGCGGGAGTACCACCGCTGCACCGAGACGTCGTCGAGCGCTGCGGGGCGCAGCTGACGCACCACGGCAGCCATGCCTTTGACGAGATAGGCAGGGGCGACGGCGGAGGCGACCGATGAGAGGTGGTTGACGAGGGCAGACTGCGTAGACAGAGGAAGTTGATCGATCGGCGCAACACACAAGCCGGCAATAAAGGCGGATGGGTTCATGGAGCGCCCACGCCGGCGCAGCACCTGCAGCGCACGCGCGCGATCGTGGGCCGTGATGGTGAACGCCTCACCGGGCGACGCGTGCACGAGATTCGAGAGCGTCGATGATGTGTCGGACACCGCGTCAAGCGAGGCAGCACGCACGCCACCCTCCTCGGCGGGGATCATCACTTCTAGCCCGAGCAGCGCAGTCGCCGCAACGGACGCGTCGGTCAACGCCTCTGGTGCGTGGAGGACACGCCGCAGCAGCAGGCGGTGCAGGCGGTGATCGGGGATGAGAGAGTTACGGTGGAGGAGCGCCTTTAACGTGCGTTGTGTGTCGGGAAGCGGAAACGCACGCTCCAACAGTGCCTGCACATCGGTGGCGGACGTTACTGTAGTTGCTCCTGCGGTTGCTGATGAGGAGAGCTGCGAGGCCAACTGAGCAACGACGACGGTGGCCAGCGCGTCGTACGTCTCCGCCCAGCGTGGGCTGTTCACGTGCAGCAGCATGCGAAGGAGAGCGAGTAGCTGCGCCGGTGGTACATCCACCACCGCGGATGCATTGGAGTCCTGCAATGTAGAACCGAGGGTAGTCACCGCCGCGCCGCTAAGCTGGCGCACCTGTGCATAAACCTCCTCCACGAGCGCGTAGTAGTCCTCTTCCGCCACGTGCGCGAGCAGCTGCTCCTGTCGGCCACCGGCGTGCCGCGACAGCTGACGGGCTTGTCGCCGTCGCGATCGGGACGACGCGTGCGGCAGCGTCGACAGGGCGCGCAGCACCGCCGCGCAGTCCCCCCAGCTGACCTGCGCGGAGAGTTCAAACTGCATAGCCCACAGCGCGGTTAGGTGCTGCACCGCCTCACCGGAGACGGCGTAGTGGCGAAACGCAGAGGTGAGGTCAAGCAGCGCGTCGACACCAGGTTGCGTAGGGTCCGCAACGAGGGCAACACCACTGCTGCTATTGTTACTACTTTTAGTGTCATCAGCGTTTCCCGCCGCCTGCGCAGCCGCATTGGTGGTGTCCTTTTCGTGTGGGCTGGCTGTGTGATGCTGTGCGGCGACGGCGGTGGCGGTGCAGCGCAGCACGCGTGTCACCTCCGGCAGCAACGCGAGGTGAAAGAATCGGTGTAGCTGATGATGACCCGGCAGAGACGCCTTCCCCAGCAGACGCGCCATGGTAATCGCAGCGGCGCCGTGGAAGGCGCTGGGGAGTGCAGACGCCGGCGAAGCATTGCTTTCACTCCACCCTTCATCAAGCCGAAGTACCCATCGCTGCAGGACCGTGATCGTGCCGCCCACGGTGGGTGTCGGTGTCGAGCTGCTGCTGCTGCTGCGGCCGTGATGCTGCTTCTCCAACAAGTCTGCTATGACGGGTCCGAGCACGTCATCGGCGAGGGCTCCGCATTGGTAGAGACGGGTGAGCACCACGGCGACCACATCGGGTGAGAGAAGCGTGGCGAGGTTGCGTGTGTGCAGTGCGAGAGCGCGACGCACCGCCGTATAAGGTGCCTTCAACACGGACGGTGAAGGCGCGAGAGACAGCGCTGCCTTACTTCTACGCTGCTCACCGCCCACAGCCGCCGCTGCAGCACGTTCTCCCCCGCTGCCGTTGCTTCCTTCCGCGTAACTGGCGTCCGCAGAAAGCAGCGCACCGCCTGCCATTCCATCTGCTCTGTCACAAACCTCGTCAGACATCGTGTGGTCTTCACTTCCGCCTTCGCCTTCGCCGCCGCTGCTGCTGCTGTTGCTGTTCTCGCGAGGAAGCGCTTGGGCGTGCAGGAACGGCATGACGCGGTCCCACAGCGCAGCCACCACCGGTGGCGGCAGTGCAGCGACGTGACGACGACCATCGCAGCGGGTGGCGCTTCTGATGGAATCCAGATGCTGTGCGAGACTCTGCAGCGCCTCCGCTACCTCACTCAGGGGAATCGAAGGATGAAAGGACTGTTCAGCTGACGCGAGAGGCAGCTCGGACAGTGTCTCCAGCTGCTGTTGCTGCTGCTGCTGCTGTGCAAAAGCGAAGAGGAGAGGGAGGGCGGTCGTCTGCAGCTTCGCAAAGTTCGCCTGCGCAGCCGCACGTGCCACCTCTGCCGCGGCTATCTCTGTCCGTGACGTGTGGCCATGATGGTGGTGGGAGGGCGCTGGCAGGGAGAAGGCCACCGCGGAGGCCGGCATGGAGAGGGCTTCCAGCATCGTCGTAGCATCGAGAAGGGCCGCCGCCACGGTGCCGTTGTGCGGAACTACGAAGCTACCTTCCGACGATGCTGCTGCTGCTGTTGTTGTCGTTGGTATGCGTGCGATCGACTTGGAAGCATCGTCGAGGGCGGTGCTTTCCTTTCCCCATCCGCCGCCCTCCACAACAGGATCGGGAGAGCCCGTCAGAGCCTCAGATGAGGAACCCTGCCGCGTGTCGTGTAGCGACTGCTGCCTACGGCCGCGCCTTCGCTCGCAGTGTTTCGTCACTCCGCGGTGCCCAGCTCTTCCTTTGCCTCCAGCAGCGGCGGAAGATGACAACGACGGCGACAGGCCAGCAGGGACGAGCTCCACGGTGATGTTGTTCCCCAGGTCCAGTCGGAGCGGTCGCGATGAGCCGGCCGCGGAAGGTGCGGTGCGGGTCGCGGACGATGTCACGGCAGCTCGCTGGACCGAGTAAGAGGAGGCGGCGGCGGCTACACCGGCTGGATGAGGTGGGGGAGAAAGACGGAGACATCGACGAAGCCGTCGCAGCGACTGCGCCAGTCCAACGACTCGCACTCGCTGCGGTGGTGGCATTCTTCGTTCTTCTCTTTCGATGAGACAACGCGCGCCTGTGAAGGCTTGGAAAATGAAACGACTGGAATTCACGGGAGGCTTTAAGAAAAAACACGAGTCCGCACGCATATATACCGGCAAGGAGGAACAGAGAGGGAGAAAGGGGAGGGCAGGACAGCGGTAACGAGTAAAGGAAGCCGACAGAGCGAAGACGCCGCTGTTCTTCTCTTGCCTTCCCTTTATATATATACATATATCGAGAGGCAGTGCAGCGAGGAGGGGGGGGGGTGCACTCCAGCGTAAGTTGACATCTTAAGAAGTAGCGCTTTCACTTTGCCTACCCTTCACCGCTGCCGGCTCTGCCTGAAAGCACTGCGGAAAGACACGTATACAGAGATGTGCACACGAGTAGGCCACTTGTATTTGTATATATGTAAATGAAAAGTGAAGCAGCCCAACAAACGAAGCGAGCGAGCAGCGAATCCCTCCCAGAAAGATATCGCTTAGAGAAACAATGATAACAGGAAGAATAAAAGCAACCCCCGCCCCCCACGACGCGGGTCTGTGCCAGTCGGTCAATCTCCTGCTACGCCTCCCCCCGTCTCCCCGCTTCCCCGCTCCCCCTCCCACTGCACCAGAGCCGAGATGCGCGCCTCCGCGCCGCCAAAGCACTCCACATCCGCCATCTGCGATCCAGTCGCCCACTCGTGAACAAAATCTGCGTGCCCAGCTGCACAGAGCAGGTCAGCGAGACTCGCTGCAGCCGCTGCGCTGTCACCGCCCTCCGCTGCTGCGCTTGCCACAAGTCCATCCCCCCCATCACCACCACCGACGCCCTTCGCTTTCACCTTATTGTGGTTATGCGGGCCCAACGGAGGAAGGGCCACCTCCACCACCTGCCCCGACTCACCCGACGGAAGCATCAAAGAGGCTGTGCCGCGGCGCAGCTCTGTCCTCACCGCCTCCTCCGTCACCAGCAGTTCAATCAAACCGGCCACAAACGCAGTGGGGCTGACGCGCGCGGCGTCAACGCCCACCACCGGGCGCGGTCCGCACACGAGGCAGCGCCCGCCCACGTCCCCGCCCCCGGCCATCGGTGCGCCGATGCACCTATGCACATCCGTAAAGACCCCAGCTTCTGTCGCACCGTTGAAGAAAGCAAAGTTGTCCAGCTGCGGGGCACAGCCCGTTAGCCACTTCAGCGTCTCTGTCACCGCCTGACCGGCCACGTAGGCGTTCGTGAAGCCCACCGCCGGAACGACGTTCTTGATGACCCCGAGGGTGAAGAGGTCATCGATGGGTGGGCCGCCGATGCCGAACTTCACTTGACGTGCGCGGGCACGCTGCGCGATCCAGTGGACGTGCTCGGCGTTGTCGGGGTCCAGCGTCGTATCCTCGTCAGCCCTGCTGCTATCACTGCTCTCCTCATTCCGCGTCGCACCCTGCGCCTTGTGCCGTTGCCGTTCCCCTCCCTCTCCTCCTCTCTCCTCGGGCCATTCTTTCATTTGCGCGTACAGCACGCAGTGCTCCGGCGCACGCGGCACCGACTCCAACGTGCAGAGCGGCACCGTCTTGCGCGTTGTCCCGTTGTTGTAGAGGTACATCTCACACTCAATGCACGGCGTGGTGTTGTGGATGAGGTTGATGACACGACAGTGGCCTTCGAAGCCTTCAGTGCCGGTGTCGATGATCGGGGTAGCGCGCTCAATCACGTGCATGCCAACGCTTCGCACCACCCTGCCTCCCCGCGACGCCGATGTAGCCGCGGCCGCCTCCGCTGACCCCGACCCTGCTGGTGATGAGGTGGGCGTTGTGGATGGGGTGGCCAGAATGGTGCGCGTGGCGAGCTGAGCCATCTTACGGTTCACCCACCGCCGCGCCGGCACCGAGTCGACGGCGAGCAGCACCACATCGAACTTCTCGTAAAACTCATCCGACTGCGCTTCCAGCCGTCCGGCCACGGCGGTGACCGACACGCGTGGGCAACGCGCCATGACCGCCGCGGCCGCGACGGCGCTCTTCGCCTTTCCGATGTCCGCCTGCGTGAAGAGAAACTGGCGGTTCAGGTTGGACAGCTCGATGAAGTCCATGTCCAGCACCGTGAGGTGAGCGAAACCGCTAAGGGCGAGCAGGTGGAGCAGCTCACAGCCGATGCCGCCGGCACCAACAATGAGGGGCTCGACGAAGGACCAGTCTGTCAACGCGGGGTCGAAGTCGGGCGTGGCGAAGTGCGTGTCGGCCCCGGTGAGTACGTCGAAGGCGGTGCTGCTGGATGCCATTTTTCTTTTCTCTTTGGTTTTTGTAGAAGGCAAGAAAGGAAAAGAGAGACGAGGTGGTGGCAGCGCAAGTCGATAGAATGGAGTTGGCGCTTCTTGCTGATCAACACACGCGGTTGAAAGGGTAGCAAACAGAAAAACTAAGATAAAAAAATGTTTTTTTTTTTTATCTTGCTGAGATGCGGTCGAGTAGAGAACGCCGTAATGAAACCCCTTTCTCTCGTTCTATACTTCGGTTGCCTGTGTGTGTGTGTAAGTGTTAGCGGAGAAGAGAATGACAGTTGATGGAGAGGTGGGTAGCTTCAGGAGGACGCCATCTATCTGGCCGTGAGGTGAGGTGATACGTGTGCGCGCGAAAGAGAGCGGCAGAGGGAATCAGCAGCAGGAAGGGACTGCGACAATGAAGAATTCCACGCTGAAGTGGCACCGCTAGGCAGTCGTCAACGCGTCTCTCTGCGATACGCTACTCTCTGTGTTGTTAAGAAGCCTGAAAGAAACTCGGCCAGCGAGGGGGGGGGGGCATTCGAGCGCGCAATCCACGCGCGAGAGGACGAGAGAGAAGCAAGGCACCAAGCGCCGCTATTTCTTGTGGTTGCTTACCGTGTGCGCGTGCGGCGCGGACGGTTGGTTGACAAGAGAGGAAGAGAAGGGTGAAGCACGACTCAAAAAAAAATATGTAAATAAAAGAAATGAATACTGAAAGAAAGGCACCGAGGATTAAGAACAACAACAGCAGAGAAAGAAGAACTCAAAAAAAAAAAGGAGTAATAAGTTCTGCTGAAAGTGAGGTCGTTGCGTGTCATCAACAGACCTACCCGGACCTCGATACACACGCCCTGCGTCTCATCCGCTCTGTATCGTTCCTTCATATACATGCACCCACCCACACACACTCACACGGGCGAGTTCGCTAAGCAACGAAGCTAAACTTTATTTACGTATTTACGCTTTTACTCCTTCACGCGTCTCTCCTTCTCTACTTTTTGTGCTGAACGGCCCGTCCTACGCAGCATTCGTTTCTACCCTGTACGCGTGTGAGTGTGTGTACGTGTGCGCGCTGCCTTCTTAGGGTGCAACGCACACCCCTCCCACTGTATACACTCACGCATCAGAACATGCTGGTCACGGCCGTGACAGACGGCAGCTGCTCGCGCGCACCGCAGAAGCACTCCCGACTGAAAACAACCTTGCCCGGCCACTCCCCCCGCAGCGACATCTCGCGGTGATGCTGCGCGATCGCGCAGGGGGTGCAAAAGGCTGAGATCAGCGCATCGGCACCGCACTCCAACCACTGCACGCGCTGCAGCTCGGAGAGGCCAAGGCTTCGCGACGGCGCCGCCGCGGCGTCGGCAACGGTGGATTCTGTTGGAGCTGGCTGTGGTGGCGTCGCTTCTGCTGTTGCTGCCGCCGTGGTCGTCGACGGAGCCGCATCCGTTGAGAAGCGCTCGGGCTGCTCTGGTCGCGCTTTAGGCGTCGAGTCGGCTGCGACGCTTGACAGCGCCTCACCGGCTGTAGGGGTGACTACCGCTGCTGCTGCTGCGGCCACTGTGCTGCTGCGCGTTGAAGTGGAGGGGTTGAGCTGATTCGCCACCGCTGCGTTCTGTGCCCCTTCCCGCGGAGTCGCGGCGTCCGCGCCGGCCACCGTCACGTCACGTGCCGGGTGTGCGCCACCGTCGCCGTCGTTGCCGTCGCCGTTCTTGACGATGAACGGGTTACCACGAATCCCGTAGCGGCGGCGCACCTCACGGCGGATGACAAAGGTATGCAGCGCCAGCGCACTCCACGGGTAGAAGAGGGGGAACACCGCGTCTACCCAGAAGTTATCGATGACGAGGCAGTCAAAGCAGAAGCAGTCAACGCAGAATAAGCCCGCGATCATGGGCGCGAACATGCCTTGCTCCTCCCGATAAATTACGTTGAAGTGGGCACTGCTGACGCAGTAGCCGCAGACGAAGGCATCGATGGAGGCGAGCGGGTCCAGGTTGAGGCCAAACAGTCCTGTTTCCCAGTACGGAGACTCGTCAACGCGCTGCGAGTCTGCCGTTGCCGTTGCTGCGGCTGTAGCAGCAAGTCCCTGCTGAAGAGTCAGCTGTGGGTAGGGCATCATATACGGCTGCTGTTGCTGCTGGGAGTACAGTTGCGCCTGGTAGTTCATCGCCGTCGGAACAACCACTATCGGTGCCGGGGGAGTGTTTGGGGCGTACGGCGGAGAGCCGCCGTAGGCCGAGATCGGCTGAGCATAAGCCAGCGCGTAAGCCGGTGCGAAAACGTTGTACGGCGATGACGGCTGCTGCTGCTGCTGCTGCTGCGGCAGCGACGACGACATCTCCCGTTGCAGCCCACGCGCACGCAGCTCCTGAAAGGGTGAAAACACCGGCTTCGCAACGGAGTTGTAGGTAACGCCCGCCGTGTCGTCCGCACTGCCCTTGCCGGTTGCGTTCGTGCTGTGGCTGCTGTCCGCATCGTCCTTATTATTAAGGTGGCTGTTATTGTTGCTGACGGCGGGGGCTCCTGCACCGCCCGGCGGGGGTTGGCGGCGCCGCTCATCATCCAATTCCCGCTCGTCGGTCACCACGCCAGCCGCCGGGTACGGGGTGTGACGTGTCGCAGAAGGCGACGCCGACACCCGCTCGACCGTCGCCGCCGGTGGTGATGCCGCGGCATAACCGCTTGCGCTGGGACAGTTCGAATTTCCCTCAGGATACTGCCGCTGCTGCTGCTGCAGCGGATCGAGGCGACGCTCCGCGGATGGGTCGTCGCCGGGCGGGTGCGAGGGCTCGATGACGGCAGGCTGTTCACTGCCATCGCTTTGACGATAGGCGATGGGCACACCGTGCAGCTCGATGGGATTGCCGGCGCTGCTCGGCACCCCCGCTGCGGACTGCTGCGACGGTGGAATACTGCGAGGGACATCAGAGGAGGGCGAGGACGATGGATGCGCAGACATAAGCAAAAGCCAAAAAAAAAGAGGGACCAACCAGCGGAGCAGCGACACCTGCAGCTGTTAAGGAGAAAAGTATGAAATAGCGAAAGAGATGGGGAGAGACAGAGAGAGGGAGGAAGAGAGAGTTACGCTGCCGCAACTGTGCAATGCGCTGCTTTGAACGATATCTCACGTGTACACACACGGGCAAACACACTCAATGCAGTTGTGTGTGTGTGTGTGTGGTTGTAAAGGAGCGGTATAGTGAAAGATAAAATGAATGAAGTGAGAAGGGAGAAGGAAGACGAGACAGGCGGAGAGATGTCGTAGAACTCTGAAGGTGGCGTTGAGCGGCGTGTTTTATTATTATTTTTTTTTTAATAATTATTCTTCGCCGCACGTCCACCACGCTCTCTTCCTCCCCTCGATCTCCCAACGCCTTTCGAGGAGGAGGGAGTGGTGGTGGTGGTGGTGGGGAGGGCAAACGGAATTACCCAGCACAGCACGCAGCTGACAGGCTGGCGGGGGTGGCGCTTACGTATCGGGGACCGGCTAACACCCTCCCCTTCCCCCTTCTCTCGTTGAGTAACCCGGCGTCCAGCGAGGCACCGCCGAAGACGTGGCAAGACTCCTCGACGCACGTCTCTTTCCTCTTCCCCCCTTTTTTTCCCTGCTTTTATGCGAGCGGTGCACGCGGGATTTTACAACGTGGACACAAGCACCTGACAAAGCAAGAACAAGAAAAGAGGCAAAGAAGGAAAGGAATAGATATCGGCAAAAGCCGGCGGGTACGTTAAAAAAATAAAGTAGTAAAAAGGGCGTCCAAAAACGATACACACACACGCACACACACGCAAAGGGGTCGTCTGCTGAGAGATCGAAGTGGATCAGGCACCCCCCTCCCCGATTAACGACTGGATCACTCCCTTTGCTCTGTTCCGCGGCGCAAGAGACCATCCCACAAATGTGCACGTGTGTGTGTGTGTGTGTGCAGTACGTACTATTCAAGATGGAAAAAAAAAACTAGAGAGAGGCGGAAGAAAATAAATGAATGAATAATAACAACAGGAGACCACGTACACCAGTAATGTCGGAAGCACCACCGCCGGCGAAACCTTCAGCTATGTACTACCGCCTCATCTGAGAAACAGCAAAAGAAAAACAACAACAACAATAATAATAATACTAAGAGCATGTCAAGAGCAACGCAAGTAAATATAAGCAGCAAACAGCGAGTAAAAGATGCGAACTGGCGACCGCCACCAATTCGGCTGTGTCGAACGAGGGAGGAAGGGAGGGAGGGAGAACGCTTCGTACATCTCTGTTCCCTCGTTTCTTTCTTCCTATTTTTTTTTGGGGTTTGGAAGCAGAGATAAGTGGAATTCTATTGCCGTTAATAACAGTAATGATCACAATAATCTCACGCAATTCAAAAGGACGAAAGAAGAGAATTGAATGCCAAGTTGGCCACGATATATATAAAAAGATGTATATATGTATATGCGTATATGCATGCACAAGTATGCCACGAACCTCCTCCCCTCCACGCACGTATGGTGTGTGTTAAGGTGTCTGCTTCTTCCCTCTCCTCTCATGTACATATAACGGTGCATTACCTCACTTCTCCTTTTTTTTTGAGTTTTGAAAAGAACAGCAGGAGCAAACAAAAACCAGAGAAGAGCAACAAGCAAAAAACAAAAGTAATTGAAATGCATATAAGGGAGGAAAAGAAGAAAAATGATTCCTCAGACGGTGTGCGTCGTCCCAGGCGCCTGCAGCGCGTGGCGGTCGCTGAGGACGCCGCCGCACCAGTCACCCTGCTGAAGAATCTCCCGCTGATGCTGCGCGATGACGCAGGAGAGGCAGAAGCACACCGTCAAGAAGTCCTTCACGAACTCCTTGTTGCACGACCCACCGCCGCTGCTGTTGCTGCGGTCGACGCCCTCCTCCTCGCTGCGCAGGTGATAGCGCTGACGCAGGGCGTGCCGCATGAAGCAGGTGTGGAAGAAGAGAGAGCTGGGCAGGTACGGAGAGATGACGGTCAGCCCAACGTCGACGCAAAGAAGCCCGCAGCACAGTGGCCAGAAGATGCCCTCTTGCTCATTCACAATAAGGTTGTGCTGGGCACTGACGATGCAGTACGTGCAGCAACAGGCGTCCGCGCAGATGGACCAGCTGTTCGCGCAGTCGAAGATGCCATCGGAGAAGTCGCGCGGGCCGGTGGGTGGAACCGGCCCCTCGCTGCGCGGATGCGAAGATGCCTCTTCCCCGCTGTCGTCGAGCTTCTTTGCTGGCGCGGAAGGGGTCGGGGGAGGGGGGACGAGAGCGGCGGCCGGCAACGCCTGCGGGTACTGGAGCGTCGACCCCTCCGTCGTATCGTTGTTGAAGTCTAGCACCACCGCCGGTACCGCGTCCTTCTGGCCGTTCTGCGAATTGTAGTTTTCCATCGTCCTTTCTTCCCTTTCCTTTTGTTTCCACTACTTGTTTTGCTTCCTGATGTTGTGTGTGTGTGTGTGTGTGTACGCGTGCTCGGTAGTTTGCTACTACCACGGTTGCAGTGCGCGAAGATAATAATAATAATAATAATTTCATGTGTAGAGGAGGCGAGGAGGGAGGAAAAAGGAAACCCTTTCTTCTTCTTTTGATGACCCGTTATTATTGGCGGTATGCATACACATCAACGATGTTTGCCCGACACCGCCGTGTCGTCCTCCGCGGATGAGGGGCGTCTACTTTCCCAGGAAACCGATTATACCTAAATTGACCTTTCACATGTTTTTTTCTCATGCGGGATATGTGCATACGAAGTGGCAGACGCCTTTTCCAAGTCCGCCTCCAAAGCGGGGCGGTGCCGGCTCGGGTGGGCGGGACTCGACAACAGAAGTGAGCGAGGCGAAGGTCGAAGACCGTCGCAAGGTGAGAAGAGAGAAGCAGAGGCTCCGAAAGCCCATTTCATCATCCTACCATTGCATCCGGACATCACTCCTGGCGCAGGCTTCGAGAATAACTGCTAAATTCGAGCCGTTGACAATGAAGGGAAAGGTAGAAAGAGGGAGAGGAGGAATCATTCTCAGGCCAGGTCATTCCATTCGCAAGCTCCATACACACACACACAACCTCGATAAGAGAGACGGCGACAGCTTAGAGCGCTATTGGCGCATTCGTGATGGGGGCTTCTGACGTGCCCACAAGCCAGACAAAGAAGGAAAGAGGGAGAGAGAGAGAGGAAGGGTGAGAAGTTCTGTCGACTGCGTTCATCGGCGACAAGAGACGCGTTCACGGTCCACGTTGGCACCTGCCGCGAGAGGGATGCAACCCGCGAGTAGCACAGTCAGTATGCTTACATTCATACCAAGGCGAGGAGGACCACGTACACACACCGAACATACACAGCAGCGGAGAAGAGGATACAGATGCTTTTATGTTTGAGTATTTCGCGACGAGTACGATCAACACCAGCAACAACACGAGGAAGGAGCGAAAGGACAGAAAGAAAAAAGAAAAGCACGCATCCGACTTCGTCAACCAAATTGTCTACGTCTACGTCTACATATTAATATACATTAACACTACTGGGCATAAACAAAGCGGCGGAGCAAATACAAGACACGACAGGGCAAAGAAAAATATCGTACTTGTTGTCGCCCCAAAGAGTAAACTGGCGCTTGCACTGTGACCAGCATCAGGCGTGCTTGCTCAACTCCTCCTCCTCCTGTCGTGGCGGCTGTGGGTGACCTTGCTCATGGTGGTGGCTTTGGGCATACACTTGCTTCGATCGCTGCCACAGAGCCTCCAGTCGACTCCTCGAGTTGTCCGCCGCGGCGGCGGAGTTTGTTGCTGCCGTCGCTGCCGCCACGCGCTTCTCACCACCTCGCACCGGCGGAGGACGACACTTCAGCCCATATGGATTGCCATGGCTGAAAGACACCGGGGGAGTGGAAGACGCCTCCTGTGGCGGCGGCGATGGTGCGGGTGCGGTGTCGTCACTCGCACGGCGGTGTACTGGAAGCGGCGAGCGGGCGTGCAGCAGAGACTGGAGCGACGGATGGGGTTGCTGCAGCTGCTTCTCGGTGTGCGAGTGATGACGCAGGGCTGACGCTCCATCCGCATCAGCGTGCGCAGCATCGCCCGTCTTGTCTTGCGCACCGACGGCATTCGCCATCTTCGCAGCTGCCTTCCTGCCACGATGCCCCTCGTGACCCGGCGCCTGCTCCGTATTCCCCACCGCAGTATCCGCTAGCCTTTCAGCGTCTTCATCGGTGTCAGCACTGCAAACGGAGGAGCGCATACTGCCGGTGGATACCGCCCGTGCTACGGCCGCGACGGAGGAGGTGAAGGAGGACGACCGTCGGCCCTTCACCGCCGTCGCATCCTTTGGCGAGGGCAGCGACGAGTTACGGCGTGCCTGCGGGGCGACGCGCGAGGGGGACGGCGTCCATGGCGCACTCCACTGCCTCTCAGCCGCAGCAGGGGAGGATGCCGTGACGATCACAGGTGACTTGCCATCGGTAGCGCCCCTCCCACCGCTGCATCTCGGCTTTCCGGGCGAGTCGGCAGACGGGGGCGGACTCCGTCGTCGTGCCTCCTGCGACGACGAGCTGCTCTTACCGCTTTTCGATCGCCGCGCACTTCGCTGCGACGGGGTCGTCCCGCACGCGGCACTCTGACTGCCTCGCTGCTGCTGCTGCTGCGCAATGAAGTACAAGTACGCATCGCGCGCCATCTTCCCGCCCTTGTAGCTGCCATAAAAAGCCTCGGTGAGCTGATGGTGAGAGAGTTGTGGGTCCGTGCTGCCGCTGCTGCTGCTGCTGTTCCCGTTGTTGTAAGGACGATTGCCGGATCGCGCTCCATTCAAGTCTCTTCCCGAGTCCGTCAGCGCGGTATTCATTGGCGTACTGCCGGTGGTGCTTTGACGGCTGCTCCGCTCGGTCAGCGAGCGCCGCGGTGGGGAATAAGCCGTTGGTGCTGACGCTGCAGCGACAGATGACGATGACTTCCGTTGAGACAACCGTTGCTGCTGATGTTGCGACACGTGACCGTGCCGGACGGGAGCACACTTCGGTTCTGAAAGGGGAGGCAACGCGCCGTTGGCCCACGTCAACGCCCGATCGTGCTCACCGTCCACGGCGCCGTTACCAGAGAAGATCGGGGCGTTCTGCCGCTTCCACGGACTGTAATCAGAGGTGGTAGAGGGGGCGGCGTCGCCACTGAGGCGCATTGTTGCCGCTGCTGTCATCCTATCCTTCACGCGTTGTTTACGTCCCTGCTGTCGAGGAGAGGTGAGTGGCTCGGCAGCCGTCGTGGTGGTCGTGCCGCCCTCGGTGCGCATCGACATCTCTGTCGGAAACAAGGCAGAGGATAGAGGGCTCACGCGCCAAGCGGCGGCCCCCTCAACATCACCACCCCCACGAACATTACTATTACTGTTGTTATTATAGCTATTTTGATGACGGTTATCACTACCTCGACGGCACCGTGGCGAGTTGAGTGCTCCTGTTGCTACCACCGCTGCTGCGTCTTGGCCAGGCGAGATCGGCTCCTCGCAGCTCCACGACGCTCGACGGTCCACACCGCCGCCCGTCACCGAGCTGCGCCGTCGCTGCTGCTGCTGCTCTTGCTGATGCGCTTCATGCGCTTGTATTCGCCTCGAAGTGGCGACCATCGCTTCCGCGAGCGTCACATCGAACGTCACGTCCTGCGCGCGCGCCATCGACGCACGGGACACACCACCGCCGCTGTTGCCGCTTAAGGTTGAGCGTCGTCGACGACTGTGGAGCGAGTTCTCCTTCGCGGCACCGCCCGTTGCGGACGACGACGTTCCCCCGCCCCACCCCACCGTCTCCGCTTCCCTCTCATTCAAGGGCACGGCAGACGAGACGCCGTCCGCTCCGGCGTCGATGCTCGCCATCTGTGTCACACGAACGGCGTTGGACAGCTCCTCGCGGTCGAGTGTGCCGGGGAGAAAGCCCGCGTAGTACGAGATCCGCCGTGGTTGTTGTTGCTGCTGCTGTGACGCACGCTGCACCGGTGGGGAGGGCAGACTAGACGACGGGCCGGCGGTGCCGGTAGATTGGATGGGTGGCTCGCACGTGGTGGCAAGCCACGCCCAGTAGGCGTTGACCTGGTCATCATCATCGTCGTCGCTCGCGTGCTGCTGCTGCGCGTTTCGCGTGACGTGCGCGTTTGTTTCCATTAGAAATTGCGCTGCGGAGGACGGCGACGGTGGTGGAGGCGCCTTATCGCACCCGACTCCGTGTGCAGGGTGGTGCGCCTTCGACGCTACAGATGAGGAAGAGGCGGAGGACGATGACCGACTTCCTTGTCGCCGCTCCGAGGGCGACTGACGTACGACGTCAAGGGCGTTCGTCTCAGCAGCGGCAGACATTTTGGATGATCAAAATGGAAGAAGAAGAAAGGAAAAAAAGAAAGGCGAAGGAGCCGAAGGAATGCGACTCCAAACGGGGTCCGCCGAAAAGAGATCTGCGGAGGCGAGACGCGCGGTGGGGTGGAGTACGGCGCTCGATGCGTCTCCTCCCCAAATAAACAAGCAAACAAACCACGGTTATCGTCCCTTCACCTTTATAATCCTTCGGAGGAGAGGTAAAGCGAAACACGACGACCGACCCAGTGCAGCAGCAACACTACACGACAACTTACAGCTTTGAAAAGGTTCGATGAATACAAAACAAGAAGAAGGAAAGGAGAGAAGGAAGAGAGGAGGAGAGGCGTGTGGCTCTCTCAACCAAAAAAAAAAAGCAAGAGAAAGCAAAAGAACGAAGGCGATTACAAGACGGAGGAGACTGCAAAAGCGAAGCAATCACGGCGGTACATCAATCGGAATAGTTTGAAAAAAAAAAGGTGGAAAAATAAAGTAGTAAAGAGCAGCAACAAGCAAAAAACAGAAGGGGGGGAGGGGAGGCCGGTGCAGGGGAGATGCGGACAGAAGAGGGAGAGAGAGAGACTCTCGTACAACGATCTTGATAAAAAAAAGGAAAGCGACGAAGAACCACAGCTGTGTGCGTGTGCAGGTGCGCGTGTGTGTGTGTGTGTGTGTGTGTGCCAATATATACATCCATACATAAATGCATACGCTAATGTATTCGAGATTCGATCAGCGGGACTCATCCGCGGCTGCAACAGCCGCTGCCCCACCAAAAAGCAAGGGAATAAACAAAACAAAGAGATGACGAAACACAAGTCGTGACGGGATAGAGCAGGCGATCCGCAAACCCCGTGCCGTACAGCATCAAACCTTCATCAAAACAATACCAAGACGCAAAATCACTCCAAGCAGGATTCAAGAGAGAGAGGAAACAAACAAGCAGAGAAACACCGCCCTTGTTGCTCACTCAAGAGGCGAATATATATATGTTATGGGATAGCAAACACCCCCAACAAGAAGAAGCCGAACGCGCAGCGTGATACTTTCAAAAGATAGACATAAAAACGAAGAGGCAGCGGCTGTACCACCTTCCCCACAAAGTTGTGCCCGGTTATCTTTTGTCTAAACTCGTGGGTGGAGCGCTGAGGCATGTGCGAAGCCCCCAACACAAAGGAAAACATAAGAGAAGAAGAGCGAGAATAGAAGGAGGAGCGGAGGTGGAGAGCAAGAGTTACCGTAAAAGCGCAGCACATCAACATGGTTCGTGCCATGCGAAATGTAGCGGAAGAGGCCGACGACCAAACACACGAGCGGTCGACGTCGCACATCGCCACTCCGTCCACGCACCGCGGCACGCTACACGGCCGTGCGGAGGGACGCGCCAGCGAGGCGGAACCCACGCGTGCGGGCCCGCTCGAGCGCGCACCGTGCGGCCACAGCGGCGCTGCGCATCACGTGCGCCGTGCAGTCCGTTGCGTTGTTCTCGTTGCGTTGTGTGTGAGTTGCGGTGGCACAGCGGGGAGCCGTCACGCACCCCGTGTGAAGTGTACAAAAAGGAATGGAGGGGAGAGCAGCCGCGTGGCGGCGCAGAGGCGGGTGCGGGGCGGCCACACACCCGTACAAAAGCGAATGGGAGAGAAGGGGGGGGGGGGAGATAACAGAAAGAAGAAGCAGGGCGGGCAGCACAACAGCGGGCTCTAGGGTTGGGCTCTCTCGGCGGCCACGTTGGAGGCAGCGGCGGCAGGGGAAGCGGGAAAAGAGGCGGAGGCGGGCTGGCGGGAGCAGAAGAAGGCGTCCAGCTCATCCAGTTCGGCGTCGAACAGCCCGAAGAGGCAGGGCCGGCCCGTAGGCAGATCGAAGTCCTCCCAATGGCGACCGCGGATCGCCTCCCTCGCCGGCTCAGCCTGCAGAGCCTGCCCGCCCCACTCCTCCACGCTGAGGCCCTCGAGGCGCTCCTCCGCCTGCACCGCCGCGTCCCTCGTGGCGAACTCCACAAAGACGGTGCAGTACACCGCCCGGCGTCGCGGCTGGTGTATCCGCACCCTTCGCAGCAGCCGGCGAGAGGGCGGGATGCAGGGGTAGGATGCCGGCTCGCAGGGGACAACGCCGCTGCCGCTGCCGATGGTGGCGGTGTGGCGGAGGCGCTGCACCAGCGACGCGTACCGCAGGTCGGCCGGCTCGCCGAACAGAATCTCGTACACCAAGTGACGCGGCAGCCCCACCGGGACACACCGGATAAAGAGGGTGCGGTGCACTCTCTCCTGCTCCACAGAGGCGGCAAGATGATAATTAAACATGTCGCGTTGAGAATAGGCGGAAGTGCGATGGAGGATGCGAGTGAATGAAGTCACGTGAGCGCGTGCGACGGCCGTGTGGAGCGTGGGGGCGTGGGTCTGAGTGCCGTTGCACGGGCGCGGCGAATAGAAGGCGAGGGAGAGGGAGGGAGGGAGGGGATGAGCGGTGGTGCGCGTGGACGGGCAGGAGACGACGCACGTGTGGGCGGCACGCGGCGGCGCCGCAGACCCACCACCCGAGGCTTCACGAGGGAGCAGGCCGGCTGCAGCCGCAGCGAAGCAAAGCGAGGCGGGGAGAGAGAGCACGGGAGTGAGGGACGGTGCCACCCGCCATCGGCACGGCGCACCCCTCCGGCGAACAGCAGCGCATTCGCCGCACGCAGGCGGACGGACACACACACGCACACACGTGCGAGGCCGTTCTTCCGTTTTACGTTCATGTGGTGGCGCGCCTCTGAGGTAGGCCGAGAAGGCAGAGCAGCAGCGAACAAGAAGCGCACCGGCGCGGCGCAGCCGCAGAGTGGAGAAGCAGGAAGAGGAGAGGAACAAAAGCAGAGGGAAGGAGGGACGGCAGAAGGCGCACGCGCGGCGGGGCCGGCACTTCTGCAGTCGAGGCGACACGATTCTGTGTGCCGTCACCGTCGGCGGCGCACCACCACCGCAACACCATCAGCGGCGCGGCACGTGCGTGCGAGTGTGTCGTGCCGCCGCCGCGGATGGCGCTGCCGGAAGAGGACACGTGTGGCATAGCGTGTGTGCGTGTGCGTGTGTGGAAAGGGCGCCACTCCGCCCCAGCAGCCGACCCTGCCTGCTGGCAGGAGCTGCAGAGGGTGGGGCCGACGCAGCCGAGAGGACGGGGCGCGGTAAGCGCTGCGCTCCCGTAGAGCTCCCCCAGGAGGGTCGCAGCGCCGCAGGCGGGGCATCGCCTGGAGGGAACGGGGGCGTGGGCGGCGGGGAACGCGTTCTGCGGATGGGGCCGGCGGGGGCGCCCGTTGCGCGTGGACGCCGTGGGGGACCTCGACCCGCCCACGCACCGTCCCTGCTTCCCGCGAATCCCACCAAGAGGAGAAGCATATCCCCGACGCGTAGCGCCACCTCAGCCACGCCAGCTTCTCACGCGCGGTCGCCGTCGATTCTCCTGAGACCGCGAGAAGAGCAGGTGCGTGTGCGAGTGTGTTTCGGCGGACCGGCCTCGCACACACACACACACACACACGCACAGCTGGTGCTGTCAGGGCGTACAGTAAGACCTCGTACGCTTCACGGCAGCTCCCAAACTATTCCGGTGGTCCCAACAAAATCGACAGGCGGCGCAGCAGATGCAGCGGCAGGACTGAAGCCGTGCTCCTCATTGAGGAGGCGTTGCTCCCAGGGCCTCAAGGCGAACAGGCAGGGCCTCCCAGTTGGCGGATCGAAGTCCGACCAGTGGGAGTCGTGGATTGGGTTGTCGGCCCAGTCCACCTGCAGAGCCTGCCCGCCCCACTCCTCCACCTCCTTGCCCTCGAGGCGCTCCTCTGCCTCCACCGCCGCCGCCTCCGTGGCGAACTCCACGAAGGCGCAGCGGTACCGGAATCGCCTTGGCGGGTGCACCAGCCGCACCCGGCGAAGATCCCGGCGGGAGGGCCGGATGGGTAGGCGGAGTGCCGCCTCGGAGAGGGCACTCCTGCTGCCGCTGCTGCCGCTGCTGCCCAGATCTTCCAGGGGCAGACTCGCGGGCTCGCCGAACAGGATGTAATACACATCCGATAAGGCGATGCGCGGCGGAATTCCTTTAATTAGGAGGGTGCGCCTGCACCTCTCCTCCTCCTCGGTCGCGGAGGCGGCGGCGCATGACGAGGACATAAAAAAAAAGAGAAAATAGAAAGAGGGATGGGAAAGACGAATGTGGGAGGACACGTGGGCGCGTGCCTTCCGTCACTCGCCTTCCCCATCCCTCTTTCTCCTTTTTCACCTTGCTATGCGCGCTGACCACCGCAACTACCATCCTGCCGCCTCCGTGGAGGAAGAGAGGGCGCACCGCACCCTCTTTATCCGGGGTGTCCCAGTGGGGATCGCCGACACCGATGTGCACGAGATTCTGTTCGGCGAGCTAGTGGACCTGCGGTGCGCGTCGCGGCTGCATCGCCTCCGCACCCGTCGCAGCAGCCGGCGAGAGGGCGGGATGCGGGGGTGGAGAGCAGCCCTTTCTACACACACGTACGCACGCACCTGCACACCTGCACACACGCACACACACACACCTATCACCGCTGCCAACGCCACCACGTCACCACGCAGAGAGATGGCATTGCCGCCTGCTGCCGCCTCTCGTGCCAGGGAGGGTGGTGCGACGCCTTCTGTTCTGCGCAGCGCGGTGTGCATCCCGTTCGAGAACGCATGTGAAGACCAATAAACGAAAGGAGGAAGGGAATGAGAGGGAGGGAGAGAGAGTAAGGGAGGGAGGGGCAGAGGGGAAGAGGTGCAGAGAGGGCCGCAGCGGCGAGCACGAGCGGTCGACGTCGCACATCGCCACTCCGTCCACGCACCGCGGCACGCTACACGGCCGTGCGGAGGGACGCGCCAGCGAGGCGGAACCCACGCGTGCGGGCCCGCTCGAGCGCGCACCGTGCGGCCACAGCGGCGCTGCGCATCACGTGCGCCGTGCAGTCCGTTGCGTTGTTCTCGTTGCGTTGTGTGTGAGTTGCGGTGGCACAGCGGGGAGCCGTCACGCACCCCGTGTGAAGTGTACAAAAAGGAATGGAGGGGAGAGCAGCCGCGTGGCGGCGCAGAGGCGGGTGCGGGGCGGCCACACACCCGTACAAAAGCGAATGGGAGAGAAGGGGGGGGGGGGAGATAACAGAAAGAAGAAGCAGGGCGGGCAGCACAACAGCGGGCTCTAGGGTTGGGCTCTCTCGGCGGCCACGTTGGAGGCAGCGGCGGCAGGGGAAGCGGGAAAAGAGGCGGAGGCGGGCTGGCGGGAGCAGAAGAAGGCGTCCAGCTCATCCAGTTCGGCGTCGAACAGCCCGAAGAGGCAGGGCCGGCCCGTAGGCAGATCGAAGTCCTCCCAATGGCGACCGCGGATCGCCTCCCTCGCCGGCTCAGCCTGCAGAGCCTGCCCGCCCCACTCCTCCACGCTGAGGCCCTCGAGGCGCTCCTCCGCCTGCACCGCCGCGTCCCTCGTGGCGAACTCCACAAAGACGGTGCAGTACACCGCCCGGCGTCGCGGCTGGTGTATCCGCACCCTTCGCAGCAGCCGGCGAGAGGGCGGGATGCAGGGGTAGGATGCCGGCTCGCAGGGGACAACGCCGCTGCCGCTGCCGATGGTGGCGGTGTGGCGGAGGCGCTGCACCAGCGACGCGTACCGCAGGTCGGCCGGCTCGCCGAACAGAATCTCGTACACCAAGTGACGCGGCAGCCCCACCGGGACACACCGGATAAAGAGGGTGCGGTGCACTCTCTCCTGCTCCACAGAGGCGGCAAGATGATAATTAAACATGTCGCGTTGAGAATAGGCGGAAGTGCGATGGAGGATGCGAGTGAATGAAGTCACGTGAGCGCGTGCGACGGCCGTGTGGAGCGTGGGGGCGTGGGTCTGAGTGCCGTTGCACGGGCGCGGCGAATAGAAGGCGAGGGAGAGGGAGGGAGGGAGGGGATGAGCGGTGGTGCGCGTGGACGGGCAGGAGACGACGCACGTGTGGGCGGCACGCGGCGGCGCCGCAGACCCACCACCCGAGGCTTCACGAGGGAGCAGGCCGGCTGCAGCCGCAGCGAAGCAAAGCGAGGCGGGGAGAGAGAGCACGGGAGTGAGGGACGGTGCCACCCGCCATCGGCACGGCGCACCCCTCCGGCGAACAGCAGCGCATTCGCCGCACGCAGGCGGACGGACACACACACGCACACACGTGCGAGGCCGTTCTTCCGTTTTACGTTCATGTGGTGGCGCGCCTCTGAGGTAGGCCGAGAAGGCAGAGCAGCAGCGAACAAGAAGCGCACCGGCGCGGCGCAGCCGCAGAGTGGAGAAGCAGGAAGAGGAGAGGAACAAAAGCAGAGGGAAGGAGGGACGGCAGAAGGCGCACGCGCGGCGGGGCCGGCACTTCTGCAGTCGAGGCGACACGATTCTGTGTGCCGTCACCGTCGGCGGCGCACCACCACCGCAACACCATCAGCGGCGCGGCACGTGCGTGCGAGTGTGTCGTGCCGCCGCCGCGGATGGCGCTGCCGGAAGAGGACACGTGTGGCATAGCGTGTGTGCGTGTGCGTGTGTGGAAAGGGCGCCACTCCGCCCCAGCAGCCGACCCTGCCTGCTGGCAGGAGCTGCAGAGGGTGGGGCCGACGCAGCCGAGAGGACGGGGCGCGGTAAGCGCTGCGCTCCCGTAGAGCTCCCCCAGGAGGGTCGCAGCGCCGCAGGCGGGGCATCGCCTGGAGGGAACGGGGGCGTGGGCGGCGGGGAACGCGTTCTGCGGATGGGGCCGGCGGGGGCGCCCGTTGCGCGTGGACGCCGTGGGGGACCTCGACCCGCCCACGCACCGTCCCTGCTTCCCGCGAATCCCACCAAGAGGAGAAGCATATCCCCGACGCGTAGCGCCACCTCAGCCACGCCAGCTTCTCACGCGCGGTCGCCGTCGATTCTCCTGAGACCGCGAGAAGAGCAGGTGCGTGTGCGAGTGTGTTTCGGCGGACCGGCCTCGCACACACACACACACACACACGCACAGCTGGTGCTGTCAGGGCGTACAGTAAGACCTCGTACGCTTCACGGCAGCTCCCAAACTATTCCGGTGGTCCCAACAAAATCGACAGGCGGCGCAGCAGATGCAGCGGCAGGACTGAAGCCGTGCTCCTCATTGAGGAGGCGTTGCTCCCAGGGCCTCAAGGCGAACAGGCAGGGCCTCCCAGTTGGCGGATCGAAGTCCGACCAGTGGGAGTCGTGGATTGGGTTGTCGGCCCAGTCCACCTGCAGAGCCTGCCCGCCCCACTCCTCCACCTCCTTGCCCTCGAGGCGCTCCTCTGCCTCCACCGCCGCCGCCTCCGTGGCGAACTCCACGAAGGCGCAGCGGTACCGGAATCGCCTTGGCGGGTGCACCAGCCGCACCCGGCGAAGATCCCGGCGGGAGGGCCGGATGGGTAGGCGGAGTGCCGCCTCGGAGAGGGCACTCCTGCTGCCGCTGCTGCCGCTGCTGCCCAGATCTTCCAGGGGCAGACTCGCGGGCTCGCCGAACAGGATGTAATACACATCCGATAAGGCGATGCGCGGCGGAATTCCTTTAATTAGGAGGGTGCGCCTGCACCTCTCCTCCTCCTCGGTCGCGGAGCGACGGCGCAAGACGAGGACATAAAAAAAAAAGAGAAAATAGAAAGCGGTAGAAGAGAAAAGGGCACGTAAACGCTTGCGACAGCCGTGTGGAGCGTGGGGGCGTGGGTCTGAGTGCCGTTGCACGGGCGCGGCGAATAGAAGGCGAGGGAGAGGGAGGGAGGGAGGGGATGAGCGGTGGTGCGCGTGGACGGGCAGGAGACGACGCACGTGTGGGCGGCACGCGGCGGCGCCGCAGACCCACCACCCGAGGCTTCACGAGGGAGCAGGCCGGCTGCAGCCGCAGCGAAGCAAAGCGAGGCGGGGAGAGAGAGCACGGGAGTGAGGGACGGTGCCACCCGCCATCGGCACGGCGCACCCCTCCGGCGAACAGCAGCGCATTCGCCGCACGCAGGCGGACGGACACACACACGCACACACGTGCGAGGCCGTTCTTCCGTTTTACGTTCATGTGGTGGCGCGCCTCTGAGGTAGGCCGAGAAGGCAGAGCAGCAGCGAACAAGAAGCGCACCGGCGCGGCGCAGCCGCAGAGTGGAGAAGCAGGAAGAGGAGAGGAACAAAAGCAGAGGGAAGGAGGGACGGCAGAAGGCGCACGCGCGGCGGGGCCGGCACTTCTGCAGTCGAGGCGACACGATTCTGTGTGCCGTCACCGTCGGCGGCGCACCACCACCGCAACACCATCAGCGGCGCGGCACGTGCGTGCGAGTGTGTCGTGCCGCCGCCGCGGATGGCGCTGCCGGAAGAGGACACGTGTGGCATAGCGTGTGTGCGTGTGCGTGTGTGGAAAGGGCGCCACTCCGCCCCAGCAGCCGACCCTGCCTGCTGGCAGGAGCTGCAGAGGGTGGGGCCGACGCAGCCGAGAGGACGGGGCGCGGTAAGCGCTGCGCTCCCGTAGAGCTCCCCCAGGAGGGTCGCAGCGCCGCAGGCGGGGCATCGCCTGGAGGGAACGGGGGCGTGGGCGGCGGGGAACGCGTTCTGCGGATGGGGCCGGCGGGGGCGCCCGTTGCGCGTGGACGCCGTGGGGGACCTCGACCCGCCCACGCACCGTCCCTGCTTCCCGCGAATCCCACCAAGAGGAGAAGCATATCCCCGACGCGTAGCGCCACCTCAGCCACGCCAGCTTCTCACGCGCGGTCGCCGTCGATTCTCCTGAGACCGCGAGAAGAGCAGGTGCGTGTGCGAGTGTGTTTCGGCGGACCGGCCTCGCACACACACACACACACACACGCACAGCTGGTGCTGTCAGGGCGTACAGTAAGACCTCGTACGCTTCACGGCAGCTCCCAAACTATTCCGGTGGTCCCAACAAAATCGACAGGCGGCGCAGCAGATGCAGCGGCAGGACTGAAGCCGTGCTCCTCATTGAGGAGGCGTTGCTCCCAGGGCCTCAAGGCGAACAGGCAGGGCCTCCCAGTTGGCGGATCGAAGTCCGACCAGTGGGAGTCGTGGATTGGGTTGTCGGCCCAGTCCACCTGCAGAGCCTGCCCGCCCCACTCCTCCACCTCCTTGCCCTCGAGGCGCTCCTCTGCCTCCACCGCCGCCGCCTCCGTGGCGAACTCCACGAAGGCGCAGCGGTACCGGAATCGCCTTGGCGGGTGCACCAGCCGCACCCGGCGAAGATCCCGGCGGGAGGGCCGGATGGGTAGGCGGAGTGCCGCCTCGGAGAGGGCACTCCTGCTGCCGCTGCTGCCGCTGCTGCCCAGATCTTCCAGGGGCAGACTCGCGGGCTCGCCGAACAGGATGTAATACACATCCGATAAGGCGATGCGCGGCGGAATTCCTTTAATTAGGAGGGTGCGCCTGCACCTCTCCTCCTCCTCGGTCGCGGAGGCGGCGGCGCATGACGAGGACATAAAAAAAAAGAGAAAATAGAAAGAGGGATGGGAAAGACGAATGTGGGAGGACACGTGGGCGCGTGCCTTCCGTCACTCGCCTTCCCCATCCCTCTTTCTCCTTTTTCACCTTGCTATGCGCGCTGACCACCGCAACTACCATCCTGCCGCCTCCGTGGAGGAAGAGAGGGCGCACCGCACCCTCTTTATCCGGGGTGTCCCAGTGGGGATCGCCGACACCGATGTGCACGAGATTCTGTTCGGCGAGCTAGTGGACCTGCGGTGCGCGTCGCGGCTGCATCGCCTCCGCACCCGTCGCAGCAGCCGGCGAGAGGGCGGGATGCGGGGGTGGAGAGCAGCCCTTTCTACACACACGTACGCACGCACCTGCACACCTGCACACACGCACACACACACACCTATCACCGCTGCCAACGCCACCACGTCACCACGCAGAGAGATGGCATTGCCGCCTGCTGCCGCCTCTCGTGCCAGGGAGGGTGGTGCGACGCCTTCTGTTCTGCGCAGCGCGGTGTGCATCCCGTTCGAGAACGCATGTGAAGACCAATAAACGAAAGGAGGAAGGGAATGAGAGGGAGGGAGAGTGAGTGAGTGTTTGTTTATGCAGCTAAAGGGTATCAAAAGGCACGTGGAATAGCGTCCATCCGGGCAGTGAGGTCTTCTGTCTTAATCATACACTTGTATTTACAATCCGTATTTCGTTGTTTCGACGTCCAGCGTAATCACGAGTACGGCCATCATTGCCGTGAGGGTGCGAGATCCGCTTCAACACGAACGAGACGGGAGAGGGGAGAGACGGGCGGTGTGTGCGTGTGTGTGTGTGCGTGCGTGCGTGAGTGGGAGAGAGAACGACGATGAACATAATCCGAAGAAAAACGAAATGAGATGAATTCCGGCTCATCTCTACTTGCGAGAGATTTATATTGTCCAGGCTCTTTTCCCCCCCACACACACACGCAGTGGGGGCTGCAATACACGTGCCATACAGCGCCTTGCTCGCCACCACGTGTACGTCTCCCCTTCCCTCCTCCTCCTCAACACGTCAAACAAGAATGGGAAAACCCGACAGCAATTCACTCTGCGGCCAGCTACGTCAGACACCATTTTGAATTTCGCTTTTTTTCTTCTTAACGAGCAACGTCAATAACAACAAGTAAAGGAAGAAGGGTGTCTTCCGAAACCGACCACGCATTGTCACAGACGGAAACCCGAACACACACACACACACAGTGCTTTCCACGCAGAATAGCTCGGAGAAGATCACGATGAACAGCAGCTCTATTGCTTCTGCTCCTGTTTAACGCGTAGGGCACCACGAAATTCCAATATATATTTATATATATCATGAGGAGGCACACCATGTGGGCCGCCATTCCTTTCTACAGCATTGAGACAGTCCAGACAAAAAGTCAACAGCAGCCCTCGAACGAAGAACGGCGAAAGAAAAGGAACCACCTCTACCTCGTGAAATCAACGAGAGGAACGAGTTTGTTATTTCCTTTTATTTAATAAAGAGAGAAAAGATGGATCTACTGGAGTATTCAACAGAGTGTTTGTCCCAAAGCATCCGCAAATGAAAACAAGATAAAGGAAAACGGCGTGAGACATAAGTGCCTTCGTTCTCTCGCTCTCTCTCTCCACACACAC